TCTAGTGTACTTTGCATTGCTCAAGCATGTTGAACATGGTTTATTCGTTCAAAAAGGCAAACAACCCCGCATGCGAGTTGGAGATGTGACGATTGGTGCTCAATGCTTCAGTCGGTCTTTGTTTGTTGGATCATTAAAATGGCCATGGATCCCTGGTCCAACTTGCCAATACCACGGTTCCGAGGTGGAGGAGGACGTCGGAATGAAGTGACTAGCGTCATGACACGAACGCCCTACGTTTTTTTCAGCCCTCTGTTCATTTTCGGGCAACAAAGCGAACATGGAAAAATCCTCATTCAACGGGTGAACTTGGTGATCAGACGCCAAAACAACACGGTCCCATACGTGAGTCAGACACGGTGCGGTATCAAGACAAAACACTGCTGACGGTGAAAGTTGCGAAAAATAGAGATATGAGCCGTCGTGGCTGGCATCATGAAACGAAGAGGCGAAACTATAACCTACGAATACTTGATAGTCACAGGCTGTGACACAAAGCACAGAACCCATGCGACAGGTCTAGCCTCCGCAACTAAATATCCGTCGCTTAATATAGTATTTTGCCAAGACGGAGACCAAAAAAAAGGAAAAAAAGGACAGAGACACCCACGGTAAAAAAAGAGAAGAAACTGTAACAAGTCCCATCAAACCACTCGTGCGCCAAAAAAAAGTCTTTACGGAAAATGGCCCTTCTCAGGTCCAAAGTACCCTCTCTCGGGGATGGGCAGCCATCCCACCTGCTGGCCATCAATGCCATCGGTGCTCACGGTATTTCCCCACCACTTCAAGCTCTTGGGGTGATAACCAACCGCAAAGAACATGATCAAGGCGCTGACAGCGAGACCGGCCGTCAGGGCGGCAGACAGGACGTAGTTGTACTTGGACCACCAGGCCAAGCGGTGCCTCGGCAGCCAGTACATGAAGATGTAGGACAGGATGAAGCCAGGCGTCTTGTAGGCCATGTTGGACGGAGCCCAATGCTGAATGCCCTGGATGATGAGCACCGGGTTCAGCCACATGAGGGAAGCGACGAAGCGGAACAGGGTGCGGTCGAGGCGACGGAAGCGCGCGGGGGACATTCGGGACCGGATTCTCTCCCGCACGCCGGGTAGGTATTTCGGCCCCAGGCCCTGGCCGGCGAGGAAGACGACGGCGACGACGGCCCCGATGAGGAAGCACCACTTGAACAAGGGGTAGACCGAGTTGAACATGCGCTCGGAGCCCAGGAGCCCCCACATGAGGGAGTTGGCGTAGAGGGGAGCGCCGTCGCCCGCGCAGGTGAAGCGGCTCGGCTGGTCGGGCGTGCACAGGCCCTCGACGTTGTTGAGGATGAAGTTTTGCGTGGCGACGGCGACGAAGCACGTAATGACAATGGTGCCGATCTGGCTCCGGAACACGGCCCGCGGCGCAATCTTGCAGTAGTGCGCCATCTTCTGGTCCTGGACGTAGTTGTCCCCGTAGCCGGCCAGCGCCCAGCTGCCCAGCGTCTGGCCGAACAGGAAGGCGTTGGGGTTGTTGGGCAGCAGGAACCCCGTGATGATCTGGATGAGCGACCCGAGGCCCAGGTTGGTGCCCGTCGTGGCGGACAGGAAGGACAGCGGCACGGCGAACACGAGGTTGACGGCGATGACGAGGAAGACGAGCCAGACGGGCACGTCGACGGGGTAGATGTCGGCCCAGACGACGCTGACGACGATGGCGCCGACAAAGATGACGAGGAACCACCAGTCGGGGACCTCGCTGTACCTGGCCATCTGGCGGTTGTGCACGTCCATGGCGTCCTCGTAGTTGCCCTTGCCGTGGCGCAGGCCCTTGTAGAAGTCGACGTAGGCCTTGCCAATCGTCTTCCACTGGTTGACCATGATGTAGAGGAAGTAGACGGGGTAAAAGGCAAAGTTGGCGCCGACGGTGAGGACGTAGCCGGCCGAGTAGAAGGGCGGCGAGTAGGCCTGGTACTTGTCGAGGTCGAGGCGGTTGCCGGCGACGATCTTCTGGACGGCGTAGGGCTTGCCGTCGTTGGCAAAGGCCGAGGACGAGTTGATGGGCAGGTAGCCCGTGTCGTACATGTTGGAGTAGAAGATGGCGAGGATGACGAAGCCGCCGAGCAGGCTGCCGACGTACATGGTGCACGTGGAGAAGAAGGGCTGGGCGAGCGCGGCGTACGACGAGGTGGCGACGTTCCAGTCGAGCGTGGTGACGGGGTTGAACAGGCCCAGGCCCATGTTGGAGCCCGTCAGCACGGCGAGCTTGAAGTTGTCCGGGGCGATCCACGTCATCCAGTTGAACTGCGAGAGCGCCGTGAAGAGGTAGCCCGGCAGCCAGTAGTAGACGAACATGGAGGCGGCGGCGACGAGGAAGAAGCGGTAGCGCGAGATGGTCCAGCCGTCGATGTTCTCGCGCGCCTCGGGCTTGGTGAGGGCGCGGTTCATGGCGATGACGGGCATGAGCGTCGGCCACAGCGCCTTGACGGGATACACGGAGAAGCGGCGCAGGTAGCCGGCCAGCCCCATGCCCATGAGCTGCACGAAGAGCGTCAGCATGAGCTGGTAGCCAAAGTCGACGAAGTCGAGCCCGTAGTAGACGGGCGACCGCTGCACCAGGATCATGCCGTAGCTGTTGGTCGTGTAGATGGCGATGTTGAAGGTGATGGTGGCGAACATTTGCTCCTTGAACGTCCACGGGCCCGGGTTGAGCGAGTGCCGCGTCCGGAACACGGTCGGGCCCCAGTCCGGCAGCACCGCCTCGAGGGCCTTGCCGCAGGGGAAGAGCAGGATCTGGATGACGGAGTTGCTGAGGCCTGCGGAAAAGGGGGGAGCGCCATGGTAAGTTATTCGTCGTCATTGCAAGTGTCTGGTGGATGATGAGGATGATGAGGATGAGGATGATGTTGACCAAGTGGATTCTAGGGAAGAAAACCCGTCTCATGAAAGCAGACAAGACGAAAAACAGAACGAGAAGAAGCCAACGTACTGATGCCCGGAAAGCGACTGTTGAAAAACGTCGACATAAAGGTCCCAATGACGGCCCACCCAATGCCCAGAAAGTACGCCCTCGCCGTCTCAATAGGCACCTCGGGGTCGTCGAGGGGGCTCGCGACGGCGCGCACGCCGGGATACGGGCTGGACCACTTCATCATGACGGCGTCGACGCGCAGGTCGCGGCCGTAGAACTCGCCGTAGCCCTTGGGCCCCAGGCGCAGCAGGCGGCTCATGCGCTCCCTCATGTCGGACGGGAAGTTCCAGTCGTCGGCGTGGAAGGCCAGCGACTCGGCGACGATGGCGAGCGCCTCCTCCTCGGGCATCGAGTTGATCTTTTCCAGGATGAAGTCGGCCTCGCCGTTGGGCGCGAGCGTCTCGAGCAGCTCCGGCGGGATCTGGCTGCCATAGTCGAGCGTCGACGACACGCCCGGGTTCTTTTCAGCGTCGCCCGAGGGCAGGGACGTGTGCGTCTGGACGGCTGCCTTTTCTTCTTCCGCCATGTCTGCTTTACACGTCTGCGCGGGACATGTATATTATGGCCGAGTTCCAAAGTTGGCTGCCCTGGGGGATGGCGTGTGAATATGTGAATATATCGTGTAAGTGAGAGTCCCTTGGTCCGGGGGAGAGAATCCCTCGGGATCTTTTTTCCCCATGGTGGCCGGGGCCATTCTTCAAATATGCGCAACAAAGTGCCCTGCCGCAAAACGGCAATGTCTCTGTCTCTGTCTCAGTCTACAGACTACGCATCAGGGCGTCTGCTAGCCTGCCCGTCTGCTCGTGTGCTCCGGACGGGCTGCCGTCGTACAATCTTGCGGGGAAACATAACCCAGGGCCGAATAATGAGATCAGTCGAGTGCTTCTCCAAACGTCGTTCCCAATCAAGCATGTTCCCCCTCCTTTCCGTTAGTCGTCGTGTCGTGTGTAACTGCATCTGTACTTGTTGTTTCGGCTGCTCCACGGTTACATCGGCTCAACCCGTGACCATCTTCCGGAACAGGGAGCTGGATAAGCAGGCATTCCTGGCCGCGAGATATTGACCCTCCGCAGGCGTGACACCAGCTAGTTGACTTGTGACCCCGTGGAAGCAGCGGGCATCTTCTCACAGCCCGCAGGCCAGAGACCGTTCAGTCAAAAGTGGCGCCGCGCCAAAACGGCATGAAAACACCAAAAAGCTACCCGCCGGCCGCCGACGAGAACCAAAAAAAAAAGAAAAAAAACCAACGTCCGGGGGACCCCATCTCGTGGTTCCCGTCAAGTCTTTCGTCTCGTCTCCCCCGCGGCCTAAAACCCCCCACATGCAGCGTCTACTCCGGTCCATGGCACGACCAAATCGACCGACCTGCGCTACACCGTCATCCTTGCGTATTGTCCAACCTGACCAGTAAGTAGTATCCAGCATCATCGAGGATCGCTGTTGGCCGAAGCACTCACTCGCCCACAGCCCGCACACAGGAAGACGAGTCCGAACTCTCCAACACAACACAGCACAGCACAACATCAGAGCTCTAGGTAGAAAAAGCAGAAAAATGACATCTGGGAAGATCGGCAAACCACCGAGCTTCTTGTTGCATGCCACGAGCCCTCCCACTTTCCTAATTCGCACTCGAGCCTGCATTTGGGGGCTGCCCATGTGCGGGGAAAACATATCCAATCATGGAGATAAAGAGCCGTGCTGCTCTATCTGGGATCTAGCTGTTAGTGCCTCTTCACCAACCAAAATCAAGAGGCAAACATGTATTATGTCGTTGCCCTTGAAGACATGGCCTTGATCTCCCATCATGCTGTCTTCGCTGATTGATTGCACACTCGTTGCCATTGCGGCCCGGGGCAGAACACAGCTCCTGGACAGGATGTCATGGGCCAGGACGAATCCAATCACGAATGCTGGACTTGGGACCTTGCCCATCAATACCATGCTTGCTTGGCCTGATATTAATATGCCTTGTAGTCATTACAGCACATACGCGTAATAAGTAACAATAGTAGGTAATAATAACAAGAATCAAAGGCCACCATGAGCACCTAGTCCAACCGATCTTTGCTCGATTGTCTCGACCTCTCCAACTCTGGCGTGCGTGAGCTCTTTCTCGTCACGCCCCCTGCCACCTCAACCACCGACGTGTCCATGTTGACTCGGAAAGACTTGCCTCGCCATGTTACCGTCGTTCCGCACAAAACAGCCCACGTCCAAACCGGCAACGCCAGGCTTTCTCTTCCAATCCATGCCAAAAGCCATTCCAAGAATCCTCGTCTGGGCATTCCGCCGGCCTGTGATGTGCCGCGCACAAATTGGGGACTATCACGGCCGCACTGCACGCTCCAGCCCGAGTGTAGGAGCTTGAATGTCTGCCAGTCGACCACCATCCATGCCGTCACTGCTGAGAGCCAGATCAGGGCCATGGCTGACATGGTCTGGGGAATGTGCAGCGTCTCGTGGAACCAGGGAAGAGTCGTGAGGGCAAAGGCAAAGTAGGCGCAGCAGAGGAAGCATTCGATGCCCGGTTCGACCAGGGTGGCTGCCAGTACTGTGAACTTTCTTGCCCGTAGCCATCGAACACGCCGGGCGGCATACGAGACAATCGACATGCCTGCCATGGGTTGTATGACCAAATCACCCCAGACAATTCCATGATTTGAGTAGCCTGGAATGGCTGACCTCCACAGTATATCGCCAATGAGATGATCTTCGCAGATGTTGTAGGAAAAATAGTCTACCCCCTTGGGCCTTTCGTCTCCATCGCGTAGCATGCGATTGCTCGATTCCATCGTCACCCGATTGAGATGCGCTTTTCGAAACATGTTGCTTTTCCCTACAATACAGGGTGCAATACCAACAGAGTTGATCGCGCCATAGAACTTGACATGTGTAGTTGCCATGAACATCTCGTCAAGGCGACCACCTCCGTGGCGACAAATGCGGGTAAGGAGGTCTTGGGATTCTTTGGCGGTGCTGGAGGAAGCCCCAGCTTCCGAGGGCGATGACAAGAGAACTTGGTTGTCTTCGGTCCCCGGACGGCTGTAATCCACCACGTCAACAACCAGTGGCATCTGATGAACAAATTTGTATGGTGTGGTCGCGGTTCCGGCCGGTCCGTATCCCATTAGCTTGTCCACCATGCGCCCGAGCACACCGCTTGCCACCCAGACATTACAGTCGATTATCCATATAATGTCTCCCTCCTTGGCTTGTCGGTATGCCCTACTGATATTGCGCACCTTGGGATTTGGCCCCAAGTTGTCAACACGGCCCTTGGTGCCATGCAGGATTGGATCACGAGATTCCACAAGAACCTGGGCATCGAAGGATGGAAAGTCGTGGACCAGCTTCTGCAGTACTGGATAGGCGGGGTCGGTCTCGTCCTCAACACATAGGCGGACGGACAATTTATCAGCGGGATAATCTTGTTGAAATGTAGATGCGATGCATTCGTAGAGTCGAGGTTCGAGGCCTTTGACGGGGCGGATTATTGTAATCGAAGGAGCATCTTGGGCGAGTTTTGAGGAGACGGGTGGCGATGCAGCTCTTGAAAAGTGTCGAAAACTACGGTGAAGGGCGTCAGTATGCTGGCAAATTCACGTTGCTGCCCCCCCTATGTATCGATGGGACATGGGATTTGGGACCAGGCTTACATTGCGGCAATACCAATTCCCTGGACAACCACGACCGCGACGGCCCAGATGAGACAGATTACGGCAACAATCTCGACGAAGGATCCCATTTCAAAGCTTGCCCAGAAAGCATGGCGTGTCCTTGAAGGTGGACTCGACGCCGAGTGATGGTTGGCGGGTGCGTTGTAGATGTCCAGCCTGATAGCGGTGGTTGATGGAGGTAGAAGAGGAAGAAAAAGAAATTGGAGAAAAGGAAGAAAAGTTGAAAGAAGAAAACAAAATGAAATTAAGTGCGAGCAATGATGTAAAGCAAGAACGTTGGAGCACAGGACCCCAGGAGGGTGAGTGCATTCCAACTTTGGCAAGTGTCGTCGTCGGGTTGTTCCGTCGTCGCCGAGGGGCCACCATAAATTGCAACTTGCAGGGTGAAGTAGCAATTACTCGGACGCCAGAGCAAACCTCATCACCGAACGAGTTCCACGTCGACGCTGGGTGTCATGCAGGTGTGGTCTCAAATGTGGTTCCTGACAACAATCGTCACCCTGCATCGGCGTTCAGCAGTCTGTGGGTGTCGCCGAGCACTAGACCAGGGCTGAGGGCTAATGGTAAGGGGCGTCGTGGTTGTTGCTGTGGTTCAATAGCTTGGGGTTCCAGGGCCACTGGAGATGGGAATAGTTCTACGTATCATGATGGGCCTTCACGGAGACGGGACCAAAGCGGAGATGAGAGAAGCTGACATGTCAACGTAGCAGTACTACTCCGTTTGTGCGACCAGCTGGCTTGCCTGGCAGCGCCACTGACCTGTCATCTACTCCCTGGCCTTGGAGGATCCTGTGCCAAGTGATCGGTGCCGCTGAGAAACTCCAACTCCTCGCTGCACAGTGCAGACTACTTAAGTACTTAGTACCTCGTGGATGGTACTTGGCCCTCACCATGAACTGGCTGCAAAAGAGTGGAGCAAGTAGCCGCAGTTTAGCCAAGAGCTCGGACAGGAAACCTCATAAAATTTCAACTTCCACTCCTGCGACACCTCAATCTTTGCAACATTGTCTCCTCCACAAAAAGACTTTCATAATAGGCCTCGCCTGCATAACTGCAAAACCCTCACAGCTTGGTCAATCTGCTCTACAAATGGTCCTACTGGTCCATCTCTCATTTGAGCAGCCTTGCGTGGCCATGTGGTAGACAGAGTAAGTTTTGACCTTTTCCATTTCATCCGAGTGTCTTGCCTGTGCCAATCGTGTTGCGGCTCTGAAACCCGGCCTTCCACTGTCGATGGGCATATTCCAATGGTGAAATGCCTTTTTTCTTTGTTTTAGAACTGGGCCTACGCAAGCCCTGTTCACCCTGCTATATGATGACACCTATCTTACGGTGCTTAGAGGAATTCTCCATTCACTTGGACCTCGATGATTGCCCTTGATTATAGACTACAACGGTATCTGATGCAGTGTTTTTTATTATTGCCTTCTCTTTTTGCTCTACTGCCATCTCGTTGAGTTAGTGAGATTCGCTAACATTACCAAGCAAGATGATTCCAGCTCGAAATGGCTGAGATTCAACAACCCCCCAAAGAAAATGGCCAAGTGATGGCCCCTCCAGCGCAGGCCAGCACCAAAAGCGCGAACTCTCGAAAACGAGGCCCCCCTGCCCATCAGATATATGCACTCCCTGCCCCGATTCGGACATTTCCTCTACCAGCCTTCTACCCCAATAATCCCTTATCATTCTTCGCCGTTGCCTATGCATGGCTCCGGCAAGTATTCGCTCCGCCCCCTGCGGAACCTGCAGTCGTCCACCAAGGTGTTTGGTCCAAGAAAACCTTTTCCGTTCATGTCACTGATGAAAAATCAATGAGAGCCCTGTGGGAGCAGGGATTTTACGGCAAGGGCAGCTTAAGTCGTAGTGAGCCGAATTGGTTGAGGCGGGAGCAAGTCCGTAGAGGGATGCAAGAAACACACGTCAGTGAGATCCTGACTGTGCAACGGCGAGAAGAGCGAGCCCAAGCCAAGTGGGAAAGAGCAAGATTGGAACAGGAGGTGATACGGCAGACGCGGTTGAAGGAGGCCCAACAAGCTGAGGATAACAGCCAGTCCAAGACGGCAACAATGCAGCTCTCCCCATCCCCTGTCATTTTTGCTGCACCTACTGGCCCTATAGAGCTGCTCTCTCTCCCCAATTCGGCTGCCGAAGCCTTCGAAAAGCCCGAGGTTGTTAGCGGCACAGTTATTGCAGTCCGAGCCGCAACGGAGGCAGTGATGATGCCGTTGCCAGTGGATATCGCACCGCCAAGCATTCTTGAGACCGGCAATGGCATTATTGACACTAATGTTGTCAGTACGGCGTCGTTTGTAGCCGACAGTCCTCGAGTGAGGGGCCAGTCAAGTGGCAGTGGTGTCATTGAGACACCACACCCACCAGCGTCCGAAACATCCAGTGACTCTGCAGAGGACAAGACGTTGAAACGCCAAAAGAGTGTTCGTTTCTCACCTAAAGTGGAATCAACTACATTTGACTTGGCGGACCCGCCCAACCCGTATCATTCTCTCAATGGCAAAGGCAAGCGACTGCTTTTGAATGGAGGGATCGATGGTTCTGACACGGCAGAGGAAGCCAAGAAGCTATCTGCAGACGAGTCGGAAGACATTATTGTAAACAGAGAACACCTCCAGCTGATGCCTGAAGAAGCCTTTTTTCTCACATTTGGATTCGGGGCACTCTCTGTCACTGACCCAGCGTCCGGCAAGAGCCTCACAACCAAGGAAATGCTCACCCTGTTTCGACAATATTCATACTTTCCTCCTCGGACTGGCTGCCCCGACGAGCCGGAACTTGGGCCGGACGACGGCTTCCTGGTGCACTACGCGGTGTATCATCACTTCCGATCCCTTGGATGGGTGCCGCGAGCGGGCATTAAATTTGGAGTCGACTGGCTTCTATACACTAGAGGACCAGTATTTGACCACGCAGAATTTGGACTCATTATCGTGCCGTCATACTCTGATGTCTGGTGGAAGGATAGGGGGAAGCAGGGACCGCAAAATACATGGCCCTGGCTACACAGCGTTATCCGTGTATTATCTCATGCTGTCAAGAGTCTTGTACTAGTGTATGTGGACATCCCGCCGCCGCCCAAGTTCGATGCGGCGCTGGAGACGGGGTTTGCAGAGGCGTTGCAGCTGTACAGGGTGCGGGAGGTGATGGTGAAGCGCTGGTCGAGCAATCGCAACCGGTAGCATGTGAATATGTAACAATACAAACAATGTAAAATGGGCAGGCAAAGCATGCCAAGGCAACATTTGATGTGCGGCAAAGTGGCATGATGGTTCACGTGCGAGTCGCGAGCGTTTGGCGGCTTCCTCAACCTTCCCTGCTCCCCCACTCTGGCGCCTGCCTCCACATCCCCGAGCTCCAGTCTGCCGGCCTTGGGGCAGCGATGCGCCGAGGTCCGGATGGAGGGCATGGCGACAAAAGTACAAGATGGCCAAGATGCGCAAAATATCGGCAGAGGAACTGAGCCATCTGCCCACCTTTCTGGCTCTTCTTAGTCCCCCATCTGATAGAGCTGCAGAGCTCAAACAGCACCACCAATACATTCTGCCTGGTAACCTCGACGGAAAACGGCCAATTGGATATGCTGGCACCACGAGCCGCCATCCGCGGCACCAAAAACTCACCTCTCTCGCGACTCTCAGCTCGACCCCTCCGCAACATCCACAATACATGCTCACGCAGCAAGAAACTCAACTTGCCTTCCGGCCAAGTCACCCACGCCACCGCTCCCTCGCCGTCCAAGTACTGGCCCAAATACGAAATCCCCCAGGGCGCACCCCAGCTCATCTACGACCCTGCAGCCTCCGATCCCGTCACAATCTCCTGGACAGACGAGCTCCTCTTCATCCAAGATGGACCTGACGCGGCGCCGAGGGCACTCAGGCCCGCTACCCTCCGAGATAGCTGCACCTGCTCGGCCTGCAAGGACCCCTCGTCCGGACAGAAGAGCTTTGCGAGCATCGAGATCCCCCCCAACGTGGGCATTTCGTCCGTCCGGCCGACCGACTCGGGCCTAGCCATCAGCTTCTCCAACGACATCCCCCGATTCCCAGGCCACGAGATGATCCTCCCCTGGCACCAGCTCGGCTCCTCTCTCAAGCGAACCTCGTCCAGCCCAGCCTCGAAGAACAGCATCCTCCGCCGCACGGGCGTCCAGTACTGGGACGCCGCCACCCTGAGCAAGCACGTCCGCAAGATAGACTACGCCGAGTTCATGCAAGGCGGCAGCCGCTTCTGGGACGCCGTCATCGACGTCTGCCGCCTGGGCATCGTCTACCTGAAGAACGTGCCGCGCGACGAGGCGTCCGTCGTGCACGTCACGACGCGCATCGCCAACATCCGCGAGACCTTCTACGGCCGCACCTTTGACGTGCGCGCCAAGCCCAACGCCGAAAACGTCGCCTACACGAGCGGCTACCTCGGCCTGCACCAGGACCTGTGCTACCTGCAGCCGCCGCCCATGATCCAGGTCCTGCACTGCATGGAGAACTCGTGCTCGGGCGGCGAGTCGCTCTTCAGCGACGGCGAGCGCGTCGGCCGCCTCCTGTGGCCCTTTGTCGCTGGCAGCGGCAGCAAGATGGCCAGCCTGGCGCAGCACAGGGTGCCCTACCAGTACGACAAGCACGGGCACTTCTACCACGCCGACCGGCCCGTCGTGGACGTCGGCGGCGACGGCGGCTTCGCGGGCGTGTACTGGTCGCCGCCGTTCCAGGGCGGCTACACGGACGGCCACGCCGAAGGCAACGCGGGGCAGGACATCACGGGCTGGATCGAGGCCGCCCGGCTGTTCGAGGGCCTGGTCAACGACGCCGCCGCCGTGCACAGCTACAAGATGGAGCCGGGCGAGTGCGTGCTCTTCGACAACCTGCGCACCATGCACGGCCGGACGGCGTTTGACGCCGGCCGCGGCGGGTCGCGCTGGCTGCGCGGCGCCTACATCGCCAAGGAGGACTTTTTGAGCAGGGCCGTGTATATCCCCGAGGGCCAGGCCGAGATGTACAGGGGCACCAGCGAGGAGTGGAGTGGCGACCGGGCCCAAGGGGAGCTGCGCCGCAGTGCGTGGTGGCAGGACGTGGTGAGGAGGGTGAGGGAGGTTGACGGGCCGTGCTGAGGCTTTCCAATGGCCCCTTTACCGTCGGGAAGACGGGGGTCGTGGGTGTATACGGGCAGAAATAGCTGTCATTGCTGTGTAGATGTAGTGTGAGGACAAAGTTCGATATAGATCCCAGACGAAAGGTCAGTATAGAAACATGCATACGTAGAACAATAGCATTTATACGCCAAGATAATAAATAGAGCCCCTGCTGTAAAAAACAAAAACCAGTCCATTCTCTCTCAAGCAAGTCCGTTCTAGGTGTCTTTTAGGTAAAAGACGGAAAGGCGGAGGCTGGCGGACAACGAGAATGATATTACGTGCATGTGATCGGCATCACAACCCATAGACTACCTAAATTGTGAAGCCAAGCAATTACCGGTACTCCAACAATCTACGCCCTCGCCATTGCTTTTCTTTCTTTTTTTTCATCGTGTTCCCCCCATATTGTCTCCCATATTTCTGCTCCTTTTCAATTACCACTTCTTTGCCTCAACCCCCTCTGGAGCAATCGTCTCCACCGTCCGGCTCCCGACATCACTCCAGTCCGTACTTAAACTCGTGCCGTTGCTCTCAACGAAGCTCTTCGTCATGGCCCTCTGCTGGTCTGGAGTCGCACCCTTGAACAGCTTCTTGAAGAAGTCATTCGGGCCAGTCTCTTCTTCCTCATCTTCATCTGCTCCGATCTTGTCCCAATTCTTGGGACCAGTGCGAGACGAAGACGGATAGGCGGGGCCAGAATCAGTCGTGGCCTTGACCTTGCTGGCTTCAGGTTGGGTAGTTGCCGCTGTAGGTTTCTCATCCTTGGTCTTGGCATCTGCCTCGTCCATGGCTCGCCGTCTGGCGTCTTTGAGGGCTTGTGACCTACTCGTTGTCCAATTTAGCCTTCATGTTCACGGGGAAGCGGTACGGGGGGAAACAAGTACAACATACTCCTCGTCCTTTTCTGTAGCTTCCTTGGTCCCTGGCGACTCCTTCGTGACTCGTGACCACTTTCCCGGCAACTTTTTGACTAGGCGTAGCTCGACTTTGCTGGGGGTGACGGTGTACCCCGAGCTAGATGGCTCGATTTCGGCAAAAGTTTCGAGCAGAAATTCCTTCTCATCGCCGTTAGGGTAGACGAGAGGGTTTAAGTGGACAGACTCTGGGAGAAACTTGACCTGAAGCTTCTCCTTGTCGACGCCTTTGCTGAAGATGGACACGGACATGGCGGTGTTGGTTTGAAAGTCCTGCAAACGAAGAGGGGCATCGCTAGGGATGGCGGGTTTCTGTGCTGCAACATCATTCTTCGTGGTGCCCTCCATGTCCTTGTCGTCCGCCTTCAAAGCAGCAAGCTCCTTGCGCTCTGGCACCAAAGGGGCCGTCGCCTGCCGGGCCTCGTCATCAGCAGGCAACTTCTTCATGGCAGCGAGGGCCTGAATACGAAGGGTGCTTGCTCGCCGCCAGTCACCGACATGTGCCGGTTGAGCAGACATTGCTCCCTCCGGCTTAGTCTGGTTGAAGGGGTCCTCGCGAGCTTCCGCCATTGCGTCCGCGGCAGTTGGTTTCCAGAACCCGTCGTGGTCAGAATTAGCGGCCCTGACATCTTCCTTTTCCAGTGCCGCATGGCCCTTAACCAGACGCATGGCATAGATGGCACAGCAGTCGGCATTGGCGTACTGCCCCAGGCGGAAGTAGGCGACTGCTCGACGGTAGTGGGCGTCAATCATCAAGTCTCGCTTATTTCGCTCATAAGATTTGTGGAAGGCAAGGTTGGCGTCGTCGAGGGCTTCCTCATAGCGTTTGACGTTGACGAGAGCTTTGGACCGCGCGAGGAGCCATGCTGGGTTGGTAGAGCTTTGGAGAGCTTTGGAGAGCTTGGTGATGGCCTCATCCCAGTTTTGGGCTTCGGCTGCAGCCAGGCCTTGGTTGGCCTGGGTGATGTGTGACATCGTGACGGTGCTGGTACTAGAGAGAGAGAGAGAGAGAGAGAGAGAGAGAGAGAGAGAGAGAGAGAAATCAATTAAATGTAAGGGTACATTTTATGTAGTGATGTGGAAGACAGTTCAAGACAAGGATGATTGATCGTGGTTGCGTTTGCCTATATACAGCTAAGGCACTCTACGAGCCTTGCCACAAAGTGGAGGGGTGTGTAGGGCGAAAAGAGTGGGGCGACAGGTGCTAACTTCTAAAGTTCTAAACCAGCACTACTTCAAATGTTCACACATGGCATAGTACGGAGTCTTTAATGTTCAATTGGGTAAAGCACCTGCTAGTCTTGAAGCTAGGTACTAAGTAGTCGGTGTGGGTCTGTCATCGCCTGGCACAAACACTCAGAATGCTAGTCCAAACCCAAACAGGACTTGACAGAGTATTCGTATTAATATTATCGCATTAAGTAGCTAGTTTTCTGAGCCAGCCATTATAATTCCACCTTAACGTCAGGATATTTTTTCGCAAACAATCCCAACGCCTTCAGCGTAAACGTAAACTTGTAGTTGGGGTACGAAATCATGCATGACTTGTTGAAAACGCCCTCGATGGCTTCCTGGAGCCATTCCCCGTTTTCTTGCTGTCGTTCCATGAGCAATTTGATGCCCTTCTTTAATGGCTCGATATGAGGGTAATCAGCTTCAAGTAAGCCAATCAACGCGAATGCAGTTTGGACCACCAAGGAACCCATGGGGTGTTCATGGTACTCCATCGTTTCGCAAGCCTATCCGCAGTCAGCATTACACTTTTTCCATGGTTGAGCCGCTTGTTACGCACCTTGTAGCTTTCAGACCAGCCGCCATCCTCTCTCTGTTTGGAAATAAGAAAGTCGCAGCCGCGCCGAGAAATCTTGCTATTAGAGTATGTCTCGCCAATACTGGCCATGCTTTCCAGTGCAAACATGGTTGCATAGGTGAAGCAGATGCCCCAGCTACCATACCAGCTACCGTCAACACGCTGATTTGTTTTGATCCAGTTGGTTGCCCTGTTGATGAAAATTTTGATTTCTTTGCTTCGGTAATCTGGCCAATGCTTACTGAACAATGAAAGCGCAGTGACGCACGCTGTAGTGCATTCGGGATAGTCATACTCGATCATGATCCTGCCAAACACCTCGGCAGCATTGAACATTTCCATGTACTCGCCGGCTCGTCGGGCCTCATACGATGATAAAGCCCCATTGTCATTCTGGTACAGCAACAGCGTGTCGACTGCGTCAAAAATGCGCTGGTCTTCCAGCACTGCTGGGAATCCGCCGACTTTTTGAAGCAGGATAATGGCTTTCAAGGCCTCGGAAATACAATCACTGACACCATAGCCTTGGTCTCTGTTGCTAAAGGGCCAGCCTCCCTTCCGTGGTTGTCGATAGCATTTCTCTTGATCGACGCAGTTTTCGCGTATCTGTTGACGTTCCAAATACTCGAGGGCGCCGGTTAACATTGGGCGCCATCGCTCGTCATTTTGCAGGCCCGCCTCAAAGACGCCCTGGATCAAAAAGGCGGTATCCCAGCATTGGACGCCGTTGGTGCCGTTGCAGAGCATGCCCTCATCCTTGACCCACAGATACTCATCCAAGCGTTCAATATGTCGTTTTGTGCTGAAAGCATCAGGCCCATCTCGAATATAGCATACAATCGTGTTCATAGGCGCGTTTACAGGCGCAAGATCGGCGTATCCCGTGTTGGCATCTTCCATGTCTACCTGCTGGCTAACCCACTGTTCGGCTCGCTCCTTGATGAAGTTGGGACGCAGGTATGGGTTCCAGACATTGACAATGAACCAATTCATAGTGTTGAGCAGAGACGATTTTGGGTGGTAGTTGTCACCAGGTGCAATGCTGTTTCGGTGCGCAGCCCAGTTAATTTCGGCATGGGGCTGCGTAAACAACTCCTCCTTCAAACCACGGATTACATCCGTCTCCTCACAGCTCCATCTCTTTGAGTAGATGTATCCCATTGGCAGGAAAACCATTCGGATATGAATCCACCATCTCCATGGTGCAATGGGCACCCAATCTGGAAGCAGCCAAATCTCGGGCGGGACAGGATTGACAATGTCCCAGCTTACCACACCCAAAGTTGCCAACCAGAACTTACCCCAGTGTGGTGAGTTGACAGCTCCTCCAAGCTTGTGCAAGGTACCTCGAGCCTTCACCATGAGAGGGTCCTCGGGGTCGACGCCCACCAAGCGCAACACTGTGTAGTTGAGCGTGATGCCGAATACGGTGCTTTCACCTTCAATGTGTAGTCCCCAGCCGCCGTCCTCAGGGTGGGCTCGTGCCGCGAGGTAGTCCTTTATGGCAGTCGCGTATGCCGACGGAATCGGCGTCTTGGTGACGTACCAAGCCACAACAATACCAGCCAGGAGGAACATTGGTCCGCCATATTCGCACCCCCAGTGGCCTGATGGCAGCTGGAGCTTTTGGAAGAATTCGAGCGCATTCTTGGCAGAGTCCAGAGGCGTTTCGGGCTTTGGAAGTGCTGGCAAGTCCTGTGGCATTAGTTGTCAGCTCAATGTCATGTCTCGGGAGAACACTAGTAGAGAGTCTAGCAGCTCTTACCAGGGGCAAGCCCAAATAGTACTTCTCTGCGTAGCTCTGCGGCCATTCTTCAGCAGCCTTTTTGGTGGTCAAGTAATGCCACGTGTGGCGGCTGTCATCATCCTTGATTCGCCATCGTGTTGGGTCCGTCTTGGCCTCAATCTTGGGCTTCTCTGGAAACCCAAGCTCTGAGTCGCTGGTCCTCTTGCGCGACTTGGCGGACCCAATGTCTCGACCTGATGCGGTGGCCATGTTGGCTTTGCACTGGGAAGCAGGGAGCGGGTTCCTGGGGCGGGGGGAATCGTGAGATTCAATGCTGTGGAGGGTTTGCCTCTCGAGCCCGGAGATGCGAGGAGACGAGGACAAAATTAAGGACGGTCCTCGAACAAGCACCGATGGCTGCCTTGGTAGTACGTTGTAAATTAATGTGCGGGGCCGTCGCGGCTTCCTGGGGTTCCGCCTCCCGTGCTGCCGCTATAAAGCGCCATCGCGACTGCCCCTTGTCTTGTTGCAACTTGCGACATCTGAAAGCTAATTCTTAATCCGCACCAGCAGATGACGAAAATCAGGCCACTTTTCAGAGGCGCAGTTCGCATTCCGTCCCATCTTGGAACAAGCACAGGCAACATCAAGTTGATCTTTACCGTTTCTACCTGCCTGCAAGACGGCTGCGTGCCGGTTGCGTATGCACCTTCGATGACATCCAACGGTCACCAAGCGAGCCACGTTGGCTCCATCCCGACGGAGCATTTGAATTATGCCGGCGCGGCGATATCACGGATTGAAAGCATTTTCGAGTCCGCCATTAACAACCTGCTCCATAATGAACCAATGAGTATTGCACTCGCGTCTCGCAGAAGTCTACGCCGTCGTCAAAGCCATGTGGCTCTGAGGCAGATCCAGTTCCCTGGTCGCTCAGCTCAGGAAGCACAGCGATTTGGTATCCAAACTCTCTGAAATAAAATGTGGTTGGCTCACGACTCATCCTTGCTAGCTCGTGTCCTCTTGATTCTGCAGTTATCCCATGATGCCCTCGTTTCAGGCACAGTACTGACCAAGCGGTTCGTGCCGAAACTACAAAGCCATTGCGTAAATGCTAATGCCGAATAACAAGCAACATCTTCTATCAACATCAGGAGCTGTTTGGAACGCAGCGGGTGGTCGACGAGTTAGTCGATGATGTAGCCACGACACTCGAACTAGACCGTGATGACTTGAATATTGTTAGTACGGGCAAATCACTGCACACAGGGAGACTGAAACTGTAGCAGGTCGCTTCAGCCAAGGGCATCATGGCAGGACCGCTGAGGATCCGCCTGATCGATGGTGGCGAATTAGATGCATCATCAAGCGACACGGTACTTTTATCCTCAGCGTCGGTTCGCCTTGCTCTAACAGCGACAGGGTGTTGTAATTCCAACTTCCCGATCTATTCAGAGTATTGATGTTGGGTCACTTCGGTGGGTTCTTGTCATTGAAAAGGATGTATGTCATGACTTATAAAATCCCCATTCTACGCCCAAGACACTGACTGCAATTAGGCAACGTTCAGATCCCTCGCATCGACGCTCTACTGGGAAACGTCTACCAGTGGCAATGGACTGCTAGTAACAGTCAGTGCCTGACCCAACACACCGCCAACAGTCCAAAATTGGAAATGACTAATTGTCGTAGGCCAAAGGGTATCCAGACATGATTACCCGGTCGTTTCTGCACTTGTTGGGGAGGCAGCAGCCTGACATACCCATCTTTGTTTTGACAGACTTTGATCCAGATGGCCTCAAAATCTTCCACTGCTATCTTCATGGATCGGGTAATATCCTGACGGACTCAACTGTTGACAACCCATCCTTCAGCTGGTTAGGCATCAGATCAAGTCACTTGGCAGCCATGGACAGAGTTCTACAGACCTCCAATAGTGGCAGCAGTCAGCCCCCTCCGACATCGAGCAGCACACCAGCCCTCACCTCATTCACAGCCCAAAGTGCAGCCGTGGCCCTCACACTTAGAGATCGAAAAATGATTGTTGACACACTCAAAGCGTTTGAAACGGAGGACGGCGTCACCATTGGATCGCTGAGGCGGGAGCTACAGTATATGCAAGTGCTGGGATACAAGGCAGAAATACAGCTCTTGGATGACTCAGGGAACCTAGACAGTTGGCTTGATACGCAAATCCAGATTGAGATGAATACTTGGTAGCGCACTAGTAACAGCCGTTGAACCAAGCGGTTTTAGTTTCGGAATACCTGGCCCTTTTGGCCTTTTTGATGTTGACCTGGAAGAGCGTGCACTGTGCAGTGTCCGGTTCCTACCCTGGAGCAAAAGCTCCTCAGCGCTGCGGGATCACTGGCTGGACTGGGTCCTACGGTGCGAAAACTGCGGGGCTGCAAAACCACACAGTCCCCTCACCGAAAACAAAATTTTGTGAAACTTTTCGCACGTCTGTTGATCCAGCACAATTGACCATGGCACCGACACTATCGGAGGATGAGATCGATGATCTCATTTACCTCGCTCGAGTTGGAGAAAACGATGAACTGAAGGAGTCTCTTGCCGCCCTAGCAGAGCGAGAGAAGGTGTCACATGCCGAGATCCTGATCGCGGCCAAGGATGAAGGCAAATCAACAGCCTTGCATATGGCAACTGGGAATGGCCACCTGGGTATGTCGAAGTGAAATGAAGGAAAAACCCCGACTTGGCGACCAGGTTTCAGAATTGCTCGGTAATTTGCATTACGAAACGCTAACTGTGGCCCCCCCAGAGACTGTACGGGAATTGCTTCGTTGCTTTGATGGCAGGCCAAAGGAAGAAAAGCAGGCGTTCATTGATGAAGCTAATGAGCACGGAAACACTGGCCTGCACTGGGCAGCTCTTGGCGGCCATCTTGATACCGTCAAACTTCTAATGGACCATGGTGCCTCGCCAGCCTTGGCAAATGAGAGAAATTACGTCCCGCTGGACCTGGCCAATTTCAACGATAAGCGGGAGGTTGCCGAGTATTTCCTAGAGTCTGCCGGCATGCTTGAAAACAACAACGAGGAGAGCGGTCTGGCCAATGCAGCCGAGTCGATTGAGCTCGCCGGGGATGAAGATGATAGGGAGCAGGGAGAGGCTGCATAATGTAACGCGGCTTTTCACATCACATGGACGCCACAATAAGGAAGGTTCTTTCAGATTTTGGTACTGCGACAGGAAGAAGGCAGGGGCTGATGGTGGTGACGGACCCAATCCGCCCCAGGGGAAGACATACGTTACATTTCCCCAGAATCTAGCAGCAAAATCAGATGAACGCAGCAGCCACGGGAAGAGCCAGCGGGAAGATGCAGAAAATTCCCCGAAAAGTATATAGACACGGTCGGGAGATTTACCAAAAGTTAAAATGTTGTTTGGGAACAAGAGCGGGATAGAACTGATGGCAGGAGACAACGACCTGAGCAGTTTATAGGGAGATGCGCACTAGGCCCGTCCCCTCTTGGCGTGTTATCAATCACACATTCCACAGACTATGCAGACTTTTGGCAAGCGGCGAATAGTTCTCGCGAAAACCTGTTTCGTAAGGTGGTGTCCTCACCTCGGAGTGGTAATGTAACAAGTCTATCGGATAGTGGCCGCTTGATTTGGTTGCCATGAATCCATGACAGGCGATGCCCAAAGGGAACCATGGATACTTAAGTAGTAGGGGAGGCAAGCTCCTCTCCCTCTCAAAAGCAAAGTTCGGGACCAAAGAATACTTCAAAGCCACAATTTCTCTCTTCGGGCGAGGCCTAGCATCGTGCCTGACAGCAACTAGGAACCGGCCTGTCTGTCCTGGCCTTGACCGGGGACCGCGCCGAGCAACGGGAATTCCGATAATCAAAATTGGTGGTAGTACTATCGAGTTGCCTCGGCCCCCACATCCATCCTTTCATGTTTCCCCTTTCAACAAAGAGCCGCTTCTGCTGTCTGTTCCTGGGGATTGCCAGCTACGTGGGGGTCACCCCAGAAAACGTGGGACGGTGACACCCCGCGAATGCCTGCCAATACTGCGCCCAAGCTGGACTCTTGACACAACATCCTCTGCCCCAAGCTTCTTCATTCTTGCATCGTTCCTGCACGCTTCTGGATTGGGGTTGCCAACTGCGGCACGGGTGCGTATATCGACGGGATTGTTGGTTCCCCTGCATGCCGAGCCGGCCTCTGCTGCATTGCGGGACGACCAAGTCGAACGGACGTCTGGAGATGGCCTCACCAGAGATGTCGCCTTTAAAGGGCTCCATATCAGCCAGTGGAGGATATAAGCGTGCAAGTCGCAAGGGTGCCCCGAGACGCTTTCCCTGCGAACATCCGGGTTGCGACAAGATTTATTCGAGGGCTGAGCATTTGCAACGCCACGAATTGAATCGTAAGACATTCCCCCCGCCTACACCCCCAATTTAGCTGCCATGACCCTGCGATGCACCCCACGGAATGGATACGGCTCTGGTTTTCTACTGGAAATAACTTTTTGTGTGACTGACAAAAGCATAGACAACCCAAAGGAAATATTCAAGTGCGACATTGGTGATTGTGATCAGAAGTTTGTTCGCCTGGACTTGCTGGCCCGTCACAAGAAGCGGCACACTGCTTCGTATACCCCCCGAAACAGGATTCCCAGCTTTGACGCAGTTCGAAACTACACGGCACCGTTAAACAGAGCAAAGGCACATCGTAATGCTGCTGGACGCCACTCTTTCGGTCATCATCCCGTTACAACCGGACCACACGACGCAGCTATTCTGCTAACGCCCGAATCCAACACTGAACCAACACCTACCTCCCTACCACATTCTCATATCACAAGTAGACAGAGCCAATCGCAGGCGCCATGGACATCACCTACTCATCGGAGAGTCGCCCCCCAACCCCTTGAAATCACGCATAGACAGAGCTTCTACGGGTCCGGGGCCCCTGCTCTCGCTGAGCCCAATGCCATGGTGGCATTTGAGAATGTTGGATATGGCGCTGATGACCAGTTGGCACAGAGCAACTTTGCGGCGTGGCTCTTTGATCCGCAAACATCATATAATGACTTTAGTGTCACGAGCCTGCCATTCCTCGAAGGTGGACTAGAGTCGACCTTTAACAACAATATCCATTACGACTACGAGTCATTAACCAGTCTGTCTCCATTGGATCATACAAACCGGCATGGTGACATGCTGGATGACTGGATAACAGAGTCACGCCGACAAGACTTGCTTTGCTGGCTTCAGCTTTTCCGAAAAAAGCAACCCAAGTATGAATGCCTAATGCCAAACCTGGTCCACGAGAGCGGTGGCGATTTACCGGCTCTCAACCTCGACATGATCAGGGACTGCTTAAAGGAGTTTTGGGACACCGTCTCACCGAGGCTTCCGATTGTTCATCAACACACCTTTTCACCAAACAGGTGCCCAATCTTCCTGCTGCTCGTCATGATTTCTCTGGGAGCCGCTTCGCTAAAAAGCCGTGATACAACGGGCCAATTGAAAGAGTACGGTCCCTTTGCCGATGTCATCATATGCAGCGTGCGATGGGAAATTCTGACTTCAGACGACTCTGCACCCCCCGTTGGGCTGTGGGTTGCGCAAGCATTGCTGCTTCTCGAGTTCTACGAAAAGCTCTACAGCACAAGACGATTGCACGAACGAGCACACATATATCACCCCGCATTTCTAACATTGCTACGCAGAGGCAGCCCCCTGATAGGAAGGACTGGCAGTGAATCTCCAGGAGAACCTGATGATACCCGCTCGGATCGGCCTACACCGATGCCGGGAATGGCCCTTGACTCCAATACGTGGTGGGTTCGATGGGCGGAAACGGAATCCATGCAACGCGTCGTCTTCGCCGCCTTCATGTTGGACATTATCCACGCCGCCATGTTTGGCCATGCGGCTGACATGGCGGCCCACGAAATCCGCCTCCCTCTCCCCTGCGATGACAACCTTTGGACAGCGAGCAGCCCTGATGTCGTTCGTCAACTTGATGCCAATTTCCGCATGTACGGCGTCAAGCAAGTCTCCTTCCTCGACGGCCTCAAATCCGCCCTTCATGGCAAAGAAGTCAAGACGCATGCCTTTGGCCGCATGATTATCATCTCTGGTCTCCTCAGCGTTAGCTGGCACCTCTCGCACCGCGAAACGCATCTAAAGTGGCTTGATATTCGCGGTCCATCTGCCGAAACACACGATAGCTGGCGCAAGATGCTTCTGAACGCTTTTGGCAGCTGGAAGGAATCTTTCGACGTTGCCATGTCCGACTCGGTCACCGACGCCCCGGGTCATCGGCCGGTCCCAAACGGCCCCATCAACAGCGCCTCTTTGCTCTTCCACCTCGCGCATATTAGCTTGCATGCGGATATTATCGACTGCCAAGTGTATGCGGGTGCCCGGCGACTTCTCGGCCGCAAGGTGTCAACGAGGGACTACACCAACGCTGTCAACCGCATGGGCACATGGGCGAAGCACTCGTCTACTAGGCATGCTATTTTACATGCATTTAAACTACTGTACCGCGTTCTTGTCGATCCCCATCCCAGGAAAAGGAACTCCCCTTACCCAGACTCCCCGGCGGTCCAATATTCTATTCTAAACGAGACGGATCCCCACCGCCCTTGGATAATGTACTACTCCGTGCTGGCGATTTGGGCATTTGTCCAGGCGGTAGGCAGACCCCCTGGCAAGGGATTTCCACTGAGAGCATCGCAAATGACACAGAGCACCTATGCTCGGATGGCCGAGTACCTGTCCGGGGTGGCGGTCCTACAGGATCTGGATGAGACAACAGTTGCAACCTTGCACGAAGGACTCCCCGAGCTGCTGGAGACTATGGAGGGCATTCTGGAGGAGGCGGATACTGAGTTGTTGGCCGAGGCGAGGGATAGGCTAGGTGTCTGCAGGGACATGTTGCTGGGAGGATCCAGATGAGGAAGTGATGAGAAGGCAAATCATGCTGTTCGATTCATGGCCAATTCTGGACTCTACGAAGCATATACTTGGTTTGTGTATCTGATCGTACGGGGCTGTTGACGCACCGTTTGTTTCTGGCAGCGACGTCACACGACATTATGATGACTTTCAGCTTAACCGAAATGGATCACCTGGGTGCCAAACATGCTGCACCCGAGTCGCGGCATCTCTTGCAATCCATGGAGTCGAGGTCTGGAGCAGTATTCCGCAAGTGAATACTGGTAATACAGCTTCGTTTTGCAGCTTGCCTCTACGCAAACCTTGGCTGCCCAGATCCAGAGGCAGTCGATTCTCTTCTCGACAGGCATGGGCATAAAGTTGGCCTCGCCCAGATCCGCGGGCACAGCGGCGAGAGCCTAGGCGAATTATCTAAGGACCACTATGAGTACGTTCCGCCAGCTATTTCCATCCTTTTCCAGAGTACCCAGCTGACAATCGTGTATAGTGGCGTAGCCCAAATTTCCCATCGTCTCTCAAGCCCTGTGAAATAGCTTTCCATTCTTCCACTGCCCAGGTAGTGCTAGGTGGCGTAGCAGCCGGCTTCACCTCGTCTTGCCCAAGGCGACGGGCTCATCTATCTGCGCACTCATTGAGGACATGGAATGTGGACAGACATGTCAAGCTTGGACTTACAGCACAATAAAGAATTTGATTTACTCCCCTTTACTACATTCTGTAAACCAAATCGCGTATATTGTACAATGCTTCTCGTTGGCTACCCCCTTGGAATCTGATTGACAAACGTGATCAACGCACCCGACACCCGACCCCCGGCAACCGGTAGCAAGCTTCTTCAGCCGGGCCAAGTCTCCATTGAAAACATCAGAGTCGCCACCCCACGGGCTCTTGTCGCTATCCTGCCAAATCGTCTGGGCGCGCCAGCCCCCAGGAATAGCGCCAGGAGAGCCGGCGTAGCGCGCCAGAACCAGCGGGCAGGTGTCCTTGAAGGCCTGCGAGTTTCCGGTACAAGAGGACCACCACGACGGGTTAGTATACAGCATGGGCCACCGCGTAGTTTTCTCGCGGTACGTGTCGGCAAAGTCCCTGATCCAAGCGACCATAGAGGAATGCGATAACCCCCAGCACTGGGGGTGGCCCTTTTCGGATTCCAGATCGACCATGCCGGGAAGGGTGATGCCGTCCCCTGACCAGCCGCCGCCGTTCTTGACGAAGAAGTCAGCCTCGGCTGAGGCCTGGTTCTGCCCGGGGTGGGCGAAGTGGTACGCGCCGCGGATGAGCTTGGCCTCGGTTGCGCCCGTGTAGTGCTCGGAGAAGGTCTTGTCGGTGTAGGTGGTTCCCTCGGTGGCCTGGACGTCGTTAGTTTGCTGTGATGGGAGTTCAAGTGTGCTGAGGAGAGGGGACCTTGATGATGACGAAGCGAGCGCCGTCGGCGTAGGCCTTGTGGAAGTCGACGTTGGGCTGGTAGCTCGAGATGTCGAAGCCCTTGACGGTGGCGGCGCGCTGCTCGAGTTGCACGGGGGAGGCTGCAGCTGAGCTGACAAGGGCATCGAAGCCAAGCGAGATTGCTGCTCCTGAGGGCTTCATGTTTGCGATGGATCAAGTTGAGTCTGGTGGTGGTGGTTCCGGGGACGGGTGTAAGTCTTTTATATCCTTGGCTATCTGGATATGTTGATCAATGGCAGGTATATGAAACAGTAGGAATGTTATAAATCAATCGTATTTCTTATCCAGTTGAATCAGCCGTAGCGGAATCATGACTAGGTTGAGGTGACTGGTGGCGTTGCGCAGGGTTGATGGCACTGCGAATTAGATGGTCAGCAATGCATGTAAATGATGTAATTGTCCGACTGGTTGGCTAGCAACATGACGGAGAGCCAGGGCAATAGAAGACCGCGAGTTTTCCTGTTGGATCTGTATTGCGCTGCTTGCGTCCGAAGAGAGTACCACTCTACTCAACATCCGAGAGTTTCATTGATGACGGCGAAACCACATTGACAATCATATCTCGATGCAAGACATCGTCACAATGTGTCTAACATCGCCCTGCAATCTAAAATAGGAACCAGGCACTCCATAAGCAGCTGAAGCTTGCCCTGCACATCATTACCCTCTCCAGTATCGGGAATCAGACGATCGCACCCATCTTGGCGATGCTCGAGTCCCACCATAACGCATCACTCCTGCTCAATGGCGCCGAAGCTGAAGGCGAGGCATCAAATGGGGATAAAGTTCTCGCCCCGGCACAGGTGTTCCTGCGTTCATCGCACGGAAATAGAAACACGAACTGGGAGTTGCCGCAGACTAGGTTGCGCTACATGCCGTGAACTGGAAAAGGGGGCAGCATGACACCTGGATCTTCCTTACTAGAGGGCCTGCGACGAGTCAGTGTTTTATGTGTTCACATCAGTCATCACACACGTGGAACATGTGACAAGTTGTATATTTCGTGGCATTCTGCGATGATAGTCTCCCCCCGACGGCCTTGTAATATGGTTATGAAGCCACGGGAATACGCCAAACAGACGGTCTGCGACCTCCGATACAGACACATAACCATACTACTTGGTCCAGTCATCCATTTGGTTTTCGCCGGAGCCGGAGGCGTAGCCGTCGTCGTCAATTTCTGCATATGCCGGCCGACATCGCCTACCGACCTTCTGCATCTCGCTCGCAATAGATATGAGATCCTCTAGCTCCAGTCCGTCATCGCCGGTCGACCAATACCATCGTTCTGCCGCCTTCTCAATCTGCTTCCGGTTCAGATCTATACGGATCAGCTGCTCCATCTTATCTGTTGGGAGATCGTACCGGCGCAGCCCAGCGCAAGACGCGCTGTTCTTCACAGATGACGTCCATATTCGCTCCCTCTGTCCCGGTCCGAGAGGGGACAGGTCTATCTGGAGCGAAATTCTACCCTGCAAGCATGGTTGCAGATCTTGAATGCGGTCGCTGCTGAAGAGCACCAAGCCCTCAAAGTCCCTGACGCACTGGCGGAAAGTAGACTTGAGCTCCCGCCAGGTTTTCGAGTCAGACGTTGTCGGCTTCGCTAGAAACTCGTCGCTGCGCTTGATAAGCACCCAGGTATTCCGCGCACATGCCGTGTTGAAAACCCCCCGTAGCTTCCTCTTTACAATGGACGAATTGATGCCCAAGTCATACGCGTTGATGGTGATGAGTTGCTTTTGGCACACTTCGGCGATGGCTTCAGCAGTGCGCGTCTTGCCGGTGCAAGGCCCGCCGACTAGATGTATGGCCTGGTCGTGATGCGGTCCCGCGGCCATATATTCTTTAACGAAGGTCTTGATGCCGACATGTGCAGCCTTCGGTAGAGTCACTGACTTCAATGCATTTCATCGAACTGCACATCGCGCATGCCGTCGACCAACAAGTCCATCCAGGCCTCCTTTTTGAAAGACCAGGCACGGATGACGGGCGACGTGTACATGAGTTGGTCCTCTGTCACGGTTGGCGGGACTTGGCTGCTGGAGGATTCGGACGACGACGACGGTGATGTAAAAACATCGTCACGGTTGGCCTGCAGCCTTTGTAGTAACTTGTAGTCCCCGGGGGAAAGTCCATCCTCCTCCCCACCAAGCATGATGCGGCCCTCGACCTCCATCCCGCCTCCTCTGCAGCCACACTCCCGCCGCGAGAGGGCACCTCTGTCGTACTCTTTGGGCTGGGCCGAGGAACTTGCGAGGTTCATAAACTTCTGACCCCTCCCGCCAAGCCGCGTTGTAAACTGCCCTTGATGCTCGTGGCCCTCAAGCGGAATCAGGGGCAGGGAGGCGAATTGTTTACGCCCTTCATATTGGGAGATTTCGACCTCCCCCTGGTACCAGGCCAAGCCCTGCCACATGCTGATGAACTTGCATTCAAGAACATAAAGTTGCTTGCCGTCCGTGGCTGTTTTATATGACGACCTTATAACTTGAAACGCTTGAAGATGGCGACAATACCCGGGCTCTCGACCATACACAGGATTGTTGTCATGCCCGCGATACAAGACACCAGAGCCAGGGGGGTAAATAGTCCACAGTTCCACGAATGTAACCGTTCGAGTTTCCAAGCAGTGTTTTCGGGCGTCCACACTGTTCCTCAGCCGCTCGACTATCATGTTGTAGAGAAGATCCATGTACGCTTTGGTCTCGGGATGCCGCGCCGCCTCATCTTTGGCAGCTTTAAATTGTTCCCATCGGTAGACGAAGCAAAGGAACGGAGTCATTATCTGCAGTGACGACGACGTGAAATCGATTTCTGGATAGTCCTGAAAGACTGGTTTCAAAGCCTCCTTTAGGTGCGGCGAATGGATCACGATGCTGTGACTTTCGATGTGTTCTGATATATCTGAACTTGTGTAACATTTCGCCAGGCAAGAACAATTAGTCGCCATGTGAGTTGCATCGGCCAAAGAGGGTGTTGTTCCACTTACGGCGTCGATGGATGACGGCAAATTTCTCAACGTCCTCGGGGGGCATGATTGCACTCAGTTTACCATCAGGATTCTGCTCTAACCACCATAATTTGCCTTCATAAATGTGGGTGTAGAGATTCTTGATTTCCGGCTCCTTGCCTGCAGGGACGGCGCCATTGTTCTCTTCACTCTTACTCCTTGCTCCGTCTTTCCTAGAGGCAGCGTTGTCCTTTGCAAAACTAACGTCCTCCTTGAAAGTGACGACAGGCTTTTCTCTGACCGAGGTATCGGCTCGATCACGAGGGATGTCTGTGAACTCGACTGAGTGACTTTTGACTTGCATTTCAACGTCGTTATCGGCCTCAAAGGATCGTCTCCCCAGGCGAGACAACGACGACGGCCAAAGACTCGACACCACTCTTGTCGAACTGCGCGATAGCGAAGAAGGAAAAGGTAAATAAAGCTTCAAAATGTAGCGCTGTGAAAAAGATGAACAGAAAAATCCATGTAGAATGTTGGAAAAAGTCGTCAGTCGATGCGCAACTTGGAGGAGGATGAGCTGGCTTATCTAGCCGACAAAGGGAACCAACAATTTACTGAACAAACCATCCACACTTGGAAGTGGACAAAGATGAAACTCATGCCCAGAGCTACACATGAACATGGATGTGTGTACATCCAACAAGGGGAGACTCCCACATGCTAAACAGGCCATCCACGCTCGAGAAGCCCTCGAGTTCGCCCAGGCACAAGACAAATATAAATCTCATGCCCAAAAGCACTTATGGATATACATGTCTGATAACTTAACCCTGGCGTGGTAGCCTGACCTACTGATAAACAACGTGGCCCTGATGCTGTTTGTTCGTGCTCATGTTCAGAACAGGTACAGGTGGTGTCTTGGTGTTTCAAGAATTTGGCCGCAGCCTGCAGCTCTCTTTCCCAGCTCCATTTACCCAAATTGCGGCAGGACATAGCAGATACCAAGAATCGTCATCAAACAGGCGCGCTAACAACATGCAGGCGGCATCCGAAGTAATGCAGCACTGGCATTCGCCATGCATCTGCCGTCCTCACTGCTCAACCTAATAGCCCAGCGCAATACCAACACACCATTCAGCATCTAGCCTTTCTCTCCGACAGCACAAAGGCACAAGAGTGGCCTGCTTTGTCTCTCAATGGAGCAGATGGCGCCGGGTCAACCCGAGTCCTCGCCCCCTTGCCCAGTCTGTCGTCAACGACGACATTATAACGAAGCGGCCGAGGATGAGATGACGGCGTTGACAAGGGTCCCGTACATTACCTTGCAGCGTAGGTCCTGTTCACGGGAATGCTTGTTCTGTCGGAGTTTGTCGACATCAAATCCGAGTAAGAGTTGAAAACAGAGGCAACGGCAACTTTTCCATTACCCAAACATGTATGCTATGCTCGTATCCAACGCCCAACCATGCAATACTAAAAAAGAAAAACACATACACAACGGGTATCTACAAGTCATTCTTCATGCAGCGGCGCTCAAAGTCCGCACCAAGGGCTGAACAGCTTCATTCTCGCTCGGTTCCATTTCACCCTGCATCTGCTCCTCCCCCTCTTCCACCTCTTCTTCTACGGATTTGCCAAAATTCTCACCGACAAAATCACCCAGCCCAATCAAGTCGATCCATTTCCAGTGGTCAACGCTATCGTTGCCACTCCTGTCGAATATGGCTCTGTCGTCGTCTATTCCTTCCTCGGTTAACGGTATCTGGCCGTCCTTCCTGGCATTCAACTTGTCCACATGGGCGCCATCAACAAGGTCACCCGCGTACGTGCGAGCCACGGGAATACCGTTCGCCCGCAACAGCTGCAGTTGAGCGCGGAGATTTAAGCGCAGTGCGCGCTCCGGCTGTTCGGCATCAAATATTTTCTTGGTTAACCAGGGGAACAGAATACCAAAGTCAGATTGGCTGAGATGTGCCGAGTTGACGACGTAAAAGAAGTTGGGTTCTGGCAGCTTTATACCGCTGGGGCGTTCGAATAATGGCGGCGTAACGGTTTTGGAGGTTGGATCCGGCGACAAGAGCTTGGCCTTGACGTGCAGATGCTCGGTCCATTTGTGGAAGGCCTCCGACTCAACGGCAAGGAGAGCTGTGCCGCCAGGTGCAGAGGGCACGTCGGCGTATACAGGTAGGGGTAGGTCGTAAAGGGGCTTTGAATTAGGTCCAAGTACAGGCAAGCACCACATGTCAAGAAGCATCGTGACGTTTTTCTCTGTAATCTGCTTCCGAATGCTACTATCCTTGGCAGGCGTGAAGAGAGGCTTTTTCATATTAGCAACCTCGGCAACGTCGGCATAATAGTTGCATTTCAGAAATTGGTGGACTGTGGCGGCACCAAAACTATGTCCACCAAAGATGATGCGACCGGGCTCGTGAACATCGAGACGCCCGATGAACTGTTTCAGCGTTGGCGTGGTCAGATTCATATTGGTAAACCCCCTACCCTCATCAATCGCAAGCATGGCGTCATGGAGTAGGCCAAGCTCCCACAGTCGAACGCGCAGCTGGTCCTCGCGGGCCTCGTAGACTTCCGGTGTGACATGGTGCGGTATGCGATTATACGGCACAATGCGGCGAGCGGCCGAGGAGAAGAAGCGGCTTGACGAGTCGGCTAGTCTGATGAAGGAGACAGCAGCACTACCATCGCGATGTTCGGGGCAGAAGACAACAACACCGTGGGATGCCAGCGACCCGGCAATGTAGGAATACGAATTTCGTCCACCACCCAGTCCGTGGGAGAAGATCATTGTCGGCCATCGCTTCGTTTCGGAATCGGCAGCTTCAGCATTCTTGTGGACTGGGATGGTTGTGTAGTGAAGGTGTCGAGGCAGGAATCTGTGGCATCTGTCAGCACATGTTGTCACTATTGGCCAAGGAGAGGAGACATGGGCGCATACGAGAGGATGTCTGCCAAGGTTGATCCAATGCCCACAAACTTGGTGTAAGCAGAAACATGGTGCCTCTGGGGGTTTGGTAGCCATGTAATGCGCTTCTCGCTGGATTCGGGAACAGCAGGATAGAAGACGCGGAACTGGACCGTTGGAATATCAACGGCGTTGGCGGGCGCAGGGCTTGGGGAGTGCAAATCTGTGACTGGAATTTCGACATCGACAGTGCCGACCTTGAATGGGCCAGTGTACTCTGGGAAGGCCGGAACTGGGCTGAGCCGGGCGAAATACGAGGCCAGTTTGGACGTTGCCGTGGCGTCTGCGGCGGCCATGGTGCAGTTTGGCGATGCACTTGGGTTTTCTTGGTGCGGAATGGCTTGTCGGTCAACGGAGAGGCTTCATTGATGGTTGCGTCGTCTAGAACTTGGCTGCAGCAAAAGAGAGAGGGAGTCTGTCGTTGTAACAGAGTCGTTTTGTTGATAAGTATTGGAATGGGAGATGAAACAAAGGAGAAAAAGGGATGATAAAATGTCCGGTGCAGCTCAGCCTCGGGACCTTGGCGGCGGGAATAGATTTATGAGCATCCAGGTCGACTTGAGTCCAGGATCTTGGGCTCTTGTACCAGTACCTTCCGAGTCTTGCCCTGATCTAGCGGCTGGGAAGGAGCGACGCATGCCACCAACCAGGCTTGATGAGTGGCTGCTGATCCACAAATACCGGCACTGGACTGCCCGGTGTGCCGGTGGTGACGCAACCGCCACGCGAAGCCTGCTTTGAGACCTGTCAGCGTCACTATTTGATTGGCCGATGAGTGCTGCATGCACTTGGCATAAACTAAAAAAAAAATAAAACATGATGCATCCTAGGCTTTGCCGGTTTCGAAGCCCGTCTGTTTTCTTCCAATACCGTTTCCTGTGTGGTCTTTGGCGTTTTATGCAGTCAGCCCCCCGTGAACAGCCGCTTTCGCCATGTCTGAGTTTGCCACGACCAATGCAGACACGCTCGATGCGCGCTGGCTGCAACGACGAAACAGCGCAGCAATGGCTTTGGTATCCTTGGATCAGGCACCGGACGGATAACTTCATCTCGCCGAAAGCATGTACTGCTACTTCTCCACCCGTAGCGCAGAAGGAGGGAGTTTGTCACGCGAGCACACCGCCGATACAAACTTGGTGAGAAATCGCCCGCCGCAAAAACCTTGGCTTCGTGCAACTAGGCCCCTTCCGCCACCGAGGCCCGAGGGCCAAAATATGTTGTTGCCTATCTGGGCAATTCTCTTGTCCGGAGACGCCGGCTGATGTGGGGATGCTGTGCCGTGCTGTGGGACCGAGAATTTGTTGTCGAGACAGCATCTCTGGGAATAGTTTGTCCAGGTCCCAGGAAGAGATGCACCCAGCCATTGGCTACACGAGAAAAACCATGCGAAACCTTGTTCGGCCAGGTCAAACTTGATCGCGTGCTTCGAGGACAATGCCTCTCATCGTCAGACTTGCTGGCACCATGCAGAGAGCCCTGCCTCGAGCCTCAAACTGGAAATAGTACATGCCATTTCAGCAAGGCATATGCAGTCAGACGACCCGGTCGAGCCTACGCTCGTGCCAGTCAAACAGCAACAGCCTTCCTGGCCTGGAGTCTACAATCCAATTGACACGAGCGTCATCATCTCACACGACGCAGCATGCCTCCTCGTTTGTCCTTGTAAGCCCTACATTCGCATGCTGGTGCCGCAATGCAAGATTCAGCCGCGTGGCGCACATCGGGCCAACCACCATGCCGCCGTGTGCCAGCCTGACGACGATAAAGTATAAGACCGCCACAGTTTCAACGTCATTCGCTCATCCTCATCAGAATCCGCCGACCGCAAGTCTGATATCACTCGTAACAAACCGTTTCAGAAAGGGCAGCCGGAGCGTTATAGCAAAGAATGGCGAATGATGCGCAGCCGACAACCAAGAAGGTCGTCATATCTGCCTTTGGCGACGTCTCCAATGTCCACATCGTGACGGAACCCATGCCGCCCCCGTCGCCAAACGAAGTCCAAGTTGGCATCATCTACAGCGGCTTCTCCGGAGCAGACATCCACATGCGTCTGGGCCGGTACCCCCAGCAGCCCTCTGCACCTCTCACGCCGGGATACTGCCTCGTCGGCCGCGTCAAGGCCAACGGCTCCGCGTGCACCAAGTTCCGGGCCGGCGACCGGGTCGCCGCGCTGACAGTGTACGGCTCCCAGTCCGAGCTGGTCAACGTCCCGCAGGGCAAGCTGATTCCCGTCCCGGCCGGCATCGACTCGCAAGTCGCCTGCGCCCTGGTCCTCGACTGGGCGACCGCGTACGCCATGGTCTTCCACACGGCCAGGGTGGCCGAGAAGCAGCGCGTCTTTGTGCACGGCCTCAGCGGCGCCGTGGGCCAGGCCATCATGGCCCTGTCGCAGCTGCGAGGAGCGACAGTCTACGGCACCTCGTCGGAGAGAAACCACGGGGACCTCGAGAAGATGGGCGCTGTGCCGTTCTCGTATAAAGACCAGAGGTGGATCAAGGAGATGCAGGACCTGGGCGGTGCCCATGCCGTCTTTGATGCTCTCGGGTTTGAAAGCTTTGACCGGTCGTACTCTATTCTGTGCGACCGTGAGCCGGCTCGGCTGGTTGGCTACGGAGCAAACCTGCCGTATCTCGGTGATGACAAGGGCAAATATGGATCGCCGGTCCCGAGCGTCGCCAAGATGCTGCTGCGGAATGCGGCCGTGTGGAGCAACAAGTCGACGAGGTTTTACGACATTAGCAAGGACAAGGACTTTACCGAGAATCTGGCCCGGCTCATGCAGTTGGTGCAGCAGGGCAAGCTCAAGGTTCCTATTAAGCAGGTCTGGGGGCTGGATGAGATTCGAGAGGCGCATAGCAGTTGGGGCAAGGCTCACGGGATGGGGTCTGTTCTTATTCGTGTCGCCGACGAAGTCACCTTGCCGTCTATCGAAGTGTCTGCCGTTGCAGAGTCGAGTGTTTAAGCTCGCATCTATGGGGTAAATCTGACCGTCGTCCAGAGACGTGGCTTCTGCTCGACATGCTGGCGAGGGCGACATGCGGGCGTGAATTCGTTTTTGTGAAGCAGGCGGTTCAAGAGGCTGCAGAAATGAGCATGTGCTTCCGCTGCTGGTTGATGCGTAGCAGATGAACATGATGGATTTCTAACATTATTTCCAGCGGCACATCAAAGATTGTACATTATTCACGTCGTTGTGCTTCTCATTCTTAAACCAACCATGTTACACTTCGGCTTTACTGTAGTGATCCAGACGTGAAAGCCTGCAAGAGCTCATAGGCTGATGCGGCCGATATCTCGGTCCCATCGTAGCACGCCATCGCTCGAAATCCCGGAGTGCTCTCCCTGGCAGGAACACGACTGACTCTATCGAAAGGCAGCTCATCAAGGCAAAGCCACCCCGGAGTGAATCTCCTGTGAGCCGGAATCAGCATCATCATCTGGGTTGGGTTTGGTATCAACTCACCCCTGCCAAGATTCCTCGACCCAATGCTCGTCCGTACCCAATGCTCGTCCGTATTCTCCCAGTCCACTTCACGCGTCATCTAGGCAACACCACAGAACCTCCGGCTGAGGCTCGCTTTCACGTCAGCCGTCTTCATGCCATGCCCAAAGTCTTGTCGCAGAGACACCAGACGCCTGGCTGCCACAGGTACGAGATGAACGACATACCTTTGGATGGCCGAGAAAAATAGCACTACTCTTCCGTTCGTCGCGAGGTCTCCCTTCTGGAGTATCTTGTTGACCCGTTTGCTGGATGTCCAGACGCCATATGCTGCACTTGTTTCAACGTCTGTCGCGTAATCAGCTCTCAACACAAAGCATCTGGTCTACATGACAAGTTAGGGCCGTCTCTGCTTGCGCCAGGGGACGGGGGCGAGTACCGCTTCCAACGACAAATGACGAAAGCCCGGCAAAAGAACCTGTGCGTCCAAGCCGGGGCCGGGCCCTCGTATTCGAGGAGAAGAGATTGTGTGGACCAAGCCAGAGACGCAGGAGTGAATGCTGGAAGTTCTTGCGCCGCAACTTCAGCCGACCTTCGGGATACAAATAGCCTGCGTGCATGCTATCAGATTCCACCGGCCGAGTTCTTATTTTGAATCCTTGCAAGGCGGGAGATACTCATGACTCCAAGATGATGAATACCGAATCTAAATTCTCAAACCATCCGGCTGATTGGACAAAAGAATCAGCGTACTGGCTAGTTCATAAGCTTCGCATTATCAGGAGTAGAGAACCGTAGGGAAATCTCCAACTCTCTCAAATAATTCCAATTCTCGCTCAAGGTGAGCTTTCGAATTACCTTGACAGCGCGAACCTTGGATGGCGAGTCTGTTGCCACGGATGCATGTGAGTTCTGTCAAATCTCCAGCCACACACTTCCCAACATGCCTTCAACCAGAATCCTGTCAGCTATCCATACTTCCTCCCCTCTGGAAAATTCCGAAAGTGTCTGACTCGTCCGTCCAGGAACTGGGTTTCTAGCCTCGCATCGAGGACGTTGGCAGACATGATATAATACTTGAAGAGTTGATAAGAGTTGCAACAATCTCCGCATTACACTCCGCGGCGTTGCATGGTGTTTGAGTCAAAGGGTCAACTGGTATCTTGTTATAATAGAGTAGCCCACCCCCCTTTTCAGCTCACAGCCAGCCTGTGCCGTCACTTGCGGATGACGAATCAAATACTCAGTTGACAGGGCATTGCTGCCGCTTCCTTCAGCTCGTGCCTACGTGGGCTAGACACTATCCATCAAGCCATCCCATTGTGGAATTGAATAGGTCAAGGCGTGTGAGTAAGTACTGCGCAAATCCTCAGCTTCCTCGGTGCTTCACGGCAAACTATCTCTTGCGACATCGATTATCCAGATGCCGGAATCTTGCCGGTTGGGGAGGCTGAGATGTTCCATCATCAAGAACAGACTCTACGAATTGGTATCGGAGTTAGAGAGTTGGCAGGCACGGCTCGACCCGACGTGGCAACTCATTATTCTCGTGAGCAGGGGGGATGCTGAGTGCAACTATGCATTGGCGTCGATGGTCTGCGGCGCTGCGCCCTGCTGTGTACATGTTGGCGGCTACATCGCTCAATCAATGTGAATCTTTCACTTGACTCGGCTTCGTGAAACAAGCAAGCACAAATGCTCCCACCGGTTCACGGACAGAGCCGACCCGCCCTCAATACTGCTTGCACTGTGTTCTTTTCAGGCGAATGTCCCCCGCACCGAACCAAAGTTTGCGCCTTTGATTAGTCCTTTGATTAGTCAGTCGACGAGAATTCACGGCTGCGTGATTTATACGTCAAGACGAGAACCGCCAGGAAACATGCTCCGTGGGGCGCTTTAGATTTTTAAATCAACATACGATATGCATTGGGCCATTGCGACCAAGGCCCCAACCCTCGACTCAGCACCCCGGCCACAAACAGACCGCCTTAAGCTCTGATAAGCATGAACAACTCGTTAGCATAACGTCACCTGGGGACTTTGATGGTTGACTCATACCACAACCTCAAGAGATATATAAAGTGTCATCTGTCCCTTGGCCCGCTTCTCCAACATTTGGGCCCTCATCATCCAACCCCAACTTCTCCGACACCATGGCCAACGAGTCCGCCAAAGCCCTCAAGGCCCTCCATGTCCCCTCCAAACCCATCATCTTCGCCAACATTTGGGACGTTGCCTCTCTCAACGCCATCAATTCCCTCAACACCCCGTCCTCCAAGCTCGTCCAAGGTGTCGCCACTACATCGTGGGCCATAGCTGCCGTCAACGGACAGCTAGACGAGGACCTCACAGCTGAGCAAACCCTCGAATCCATCAAGCGAATTGCACCCTTTGCCGCGAAAGCCGGTCTCCCGCTGAGCGCCGATCTCAGGGACGGCTATGGCTCGCGCATCTCAGAAGTCGTCACTGACGCTGTAAATGCTGGCATTGCCGGCGCCAACATTGAAGATTCCATCCCATCGCCTTTGTTCGACAAGGGCTTATACCCCATCGACGAGCAGGTTCAGAGGCTCAAGACTGCGCTCCAAGCCGCCGAGGCTGCTGGAACGCCAGACTTTGTGCTCAACGCTCGATGTGACGTGTTTTGCTTGGAGGATGAGAGCCTAGACGATGAGACCAGGCTCAGGGAGGCGATTGAGAGGGGCAAGGCGTATTTGGAGCTGGGTGCCACGACGGTGTTTTACTGGGGTGGGCCGCGGGGAGGCATGACGAAGCATCATTTGGAGACGTTGGTGAAGGAGTTGGATGGTCGGGTCGCCGCGTCGTTCTCCGCATATCCCGGCATCAAGACTACCAAGGAGTTGGCAGACATGGGCGTTGCCAGAGTGAGCATTGGGCCTGGCTTGTTCAAGGTCGCCATGGGGGCGGTCAGGGCTGCTGCTGAGAATATGCTCACGGGGGGGAGTCCGGCACCGTGAGGTGATGACCCCGAGAGTGTCAGAGATACCTATCGTACGTAATGACTGAACTAGGGAATTGAAAGGAAGAGATGGCCCTGTCACCCGTTTGGCGAGCCACGGCATTGCATTAACGTTGATTCTGCAGATGTATGGCTTCGGAATTGCAAAGTCAATCAAGTTGAGCGCAATTTCCGATGCGTGCTCTCAAAAATTGTCTAATGGCTCTGCGCTCTACGTCGAGGGCTCGATGTGCCGTGGATGAGTGAGTGTTTATGAGAATAAACATGCACTTCCACCCTTTAGACCTTACCATCCGGGGTTAGGGTTGGACGAGACCAAGCGGAGCGTTTGGTGGTCACCCTGCCATTACTCTCATGATGCCACATTTTACAAGCTGCACTACCGAAAGTGAGTGAACCCCCGGTAGTGCATTTTGTTTTCATCTCTCTCACATCAAATGTTATCAAGTGTTATGCTGCCTCCCCCCCAACCAGCGCATGGCACCACCGTCCTGGAGCGTCACAGTCTGTGATAGAGATGTGGCCCAAGCTCCATGTCCGTATCTCACTCAAGAAACGTATGGCAATGGCTGCGCCGCGCTTCCAGTACCAGGTGGCTGCCAAGATTTGTGGGTGTGGTCAGGTTGTCCCACGAGACGGTTGTCTGACGAAGCGTGGCACGCCGAAGCTAGAGTCACCTGCCAGTCCACGTTCAGGAACTCCAGACGAACCCGCTGACATCAAAACAACGCCGTCATGGCATGCCGTCGCATGTGAGTTACACGAGCATTCAAGGTCCGCCATTGGCTCGCTTACTCCCGCTCTACCCCGCGTTTCTCCCTCCATGCCGCTTTCCATGTCCACTTGCGGTTATCATAGCCGGTCACGACTTGACTGCCGCATTTCCACATATCGACACAAAAATTACTTATGTAGTCTTGGCATGCCATGTGAATCGTCGAAGAAAAGAGCTGCTCAGCCCAGCAAAGCGTGCTGTAGCCCGTTATCGATATGGCGTTTTTATATTTTCTTCTAGCAATGGCCGTGGGTGTCTGTGCCTACCTATTCCAAGCCTACATATGGAAGAAGAAAGCGATCGGCCATGGCGAGACTCCGATAGCTGGTAACGCCAAGCCGGAGACAGCCCCTGACTCAGACTACTCTAAAATATTTCCGCCGTCACAGCGGAATACCATCTATGACCTCATCCCTACCGCCGACAACAATATCGGGCCCTTATCCGTCTCAAAACAGCCCCTTTTGAAGCTGGAGTGTGACTACCGCCTTGCGGACCCTTCAACCAACCTATATAGTGGCTTCACAGTTGGTGATGTCAGGGCGCTGGGCAGTTTCCCCGACTATGCAAAGCTATCCGGCGTTCCGGCCCCGACGCCCCTCAAAAACTTCACCATCGACACTGCTCGACCAAGACCATACAGGCCGTTTCGATGGCCGTATCACCAAACTATGTGTATGTAACATGGATGCCTATCAATCACAAGCTATCGATGAGTCTAACGAGTGCCGCCTCGACATTAGCTTTTACAAAACTCGATGCGGATTATTGGCTCGAGCTGGAAAGCACCTACCGGGAGCGCATAACCCAGCGCCGAGATCTGTACGCGCAGCACGGCAAAGAAATCCTACAAGCCCTGCCAGGATCAGAGCTCGCGTGCAAGGAGCTCATGGAAATGGCCCTGCAATACCTCGGCACCAGATACCCGCAGCACTTCCAAGTCAAGGACGGCCATTTTGTGAACCGCATCCTCGGCACGACACGCGACGTGTCGGCAGCGGAACCGCTTCACGTCCTCTTGGAAAATCTGCCAGAGGACTTTGGAATCATGATGCGCGACGAGAAGACGGGTCGTTACCACTTGCGAGCCGGCGTGATTTGCTCGTCTCTCGGCTGGAAGCTCGGCCAGAAGATTGGGATGGGCTTGCCCGGCGTCCACCGCGCCGTTCCCGGATACAAGGAGAAGCTGGCGTTTAGCATGGACCGGTGCGTTGCGTGCCCACGCCTGCTGGGATTGCAGACACTAACGCCTCGATTGTAGGTTCTTCACCAAGATGCCGGCTTCGAGCCCTATCCAGAGAGGCTCCTGGGGCTTGGAGATTGGGCAGCCGCTCTTCTTGCCTGATGACCATCCTGACTGGGGCAATCGCGGCTCGAGGAGTGACTGTCTTCGCGAGGAGGATGTTTACTTGCGGGTTGACTGGCAGACGTTGCGTCGGCTGCCACTCTCAGGAGCTGTCGTTTTCAACTTCAAGGCCTTGTATACGCCTCTGTGTGAGTTTGCTGACGAGCCTTATATCCCGTCGCTTGTTCTTAAGATACTGAATGAGGGGGAGGAGGGCATCATGAAGTACAAGGGGACTTGGCATGTGGAGCATGTGGTGAAGCCTGCGCTGGTGAGGTATGAGCGGGCACAGCTGGACATGGGGTTGATTGAGAAGGACTGGGTTGTGCAGACTCTGGATGAAAGTCCATTCTTTCCGGGGTGGCAGCGGAAGTGCAGCTAGAGGTGGAATGCGTGCGGTGTATTGGTATTGTGCTTGGTTGGAGTGGGCGCGGTTAATGGGTAGTGACGGGTTTCAAGTGAAGCTTTACAGTCGACGGTTCGCAATTGACAGATTGAGCAGGGGTAGCCAGTAGGACGTAATGAGTCCTAATGTATGTACGGGACGCATAGTCACAGGGATAATACTGGAATTTCTCGATTTATCGCCAGCCAAGTACTGCCTGAAGCTTCCATGCTGTGTGTCGCCGCACTATAAGATTTTGCTCGGCCGGTCTCTCGGTTGGTGCTGATGGGCCGCCCTATGTATAACATGAATCAGTGTAACACAAGGATCAATGGTTCATCCAGTAGCAGATTGGGTGAGTGTGCCCGTCGGTGTTTCTAATCGTTACGCCATGTCTGGTGGAATACTTGGCCGCGATGGCCTACGGGGCGAGGCAAGGAGATAGCACTGGAGTATTCGACTTTGGTGACGTGCTGGTATTACATTGAATACAAATTCATTCTATACCCAAGTGCCTTTATTTCGAAATTCTCCAGACGGTGCCTATGTCTACACTGTAGTGGAGAGTGTGAATTGGACGACGAGGGTGGCTTGTACATTCAAGGTGGATTGCCAAGAAGCAAGTGGAATTTGCATCTCGTCTACCCCTTACGCCTCTTTTGACTGAGCGCGAGCATGAATGGAATTCTAGGGATAGTGGCTGACTGCTGCCCGCTGCTAGACGAGTTACTACGTCATAGAGTGGCGTAAACCCCCTTCTTGTTAGTTTCTACTATTCACCTGGCCTTATTATCTGATCATACTGGCTCGGTGGGCTTTAAAAGAATTCGACTCGTCCATTTTGCTACACGCTGCAGTTTCTCGGAAGTAATTCAGATCTACACTTAGCATTTCCCCGTGGAGACAGGCTCAATCCATCGCTGTCCCGACTGGGAGATTGCCTTTTGGAGAGTCGTTAGCGCCGGCGAGGCGTAAGGTTCAACGAAGCCAATGCTAAACCGTGGCATCGCATCTTTCCACCACCAAAGACTTGGTTTCAAAGGCTCTCAAGCGCTACTCAAGCCACGTATCTGCAGTGGAAACCCACAAACGTTTCGTCAAGTACAGCATTGAGATTGCAGTTGTAAAAGACCTCCCTTGGAACGTGTCGGCATATGATGCCACGAAAGCCCAGGAACCCCGCGGTGGATGAGAATAAGCTTGAACTTGAGTGTCCCATCTTGAAAGAATTTAGTAGGAAACTGCAGTATGCGCCAAATATCGATTCATTGACAATAAGCAAAATTACGTGTCAAAATTGACTAGCCCGGTACGCCCGTCTCCGGGCAGCAATGACGTCTGCCGGCCGGTCCTTCGTGCGGAAACCTTTGATCCAACATGTAGTAGGACAGGGTTAGGGCACGAGCGATGTGTGTAGTCTACACGTCAACATGCCAATTGAATTCGAACAGCGAGCATGCTGGCTAGTCCTTCCACGTGGGTATATAAACACAAGTTCGATCCCTTCAAGGACGTGGCATTTGGGCCGCCCATCAGATCAGCCTTCGATATATCCCGCGCCCATATCCTTACCACTCAACATGAACTTCATCACACTATTCATGACGGCAGTAGCAACTGCCGTCTCAGCAACCGACCCCGGGGAAACCCCAAATATTGGTGTAAGCAAACAAGCTCCAAGACTCACAGACAGTTGCCAACAAAGCCCATCCTGATTTGCCTCTAGGTTACGCTATATGAGCACAGAGACTGGCAAGGACTCTCGACTACCGTGCCGTATCTGGACAAGTGCTATGCAGTTCCAAAGGAGTTGTAAGCAATGCCTTTTCCAATTCCATCGAGCCTGTGAGCAAATGCTGACGGTGAGGAATAAAGTGTTGAAGGGGATGAGGTAACCTTGATATCATCCATCAAATTTTTTACCGACCAGGTAAACTGTTCTGTGTACCTCTAGTAAGTCGGCATGCTGCGTTTCCGCCCACTTCACAGGTCGCAACTGACGCGGCAACTCAGCAACGCGAACTGCTTGAACCCGGCTCTCTACACGAATGTTTCCGAGTCTATTCGCGATTTGCATGAGACCGACGACGGCGACCAGATTAGGTCCATCTTCTGCACGCGGATCCGTTTTGAGAACGGCGAATGGGACCCCCATGATTAAGGGTCATCATCATGTCTTAAGTGTAGGGTTTCCCGGGTGAAATTAGGCTCTTCTACATCATTATTGAGACGGTAGAGTCTTGTAAATCTCATCCTTTGTTTGCTTTTTTCTTAAAAACAAGATATCGTCTGCTGGACTGGCGTGTGGGGGACCGTCGAAGAGGCTGGACGGGGTCGCTTGAACAGCGCCCACGACGGATCCTGGCTGGCGCGAGCTTCCGGCCAAGTAGATTGGCATACTATGGACAGAGTGTAATTGGATAATCCGGCTTTCTATAAGTCAAGAGGTGTTTTTCTCGGGCTTAGATTAGCATGCTAAATCTGCTAGCATTGGCCCCAAGGAAGCTGCGAGTAAACTCCGATAGCCGCAGTGAGTAATACAGTCAAGGACGCATTCCACGTTATCTAAAGGATCAAGCTGTCGAATTTTGTGATAGGTAAATCCTGGCGAGATCGATCGTTTTGTTGACTGGACCTATGTCCATAAAGCTCTTGCAGCAACACGATTCACAGGGCGGAAAAAAGTGAATATTTCCACGTGGTATCATCAGTCTATACAGGGCAGCTGGCTGTCGATGGTCCAACGAGCTTATCTCTCCTCCTCGGCCCTGGCCAAGAGACGGGAGCCGTTGGCAATATATAAGCCAAATCATCGTTTGACAAGTTGCCTGCCATTTTTCATTGTTCTGGCTACGGTGAGCTATCAAACCCCGCGAGCCATTTCGGCGAACCCTGCAGCCAATAATCTCACGAACAAGTGATTGGCGCTTGGCATCCAGGATCACCACCCAAAATCCAACACGAGCACAACACGGTGACTTCAAGTCATCAACCTAGTGGAACCGTCAGCCTGTCACTTTGTAATCCATCAGCAACTGCGCGGAGGTTGGGTCTGGGGGATTCCGGGGGTGGATCAATTCTTCCAGTGACCATGGCCCAACCTTGAGGCATTCCGAGGGCTTTTGCCGTTGGAAGCCGTTCACACCAGGACAAAGACTCGATTTCGACCCAGGATGTTGTCTGTCATGGGCAGATTTCCTTCGCGGGGTGGTGGATCGGCTCGTGGCTCGAGGCGGATCACAACGCGGGGGCATCATGGCACAGCATCGTCCGACCAACGGGTGGAACGACGCCTGCACATGGCATGGGCTAGGTATGTGGACCGAGATAATCTGGCACTGGGCAATTTGCAAAATTGTGGCTCCATGGTCATTTGGAACTGAATCCCGCCAATCCAAGTGAGCGCTGGTGTGAATAGTGTCAGAGACTGAGCTGTGAGAAGAAAGAGCAAAGAGGTCAAGGCTGTCGTGGTATAGAACCATATTGGCCATGCCAGTCGGAAGCACAATTAGAGCACTTTGAGCAACAAATGTCCAGTTGGGTTATGCGGTATGAGCTCTCAGACAAACCGCCAAACTTCAATGCTGGAACCCGAGTGACATCAAGTTAAAGCCACGCCATGCGTTCACACCGTAGCGCCTATCAGGAAAAACAACTGGACGCAAATAATTAGTGTTGGGAGATTCCAAGCAGCCAAGCCAACGTCTAGCCACCCATGAAACGGGGCAAAAGCAAGAGAGTACTCCGTAAGTAATACTTGACTCCGTATATGAATGCCAAGAGCGCCCGTGCTCCCATCAGCACAGACTCATCCAGGCTGCGCATTCGTTATTTCACAGGGAGGCATTGCCTGCTGTCCCAAGACCATCATTTGACAGCGTCGGTCCTCCTCCACCACTTCACCTTCGGGCACATGTGCTGTTCGAGAACATTTCTCTGAGGTCCAGCGGAGCCACCCAGCGGTGAATTCCACACACCATGAAAAACACCCTGGCTCGCCTCGGCGTTGGATCGGGCTTTTTGGCATCAATCAAGGACGGATCCATTGTTGGTCCTCCGCTGCCGCTCCGAGTGTATCCACTGGGATGGGTACCCGGAGGCTGATCGGAGCAATCTGCAAAGAAAGCCACCAAGTAGCATTGACATGCACCAACGCGTTCTAGAATGCGTGAGGCTGCGGCAGAAGGTGTGCCTTTTGCCCCAATGAGACCGCGTCTGAAGGTACGAATGCGGCAAGTGTCTCGTGGCAGAAGCAAAAGACGAAAAAAAAAAATTCCACAGAGAATGTGCCCGCGCTGATATCTGAGGTATCGCTTGGGCTGTGTCTGCCGAAACAAACTTGATCTTGCAACGTACAATTTGCCAAAACCCACTTTATGGCCCCAAACCTATAAGGAAAAGCTGGGATGGGCCGACGCTGGGCAATCCTTCAACGGTGGGATTCGGTCAGCATCGCTGTGGAAGCGTGTCGGCGTACTCGACGGATTCTGCGTCATGTCTTCTGGAACAATTTCGGAATAAGCTTAATAACCCTTGATCTGAAGGTGCATTACCGAGAGGAAGAATTGCTTCGTCTGTCCTATCGCCCTCCCTTTCAGGCTCCCTCTCTAATCCGCTCGAGGATAAGGTTGGGCCAGAATGCTTCGAGGAGCGAGTTCGGTGTAAGAACGGCTGTCGCCGCTGTCAAGGAGCGCAAGTCGGCCGGAAGACGTTCCGCTGTCAGTCCTTCCTTGATTATCGGCTCCTCGCGGCAGGTTTGGCTGCGCTTTTCCTGACTCAACCTGGGCAATCTCCCGTTGTTGTATCCACACGCTGCCATGGGGGGTGCCCATCGTGGTGTGCATATTCGCGTTCCGATGCGGACTCGACATGTTTATAATCTGGGAAATGCCCCAGTCCCGTTGTCCCCAGGTTGCATTGTCTCAATTGCCCCTTTGTCGTCTCGGTTCCGGGACTCTGTGTAGCATTCGCTCAACTGCCGGCGACGGCCTCTCTCGGTGCTGGGCCGACTTACACGACGATCCACCATGTCCGACCTGGACGCACCCACATCCGTAGGAAGCGGCGAGAAGCCGGCCTTCCAGTCTGCTGATGCGGACAGCAAGGTCGTATCCGGGCCTCAGTTTGCGGCTACCTTTGCCGAGGAGGACTTTTGGACCAGGAACGGCCTCAATGGCAAGTCGTTCCAGAAGCGTCACTATGGAAGAGGCATAGTCGAGCTAGACCGGGCCATGAAACCTCGCCATCTACACATGATTGCTATCGGCGGTTCAATTGGCGCCGGCTTTTTTGTTGGCTCGGGCAGTGCTTTGGCCAAGGGCGTAAGTAGCAACCCTGAACAAGAGATGCCCATTTGGAACATGCATTCTGACGGCACCAGGGTCCCGCGTCTATCCTGATCTGCTTCTCCATCGTCGGTTTCATGGTCTTTAACGTTGGTGAGTCTTTAATGGTCGATCGAGGTTTGTCTGGCACCAATACTAAGAGAGCGCAGTATTTGCTCTTGGAGAGCTGGCTGTCATGTATCCCATCTCGGGCGGCTTCTACACATATGCGAGTCGATTTATTGACCCCTCGTTTGGCTTTGCCGTCGGCTGGAACTATTTATTCCTCTGGTTGGTCGTGTTACCGCTCGAACTTACGGTCTGTGGTCTTGTCATAGAATACTGGGACGACAAAACTAGTGTTGCCGTTTGGATCACAATCTTCCTTGTTGCCGTTATTGCAATCAATGTTTTTGGCAGCATTGGCTTTGCCGAGGAAGAGTTTTGGGCCTCCTCCATTAAACTCGTTTCCGTCGTTGTATTCATGATCATCGCCCTTGTTCTTGTCCTTGGTGGCGGCCCCAAGGACGGTAGATACAACGAATACTGGGGGGCAAGATATTGGTACGATCCTGGCGCTTTTAAAAACGGGTTTCGTGGCTTTTGCGCTGTGTTTGTCACTGCTGCGTTTTCGTTTACCGGCACCGAACTAGTTGGATTGGCTGCAGCAGAGACGTCTAACCCGGTGAAATCTGTTCCTGGTGCTATCAAGCAAGTCTTTTGGCGAGTTGTCTTGTTTTACGTCTTGGGTTTGTTCTTCGTTGGCCTGCTTATTCCGGCAGATGACCCTCGTCTGCTTTCCAGCGCGGCCTACACTGATGTCAAGGCGTCTCCGTGGGTTCTTATCGGTTTCTATGCTAAACTCCGTGGACTCGATCACCTCATGAATGCCATTATTCTGATATCGGTCCTCTCTATTGGTGTTTCTGCTGTGTTTGGCGGATCTCGCACCCTGACTGCCCTCGCTCAACAAGGCTATGCGCCCAAGATATTCACATACATCGATCGATCCGGGCGACCTCTGTTTTCCGTTATTGCACTTATTTTGACGGGTCCTTTGGCCTATGTCAATCTGACTTCGTCTGGTCCCATTGTATTCGAGTGGCTCCAAGCCATCTCAGGCTTAGCTGTGTTATTTGCATGGGGAGGCATCTGCGTGTCGCACATCCGTTTCCGAGCCGCCTGGACATACCACGGCCACTCCGTTAAAGAGATTCCATTTCAAGCAGCCTTTGGCGTGTGGGGGTCGTGGATAGGCTTGGTATTGTGTGTTGTGGTTCTCGCGGCCCAGGTTCGTATATTTACCATTTTCTTCGTGGTTTCCGCCATTTAAATGACAACCTTTTGACTAACATGTTTGCCAGTTCTTTACTGCTCTTGCGCCTCCCGGAAAAGATGGCCTCAACACTGCCGAAGGCTTCTTCAAGTCGTACTTGGCATTCCCTATTTTGATTGCTTTTTGGGCCGGAGGATTTGTCTGGAAACGCACGGGCTGGCTGCGCCTCGACCAGATTGATGTTGACACTGGCCGACGTGAACTCGATTGGGATCAAATTCGTGCTTATCAGGCCGAAATTCAGACCTGGCCAGCGTGGCGCCGGGCGCTTCACAGAGTTTTTTGATAGCGGAATAGTGCCATGCTCAAACTTTAACGTTCCAAGGTATCAATATCCTGAACACTACATTAGCGAATAATATACGGCATGTAATCTGAGATTGTGATTCGTTTCCTGCATGCGAAGCCGACGTCGTTGCATTGCATAGCGTTCATGTCTGTCGGGAAAACAAGGTTAAAACGCCTCATTCTCCACATTGCCTTGATTGACGATCTGCAGCCCACCCTCGCAGGACGGCAGACTTGGTACGGATGCTGCCAAGTACTATCTCGCTCATTATGCGAGCATCATGACAGCACAGCAAGGGCGTAGAAGAAGGCAGAAATCGCGTGCACACTCCAGGGCCAGTCAACTCAACTGGCGGTTTGCGATGCGTCATCCGGGAGTCGGGCCTGTCGGGCAGCGCGGGACCCGACGACCTAAATGACCAGTTGACGCGCCTCACTTGCTCATTGGCCCTTATCTTCAGTGTGGCTCTCCTGTTGACCCTCAGACTGCTGGGCAGTAAGTGGCTGCGCCTATTAGGTGGAGCCAGCCGTCACAGAATCTCGACTTTCGATCAATCAAAGTCAGTCTTGGCACTTGGCACCTCGCCTTGCGGTTCTGCGATGCTGAGAAAGCGTCCAAAAGACCGTGTATTTACCATCATCTATAAAATGCGAATCGGTAGTCCTATGCTCCAGGATGATTTGGTGCTGCAGCTCTCCTCAACTTGTACCGATACTGGTGAAACTGCGGTCCGGTGACCCTGGATGATGGCGGTTTGAAGGCCAGTGCCCAAGACCAAAGATTCTATTAACTCCCCGTTTTTATATCTCAACAGTAGCAGAGGTTTTGCAGCACATATCGCCGGAATGACTGATACAATTGGTGTGCAGCCTGTTGCAGGCCAGAATCCGCTGTCGATAAATGCGGCATCAGAGAAACACACGCTTGTTGACATGGGCGATGAGAAGACTGACCGGAAAGGTCCTGGAGAGGCCAAGGAGGATCATGGCGGATACATGGTAGGACAGCTGAGCAACCATCAAATTTATCTTGTGGCGCTCTTCAGGCTGACTGTTGATGGCAGAGAATCTTTACGTATGCTGGCAGGGCTGAGTACATCATCCTCGGCGTTGCAACCTTTGCCGCTATTGCGTCTGGAGCTGCCATAGCTCTTCAAAATTTAGTTTTTGGTCGATTCGTTACAGTATTGACTGATTTCACGTCTGGAAAGTCTACGGGTGCAGATATGCGAAGGGACTCCTCGACATTGGCGTACGTCACCCTTCACAGTCGAAGTCAAACATGTACCTAACGGCGCCGATGTAGGTTATATTTCGTCTATATAGGAATAGGACGTTTCGTCCTTTCCTACACATACAACTCCCTTCTGACATACAACGCTTATCGGATCGTTCGAAATATTCGTTATGCGTACCTCAAGGCTGCCCTAAGTCAGGAAATTGCCTTTTTCGATCTCGGCACTGGCGGCTCTATATCAACGCAGGCCACCACAAACGGCCGTCTTATCCAGGGCGGCATCTCGGAAAAGCTTGGATTGACCTTCCAGGGCCTGTCGGCTTTCGTAACCGGCTTTATCGTTGCGTTTGCCACAAACTGGAAGCTAACCCTCATTACGCTGTGCATTGCTCCGGCTACTATTGTTGTCATGGCAGTGACGGGCATCATCGAGGCTGGTCTGGAAACCAAGATACTTGACATTTATGCACAGGCTAATTCGTTTGCGGAGGGTGTGCTGGCCAGCGCACGTACCGTTCATGCTTTTGAGATGAGGTCGCGCTTGGTGAACAAGTTTGACGAGTATCTCATCGAAGCGCACCGAGTGGGCAATAAAATCTCCCCGCTGTTCGGAATACTGTTCTCGTCCGAGTACTGCATCATCTATCTTGGCTTTGGACTTGCATTTTGGCAGGGTGTCCATATGCTTGGGAGAGGAGAGATCCAGTCTAGTGGTGAAGTCTTCACGTGAGTGCTGCCAGACTTGACTTTAACATAGAAGATTGGGGTCCTGACATTCTTAGTGTGCTTCTTTCTGTTGTCATTGCCGCTGTTAGCCTGACTTCCCTTGCACCTTACTTTATCGAGTTTACGCGAGCTGCCTCTGGGGCCGCGCAACTTTTCACTCTTATCGACCGACAATCTGCAATTGATCCGTTTGACGAGTCTGGCGAGAAACCATCGGACGTGGTGGGGCACATTGAGCTTGAAAATGCTACGTTTTCATATCCATCTCGCCCGGGGACCAATGTTCTCGATGCCTTTACCCTTGATATACCTTCAGGCAAAGTTACTGCTCTTGTGGTTCGTATGACCTTTGCGCAATACGGGGGCTCTTGGACTAAATTTTGCTGCAGGGACAAAGTGGCTCAGGAAAAAGTACTATTATTGGCCTCATTGAGAGATGGTATAATTTGACTTCAGGTAGCATCAAGCTTGATGGCCGAGAAATTAAGGATCTGAACATCAATTGGCTGCGGAAGAATGTTCGGCTCGTACAACAGGTATGTGCTAGATTCGGATGTAATGAGCTGCAACTAATACCCACAGGAACCTGTCTTATTTCAAGGCTCAGTTTTTGAGAATATTGCCTATGGACTAATCGGCACGGAATGGCAAGACGCCCCAAAAGAAGTCCAGCTGGAGAAGATCAAAGAAGCTGCCAAGATGGCTTTTGCAGACGACTTCATCACTGAGCTTCCCGATGGATATGACACCCAAATCGGTCAGCGCGGAGGACTGCTATCCGGTGGGCAGAAGCAACGTGTTGCCATTGCAAGAAGCATTGTGTCGCAGCCAAAAGTGCTGCTACTTGACGAGGCTACCAGCGCATTGGATCCCCATGCCGAAGGCGTAGTGCAACAGGCCTTGGACCGAGCATCCAAGGGTCGAACAACTATAGTTATTGCCCACAAGCTTGCGACCATTCGCAAAGCGGACAACATCGTCGTCATGAAGGCGGGACGCATCGTTGAGCAGGGTACACACGAATCGCTGCTAGCTGAGGATGGTGCTTACGCTCAGCTGGTCAAAATTCAAAACCTGACACTCAAGCCTTCGGAATCTGACTCGGAAAGCGACGATACAGACGACGAGGTAACTGCTGGCGATCCGGCTGACCTCGCAAAACCTATGAGTAAGATAGCGACTCGAGATCGAGCACGAATGGAGATGCGAAAAGATCGCGACGACTATGACAAGCATAAACAGCTTGGGTTTATCACCGTAATATTTCGCCTCGTAAAAGAGTCCCCTGAGCTACGATGGACATATTTACTTGTTTTCCTCGGCTGTGCCGGTGCTTGTAAGTGCACTAGTCTCTGTCTGTATGTTCTGAGCACTGACACGTATAAAGCTGCTGCATTCCCTGGACAGGCTCTGCTTCTTGCCAACGTCACAAATGTTTTTACCTTAACTGGTTCGGCAATGGTTGACAGAGGCAACTTTTTCGCCGCCATGTTTATTGTACTAGCCGTGGGTTGCTTTATCTCTTACTTTATTCTTGGGTACACTACCAATATTGTCGCTCAGGTACGTCATGCCTGAGCCGCCACCCATCTCTCTTCATGGTATTGACTAGCCTAGACACTCTCTCATAGGTTTCGGAGGCAAACCTTCAACGACATGCTACGGCAAGATCTCCAATTCTTTGACCGCACAGAGAACAACACTGGTGCTCTTGCAAGCCGCGTCGACTCCAACCCACAAGCCATCCTCGAACTTATGGGCTTCAATGTTGGTCTCATTCTTATTGCCGTACTGAATGTTCTTGCCTGTAGTATCCTGGGCATCGCTTATAGCTGGAAGCTGGGTCTAGTAGTCGTGCTAGCTGGGCTTCCGCCGTTCGTCGGCTCTGGATGGTTCAAGATTCGCTTTGACGCAAAGCTGGATAGGGCAATCTCAAAGCGCAACTCCAATAGCGCGGCAATTGCATCAGAGGCCGTAACGGCTATTCGGACTGTATCCTCATTGGCGATTGAAGAGTCCGTTTTGGACAAGTACTTGACTGAGCTCGAGCATGCGGTCAGTGGATCCGTTAAGCCGTTGTTTAGCATGATGGTTTGGTTTGCTTTGACACAGTCGATTGAGTACTGGTTCATGGCGCTGGGATTTTGGTGAGCTACCGCAGGCCGTGAAAAATCGTATCTGACCATGTGCTAACTTGACCAGGTACGGATGTCGGCTTGTGTCGTTTAGGGAAATCTCCATGTTTGACTTTTTTGTTACGTTTATGGGTGTCTTCTTTTCCGGGCAAGCTACCACACAATTGTTCCAATTCTCGACCAGTACGTCTCGTCCAAGCGGTGTGAAATGGTGGTACTGACCCAGCACATAGGCATGACAAAGGGCAAGAATGCCGCCAACTACATCTTTTGGCTACATGAATTACAGCCCACTGTTCAAGAAACAACCGAAAACCAGGACAAGGGGCCCAAGTCTGGCGGTCCTATTGTTCTGGATCACGCTCGCTTTTCGTACCCCCTGCGACCAGATACCCAAGTACTGCGAGGAGTTGATCTTGAGGTAAGTAAGACCGCGGTCGGGGCCGTCGATGGCACTATTCTCACAGTCTGCAGATCAGAAAAGGCCAGTTTGCTGCGTTTGTAGGCGCTTCAGGCTGTGGTAAATCCACCATGATTGCCATGCTCGAGCGATTCTACGACCCATCCACCGGCAACATCTACATAGATGGTGACGATTTGACGACCCTCAACCCTCGCCTATACCGAAAAATGGTATCTCTCGTACAACAAGAACCAACGCTTTTCCAAGGAAGCATCCGAGAAAACATTGCCCTTGGCATCGACGACCCCTCCCCGAGCTCTTCACCGAAACCCCCCACAACCGTCGGCACCACCGTCGCCGATGCCCAAATTGAAGCCGCTCTCCGCTCCGCCAATGCCTGGGACTTTGTCTCCTCCCTGCCCGACGGCCTGTCCACGGCTGCCGGCTCAAACGGCACTCAGCTATCCGGCGGCCAGCGACAACGCATCGCCATTGCGCGGTCGCTCATCCGAAATCCCAAAGTCCTGCTGCTGGACGAGGCAACAAGTGCTCTTGACACGGAGAGCGAAAAAATTGTACAGAGTGCTCTCGCTGAAGCAGCCCAAGAAGGGGACCGAATCACAATCGCAGTTGCCCACCGGTTGTCAACTATCAAGGATGCGGATGTGATTTGCGTCTTTTACGGGGGAAAGATTGTCGAAATGGGGACGCATGAGGAGCTGCTTGCCCAGGGGGGCATGTATAAAAAGATGTGTGAGGCCCAGAGCCTCGACTAAGTGTATTATATTCTAGTACCATACTCATTATTAGATTTTTAATTTTATCGTTTTGCGAGGGCAGCTCAGGAATTAGAGAATTTGGCGTCTGCGGGTGCACGCACCATCATGAACTTCGGGGGTCACCAGCTGGCCATGATGCTCCAGTTTGGTTCTAGGGTAGGCTCTCTAGTTGCCGAGTAAAAAGATTTAAGACTCTATTCTGTGTTTAGTTTCGCAAGGCGTGGAAGCCGTCTTTACAAGGCACAGCGTTCATATCGTGATGGAAGGTAACTCGCATTCCGGGTAGTTCCATCATCCATCAACCCTAACCCCCACCCTAACCCTTGTGGTGACTCTCGGCAAAAATGCTGCTTTTTCTGTCGTCTGCAGCCTCCTTCCTTGGCAGTGCAGGAACGCCAGCAAGATGATCGTCCCATCTCTTTGGGAACCCCGGAAACTGTCCAGCTAAACATCAGTCTCTTCAAGGTTTTGTCGCCTTGGCTACCATGGGGGCCAAGAAATGTCAATGTTCCCGGTGCTTGAATTTACTCGACTCATTAAGCTAGACAGAGCAGATGTATGGGGAATTCTCCAGAAGCTAACAAGGAAGCAAGTCAGAAGCCCAACACGCATATGCAACAGCGTCCTGTCTAGAGTTGATGCATTTTGCGCTCAACTGCTATACCAACGTGTCGCTCGTATCTCCCTCCACAATGGCCAGGTTTTGCAAATGCTGCAATTTATATACATTTATTTCATCTATGCAAACATATATACTATTCACGGTTCAGCCCACGTGGCAGGCCTTTAGCCGCGGCTCGTCATACCCTCTCCACCCCTCCAACATTATTGCGGCGGCCGCGGCGGCCTCGCGACCTGGAACCCCTTCTCCTTCTTCTGGGGTTTGAAAACCTCGGGAATCATGTGCCTCCAGTCGTCGTGCACAGGCCTGCTCGAAGGGCAGCCCGCCGCCCCCGGCGTCACCGCGGGGTTGGCCGAGCCGCTCACGGGTCGACCGTAGAAGCGATCCGATTCTCTGACGGAGTAGTCCACGTCTGGGGGCAGGGATGCTTCTAGGAGCGCGTCGAGGGTTTCGTGCGACTTCCGCCCGGGTTGGGAAGAAGCGCCCGACTCTGGATCGGATTCGCTGGTTGGCGTGGGCGACGGGGCGGTCGATCTTGAAGACTGGCTGGAGGAATCAAGGTGCGACAAGGGGGTCGCGTTGCGGGACCTTGGTTTTCGGTAAAACGGAGAAAAGTCTAGCTGGAGGTCTGCGTCTGCTGCCGCCGAGGGGAGGGTAGGTTGCCCCTCGGTATCTTCGAGAGGCGCGGGCGATGTCTTGAGGACCGGGCGAGGGTAGTTTCGGAGACTGCGCAGTCTCTCGTCGGGTATATCTGGCGTCTCGGGCCGCTGGAGTTGTCTGTTCACGCAGACAAAGTGAGAGCCAAGGTCGTCGAGGTTCAACGTCTAAGCAGGTCAGTTTCTGTGGTGAAAAGGGGGGTTTGCGGAGGAAACTTGCTTGTTCGTTTGAATGACTGCTGTGAGAGCCTAGCAAGTAGGCCTCTTGGGACAGATGGTCCCCTTTTTTGTTTGCGCGATATAGCTGCCAAATTGCGTGGCAAGAGAAGCCCAGCACAATGAGTATCCCGTGAAGGCAGAGCATTGCATAGCCAACCCATTGCTTGGTGGCCTCGCTTGCGGCGCTTATAACGGCGATGCTGAGCGAGGAGATGGTCGCCAGGCGGACGACGGAACACCAGACGGTTTTTGAGCAGAGGAACTTGCACTTGGCGCTTCGCTGCAGAATGGCGTGGAGGAGAAATACGGTTTCACTGCCAGTGAGTACGAGTAATTGTGCCGTGCCAAAATCTTGCAGAGCTCCGATGGCAATTGCTTGCAGGAGCGGTATAGATTGCGGCAGATTGTGCGAGACGTATGCCCACAACCGGCTGGAGTCGAATACTATAGGGCAATCGCGAGACGACTCGGCATGAGATGTCGTCTTCAGCCGTCGACGATTGCCGAAACGGTGCGAGATGATATAGTTTGCACAGACAAGAATCAACAGGGTCAATACGGCCAAGGCGATGCGGTAGTTGGGCAGGTAGCCGACGAATATCATCTCATCAGACATGTACGTCACAAGAGGGAAGCTGAAGAGCGACAGGACAGCGCCGACAGTCATGCCCCCGGCCATTTGGAGGAGCTCAGGCCAAGGCGTCCCCTGGCCTTGTCGTGATGTCAACAGGTACAAGACGGCCAAGATGAAGAAGAGGACGGAGGCGACGAGCAGCAGGTTGATAAAGGCATTCAGCATACTGTCAGGCACGCGCGGAAAGCCAAGCACCTGCGCCATGTAGTCCAGGCCGTAGGACGCGTTGTTGATATACATGCCCTCCTGCACGCTCTGATGGGTGAAGCCGTGGTTGATGGGCCCTTTCCAGAACAGCAGCGATGACCAGGCAATCTTGCTCACGACGGGTTGGTAGAAGCCCGGGTAGTCGATGCTCAAGGAGGCCGAGAGAAAGACAAACTGGAGATGGCGCAGGTAGTCGGCCACATCGACGACCGTCTCCCAGACAAGACTGCGGCCGGCCATGGCGGAACCATATTCGAAGAGCGGGTTGGTTGCCAGCTCGCCGAGATGGGTTTGCCACGAAGCCACGCCGACGAGGGCCATGACGCCGGCGGGCAGGTACGCCAAGGCAGCCGACGCAGGGTTTCCCATGCGCGGCGTGATTTTGGCCACGGCGCAGTCCATCTCGCGGCCGCTCTCGACGTGGTGGACGCGAAACTCGGCGACGAGGCTCTGCAGCTGATGGGTGTGGTTGAGGAGGTAGACCATGTCGAAGCTTGAGAAGCGGTAGCCGTCGAAACTAGGCAAATCAGCCGACTGGACGAGAACTCAAGTCGCTGCCACGTGCGTCAAATACTTACGGAGTGAGGGCATCGTCGATGGGCAGAGGACATGTCAGGCCAAAGCGTCCAACACGCCCGACGGGATATCCGAGCACCTCGAGGCCCAGCGCCTCCTCGAACCTGGCCACATCCAGATCCAGGCAACTAAAGGTCGATGTATTGTGCACGCCCAGGATGGACAGCGACAGCTGGGTCGAGCCGTCGAGCGTGTCCAACCTGCCGCGCAGGCTGTCGATCCAGAAGGGCGTGTCTGGCGCCGGGAAGTCGGGTCGCAACGGGCCACAGGGATACTTTCTGACCCAGGCGTCTCTCACCCAGGCGCCTTGAAGCCAGGCGCCGTGACAGCACCAGGGGAAGAGAGGCAAGGCGAGGGCGGCGACGAGGTTGGGCCACGGGCGCATCGCGCTGTGGGTGACTCATGCAGCCGCGATGTGCAGCGGGCTGCAGCGAGGGTTCGAACTTTTGGCGACGGGCGATGATGAAGAAGAAGAAGCGTCTGGTGACTGTCTTCTGTATCTTGCCATGATGAGGTCCCATGTTCGCATAGCCCCCTCCCCTGGATCCAGTTTTCAGACGCTCGGTTTATTAGCTTGTGGTCCTCGTATTGAAGACGGTGATGCTCCACAGGACAAGTCATGTTCCTGGCGGACGAGGGTTGTGGCTAACCCTAACCCTAACGCTTCTTCGGCGCTTGAGCCAGCTTTCCAACGATCCTCACGTCTCCATGATGTCTACATAAACATGGCCTTTTTCAAAGGCCGGTGCACACTCCTGTTTATGCTAGTATTTTTTTTTCATGCCTCTGGAGCCCTTTCCTAGGTATGTGAGAAAATACAAACCAGATATTTTTCTATAAACAGCCAAAAACTTACATCTGACTCTCGGGTATCTGTCACTCCTTACGGACGACAATTGCAAGATTCCGCTACCGTGCTGGGCTATTTTATCACGCTACGGTCCTTAACCCCGGTGCATTGTCGGATATCACGCTTTGAGCAGCATAAAATTCTCTCCTTCTTTATTACTATCTACAATCACCATCTTGAATTTTCATCGTCGCGGCCTCTGGATGGGGCTTGTTTGATAGTCTCACTTCATTCAAACCCGCCATCGTGGACTTTTCATGGATCGCCTCGCACAGTCAAGCCGGCCTAATCGTATCAATGGCTTATAGCATACATAGTTCTCCTTGGTGCTTCGCAGGCGATACATCTCCAGATTCGGCTATTTCGGCACCAGCACCAGAAGTCATCGCAACCTGGAATGGTGAGTTACATCTTCCCCCCATACAATCTGCATTTCCGTTACATAAAGTAAATGATCTTGTCTCATTCACCGTTCTGGGCGAAATTTCGGTACCGGCCAAGATGCTTGGACCAATTACACACAAATGTATGCGGCCACAGAGACCTGTTTGTCAGCGTCGAGTGCCTTGTTTGTCTCTACTCGTATTTCGGTGTCTCGGGATTTCAAAACGAGAAGACAATGGGAACGCTGGCTATCTGCAATGGTAACTAGCACCAGAAACAATATTTTACCTTGTACAACTTGCTAATCTAGAAGATAGGGCTGTGTTATTCTTGGACATGTTTACAATTTCAAATGCTAGCAACCAACTTGATCTCCTGCTTACAACAGCTCGCTCCAACGCTTGTGTACGCAGGGAGCCATCTCCAAGAAAGGATATTTGATGGTACAAATACGGTTTACCAGAATACCTCATTTTCAAAGTAGTATCAAGAGCGAGGTCTTGGACCACAGCGGGTTGGCACATGTTTCTAGTTGAACATTGGGGTTCTGCCGACGACAGGCAGAGTTATGCCAGCAAAAGCCGTTGTTAACCAAGTTTTAGGGCCAGAGGTTTCAGGATGATTTTCATTCTGTACCGAAGGAATGTACGTTGGTGTGCAAATCTAGTTACCGAGGAACTCCGCTCAGGGGATGCTGGGAGATTTGTTGGAGGTGGCTGTGCGCGTAGATCGTCAGTCCTTTGTTTTCGCATCGATAGCAATGGAAACTGCAAAGGAGGCCAAGATGCCATGGCTTGATTGTGGCCGTATCATGCCGCTAGCCAACGGCAGATGGGTCGGAGCCATGATAATCAAAGCACTGGGGTGTAGATCATATTGGAAAGAAAGACCTACGCTAACTGTATCCTCTCTAGGAGTACTAGGACGACATCAGTCGACGAAACTGCTTTTACAAAGCACATTCTTCGCCATTGGCCTCTAGTAGTTTTGCTGCTCTGCAGGTGATGTCTTCACTGAGCGGACCGGCCGCACGAGGTCTGCCGAATTTTACATCTACGATGGCCTCAAGCACACATGATAATAAACTCTGGGTCCCAATTACACCGATGACATATAAAAACCCCTTCATCCCGCCAATGCGACGCCGGCTACCAACCCCAGCCACCCGCTGGAATTTGCCATGCAAATCCGCCGCTCGCCGACCGAGGCATCGTCAACAGTCCATAATCGACCAATCACAAGACGAAAACCAAGTCTAGATTCTATCACCAAGATTTTTTATCATCTCTTGTGTTGTGAGCGTGGGTTTTCACGAGATAATGCAACACATGAGGTTTCATTGCTACCAAGTCCTACGTGGATCAGTGATACGAACCCGGATCCTATCATCTGTAAAACCAAGAAACAATCCATATCAGCATGTCATGTCTCTGCCCTGACCAGGAATTGCCATGAAAACTACAAAAAAAAAAAGGCGTGCCCAACGTCAACGCTCATTGTCCACCAGGTACGCAGGACGGCCAGTCGTATAAATCAGACGGAGCATGAGGCGGGCAGAATTCCTATTCAAGACAGAGTCTCGTCACATTTGTGGATCTCTCCCACCTGTTCGTACTTGGCCAGCCATTTAGGGCATGAAACAGACCATGAGACAACAATCTGTGCTATTTCTGAGACAACAGTTGGCGCTACCCAGTTTGGCAGGAATGACGCCCAAGTTGGGCATTTCCTCTCCCTTTAGCAAAAGGCAGCTCATTTGGAGCTCCTGTGGGCCATTACTGAAACTACCTTGACATCGTGATGCTACTGTCACAGGATGAGGACCTGTCGAAGCTCCAAATTCCAGCCCAGGACTTGCCATCACCAAGGAACCCTTTACAGGTGTCATGTCTCACATTCTTCGTCATTCCAATGTTGATCATGGACTCACATGTCTATCACGGGCAGACCACTTGGGCTGAATAAAAGAAAGCACAACTACGCTATTGATGAGTTTGGCAACTCTTGCCTTGAAAAGTCGGCGCTTTCTCTGTTGGCCTGACACGGTCTGAGACTTTCACCAGATATAATAGCTTTCCATCTCCAGAAACCATGGGCTCGACGGCATCGTTGACCGACAAGGAGGGTAGAAATGACAGTTTATTATCACTTTCTGACGCCGAGAGAGATGAGCTGTGGACGGAAAAGAATCCATTCTTTCGGCCTGCGGACCGAGGCTCTCACGCCTGGCTATTCCTGACTGCGTCGTTTATGATAGAAGGGTTGGCTCTGGGTAAGTAGATGTGGATGTTTATATTCTCTACACGCATCCTGCTAACTCACAGACAAAGGATTCCCCGGTGCCTATGGAGTGTTTCAAGCGTACTACAGCACACACGAACCGTTCAAAAATGCCGCCGGGCTCCCAGCGGTCGCCACATGTGCCACGGCATGTTCACGCCCCATCATCACCTGAGGCTGGTGTAGCTCATGATGCTAACAAATAGACCAGGGCATCATGTACTTGGGCATGCCCTTTTCCATGGGCATCCAGCGGCAATACCCTCGACTTAGCACATGGTCACCGGTAGTAGGTGTGCTCATCATGTGCCTCTCGCTCATCGCTGCCTCGTTTTCGACCAAGGTTCCTCATCTCGTCTTGACGCAGGGTGTGCTGTTCGCCATCGGCAGCTCTCTATCGTACTGCCCGTGCGTCGCCTACCTCAACGAGTGGTTTGACAAACGCAAGGGCATGGCCTACGGCATCATGTGGGCTGGTACCGGGCTCTCGGGCTCGATACTCCCGTTCCTTTTGGAATTCCTCCTGGGCAGGTTTGGCTTCCGGACGACGCTTCGTTTTTGCGCCGCGGGTCTCGTGGCCCTGACCCTGCCCTTGGTGTACTTTATCAAACCGCGGATCCCGCCTCAACTCCAAAAGAGGCACATCAACCCGTTCAACTTCCGGTTCGCCCTCAGCCAAACATTCGTGCTGCACATGCTGGCGAATAGTGTCCAGGCGTTGGGGTTTTTCCTTCCTAGCATATACCTACCGACGTATGCTCGATCGGTGCTTGGCTCTGGCGAGTTTCCAGCCGCGGCCACGGTATTGCTTCTCAACCTCGCATCGACCGTGGGATGTCCGAGTATGGGATGGCTATCAGACCACCTTCACGTCGCGAATTGCCTGTTCATCGCGACCGTTGGCGCGTCGTTGGCAACGTTCCTCATATGGGGATTCACAACGTCGATTCCGCTGCTGCTCACGTACTGCGGCTTCTATGGCTTATTCGCGGGATCGTACACGTCTGCCTGGACGGGCCTTATGCGGCAGATTACGACAGATAACACCATTTCTGCCAAGTACCGGTGCGAGGACATCGACCCCGTCATGGTCATGGCCGTGCTTGCTGCTGGCAGGGGAATCGGAGGCGTCTTGTCCGGGCCACTGAGCCAGGCTCTGGTTGAGCACATGCTTTGGAAAGGCGAGGCGTATGCGGGCTATGGTAGCGGCTACGGGCCGTTGATCTTGTTCACTGGGGTTACGGCTGCGGTGGCTGGAATTGTGCTGCCATGGAGGTACATGGGATGGATCCGTTAGATCGAAAAGTCATGAGATATTGATATGACTTTAATTTGCGTCATCAGATGCCCATGTAGCCGGGCAGATATATATGGACGTGTGGTATTTAGATGAAAAGTGACTAGCAAATAGCAAGACGACCGAGTGGCTTGAACATACACTCAGTCGAGACAAGAAATTATATCATTACAACCTGCCAACTTTCATCACAAGGATGGATGGACTCATCGAGATAACCAACGGCTGTCCATGCAGTGCTTGTACGAGAATTTCTCTATTCCATCATTCGATGCACGTCGCGGCTTGAACCAATCAGACATAACTATTCATGGAGTTAACCGCGCGGGACCATGACAAATGCGAAACTGGGCTTACTTCAACGGCGACTTGAACCATTCTGGGGTCATGGACAGAACAGGCCCTGCAATAAACTCCGGACCGCCCTCGGGATTTGGCACAAACGAGGCAATCTTGTCGTCTTGGCAAGTCGTTATTCCCATGTGAACGAGTATCATGTCATGTCCCTATTCCTCGTGGGCGCTCATGGCCAAGCAAAGCACGGATGACGCCTCAAATCCGCTTACCATGGTCCATCTTTTAACGCCATGTTTTACCATCAATCCACTTGTCATTGGGGCAGAAACTTGAGTCATGGGCCCCCTATAGTCTTCTGCACCGAATTCGTGATATACACATGATATCCATATACAAAGGGACCCGTGAGAATAATGCTAAAGTCTGAAAAAAATTTAACCCCTTGATTACTCGAATACCAAGTTGAGAGTTGATTAGAATGGCGTGGGTGCTGGAGGATATTAAACAAGGCAGCTTCATCTCGCAGTCAAGCAGTTTAGCCACAGCACCTGTTGTTGCTGAGTTTCGGGATTAGGTTGCCATTCCAGTCCATCTAATCAAAAGAATATGAAAAACCTGGTCAAACACCGGCAAAAGACGCAGAAACACATCTAAACCATCAGCATAGGGCTAGAGCCTAACAAGGCCAGGACCCAAGATGGCTGTTTCATACAGGAGCCCGGCTTGTTGGAGGAATGTCGAGCAATACCGCGGACCCTGGGTATAGTTCGGCATGACACTCCGTACTAGTAGGGTCAAGGTCTGGTCTACTCCGGATGCAACGAGCCAGCCCCCTTTTATCGTCGTGAATGCAGCACAGGGGTCGGCCGGCCGGTAAACAAGCCGCTTGGCTGACCATCATACGAGCATCGTCCTCGCTGCTACGAAATCGCGCATTCTAGGGAGATCAAGAATGCAGAATTCGCCACCAGTATTAAGAACATGGAAGCACACGATTCATGCGTCTGGTGTTCCTGTCTTGGCAGGCATAGATTGCAGGGAGGTCCATGTGGGTTGTTCACAATGCCGTGGACTATACCGGACTATACAGCCGGGACTAGACCAGATGCAACGACTGGGGAATATGCTTGATATAGTTTCTAAAACTTAATCGTGGAGCACCTGCTAACTTTGTATGTTTCTCCAACAAAGTGGGGATTCTGACATCCATAATCGTAAGGTCCAGGAGTTTTGTGGCGCCTCGCTGAATCCCTCTCGGCCGGAGTGAGATGGGATATCCGAACAGTGGGTTTTCGACTTGAATGGCATCTTGTCATATAATATATATATTGTCCGAGAGCCCCGTGGTTCTTCTATTCAGAAACTACTAGCACCAGGATCCTGTTGTCTCTTGTTCACCTTTCATCCCGGCGGCATACCGCGTATATCATAATGGGGTTTACACGATTTCTCATCTTCGCGCTGGCCGCCGCCACCGCGGAATCTACCTGCTCATCAACAGGCAAGAATCAGAGCATCATCGTCCACGAGGCTCCCCAGACTATCCGCCCCTATGTCATGCCCAAGTACAAGGGTCGTGCCGTCCTGCTGTCCAAGACGGAAGTGGTGCGATTTGCCATCACGGCAAACTCGAGCGACGGGGCCTTCTCCATGATCCAGCACAACGGAAAACTCACCGGCTACGCATCCGCGCGCTTCCACACGCATCGCCACGTCCACGAGCACGTGTACTGTGCCCGGGGAAGGGTCGAGCTCTGGGCCCAAAAGAACACGACCGACTCTATCCAAGAGGCGCGCGTGGCCACACTAGGAGACTACGGAAACTTGCCCATTGGCAGCATCCATACCTTTCAGCTCATCGACCCTGACACGCAATTGACGCACATTTTCCACCCGGCTGGCTTTGAGCATCTGTTTGACTTTTACAGCGTCGGGGACTTTGAATCGTTGGGCGTTGGTACGCCCTACGTTCCGCATATTGAGGACGAAGCGCCTTTCGGGCCGCTCACGCCCGAGTTGAAGACGGAGTTGGCTTCGTTGGACTTGTACGAGAGCGAGCAGTTTGTCCCGCGGAGGGATCTTATCAACGGAACGGCTGGCGATAGCAAACTGAACTGGCATAATGGTCCAAACGACCTGCCAACCACCTATGGCGAACCGTACTTTATCGCCAAAGATCACGGCAAAAAGTTTCTACATACGGAAACTGGATATAAGATTATTCAGCCCCTGACTAACGAGGCCACTGAGAAGAATTTCACTATTGGTACTGTCATCATGTCACAAAAGCTGGCCAACGAATCCGCCACAACGACCACTCTACCACACCATTTCGCCTTGCAGATGGAAGACGGCCAGCTCATTCTGAAAGTGGAGGGATACGAAAGCACGGCGATGCTTCATGGAGACGTGGCGTTTATCCCTGCTGGAACCAAGTTCAGCTATCACGCTGCCGTCCCCTTCACCAAATTCCTGTATATGAATGACGGGTACGAAGGTCTAGACCATCAGCTCCTCGAGAACGCCATGCCTTGGGAATTACCTGCCTACCCGCCGTACGCTGGTTTCAAGGCCAAGGCATAGATGCGCGCGGATTCCCTGTTGAAGCCGTTGTCGAGGCTAGCTGCTAACGAAGTGTTGAATTGCAAGCGAGCGGGTGTTTGAGTGGAGTCCTGAGCTTGTTTTCTCTTTTTCTTCCTTTGCGTCGGGGTAAATCTGGTGTAAATACTACTGGGAGAGCTTACAAGCCCCCTGGTAGGTAGGCGGGCAAAATGCTACCTGACTATTGCTGGGTATCCTTTAGGAAGACTTTTTTGTATTAAATTTATATTCTCGGCATAATTCTCGTCGATGATGAAGCACTCCATGTCCCAAGCTTCTTCTGTAGCTGAGACCTCCTGGTGGCAGATGAGGCTCTTCGTCAAGTTCTTGTATACGAAATGTTGACCGGATTGCCTTTATCGTATCACGAGGATTCCAATAAAATAGCGGACATGACCCTCACTCACCCCCTTTCCAGAGAGGGCATTTATTATGGCCTGGGAGATTATAACCAACCCGCTTAACCGCAAGCCGGAGCAACGCTTTGGAGTGCATGTAGGTGTATCCGGAACTAAGAAAGTAATGACTGAAAGTTGGCACAAGAAAATACGCGCCGCGAATATTCCATATATACAGTCGCGTCACACAGGCAATTAGATCAGTCCACATTGCTTTGTTGATGAGGATACAAGCCAAAACGGTGTTGACTCGGCTGTTCCTACTTTGACGCAGGAATTACCCAACGCGCTAGAGGCAGCCTTGCAGGCCGGATATGCCAATGCCGTGTCAGTCGGGCATCTTGCCATTGTCGATAGCTCTTGTGCCTGGCCAAAGACGGTGAAGACATAGACATGATCAGACTCCTGCTGGCCAATGGCGGTCCAACGACCCTAATATCAGGGGGCTGCAATATTTGTCATGCATGCAGAAGGAGCACTCTGGATAGCGACATTTCTGTCTGGAAACTTTCGAAGCAAGTTCCAGACGGCCCCATTATTGGCCACAGCAAGCTATTATGACGAATTTAAGAACATTACGTTATTACCTACATCAAGCTGCCAGAGCCGAGCCCCGACGCCCAAGAATCATCTACAGCAATTATGGCTATAAACAAGAGGCGTTTTATTCCCATCCCTCTTGTACATTTAGTCAGACATGTCACTGATCCTCCGCCTCCCATGCCACCTTCTGGACTATGGAAAAGAGTCTTCCTGGTCAAACCGCTGCCGACTCAATGCCACGCAGACTACTCGGTCCGGCTCTCGTCCACCCACTCGGTAGTCAACAGGGACATGTCACTGCATAAGAAAGGAGTAAACATGAAAAGTAAAGCAGCACTTCCTAGAGATCAAAGTCATGCAGCGTCTTCTAGCTGCACACAATGGCCAAGTGGCTAAAATGTTGGGGAAAACAATGTCAAGGTACATAATGGACCAAGTACTAGGAGTGCCAGGAAAATGCTATCCTTCCGGCTCATCACCATTTACGGGTACGTGGTGACACGTGCATTGAGGATGTGTGGCATTTTATGCAGCTTTCGTGGTTGGTTTTGGGATGAGTCATGTGTGTGTGTCGCATTACCCGGTAGTTGCAGCATCATGAGATCTGGTCAATATTTCTACCGGGAATTCTGCTGCATCTTTCCCCGGAGTCTTTGGCCAAGGCGTTTTACTCGACTTGGCACAATGCATGGGCGGAAGGGGAGCATATTATATTGGAAGACATTAATCATAACAATAATAACATTAATATTGATTCTATTCAATGTACATCTCTCCGCTCAAGTGTTGCTTGCCGCTAAACCAAATTGAGTCATCTTGCCGACAGGCTTTTCGAGAAGCACTCTTGGTGGACTTACAATGGCCAGGACCTAGATGCGGAATTTAAAAGTACAAACGGAACAATTCGCAAGATTGGCCTTTTCCAGCAAAGCATGCTGAGCCTTGTTGTCATCTGCGAGCCTTGTTGTCATCTGCGTAGTGAGCAAGCAGTCTCGGCAACTTTGCATGTTGCCGATACGGCGCATGGTCATCCAATGAGCGAGCGACGTGGATTCAGCAGTCGCCCTCGCGTCAATCACCGCGGACATGGAACATCGAAAGGACCGGAAATTGTCTGGTGCTTACCCGCGGCCGCCCGGACCCGGGTCAAGCCCTGCGGCGAACTGCTCATCTTAAGTCGGGTACCTTACTTGCCTACCTAGGTACGGAGTACCTTGGTAGGTAAAGTACTTAGTAACTGGGGTACCCCTACTCCGTACATAGTATGTACGCCCTGCTTCTGAGTCAACATTTTCTTGTGGTGGTGGCGAAACACGAAACACTACGCTCAGAGAAATGACAACAGCCAACTTGACACATCAGACGATTGTGGCACCATGTGAGTTTCCCGGTACGTAATTAGCCGTGGCTTGGATGAACTACGGCTTGGACATGAGCCGTCGTCCGTACTGGTCCGGTACAATGTCTGGTGACATTTTGAACTTGACTGCCTACTTGTACCTACTTAGGTACCTAGGTACCTAGTATTACTTAGTAGCGGGCGGGGCAGGTCGTAGCTGCCCATTTGCAGCACCAGACTTGACATGGAAGGTAGTGCTCCGTACGGAGACTGCGTACGTATTCCTTTTCATCGGAGCCATGGGACCTTTGCCGGTCAGCCTGGTCGGCCGGTCAGCCTTAAATTAGGTGTCTCATCAATATAAAGCCATTGAATGCAGTACTCCGCACGCCGTATCCCTTTGGGTGTTCGAAGGTGCCGATTTCGTACCGGCCCCACGTTATCTGCAATACCTCGCAGGCCCCTGGCAGGTACCTTTTTAGTACGCTGCGGCTGCTATACAGGTGATGTAGCTCTTTGTAAATATAAAAATTACTAGTACTTAGATTACCTTACTAATTATTAGTATATAAATATATTTTTAATATCTAGGTTTTTAATTGGTTGACATCCTTGTTTGGTACGGAATCGGCACCTTCGAACACCCAAAGGCATGAGGCAGGACACGGTAGTACTTCGGGTCGGTACATACACTCCAACCCCTGTATGATTAACCACCCGCGACCTAACAAGGTTAATAGAGCAAGGTCCCCTGGCTGTATCGGCAGTCCAGCTACTGATTATGACTGGCTGTTAAGTAGTATAGCAGGGATTAGTAAAGATATACTAGCTATCTTACTTTTTTTTTTTAAATTTAGGTATTAATTTCCCTTACCTTTTAACTCTTTATTAGCTGTATTACCCCTGTAAGGTCACAAGTGGTTTGTTGGGTGCAAATGGGCACACAACGCCAACCATCAAATCCCACGATGTGTCTTGTAGTCCACAACGCACGACTTTATAATTCGCACTATAATACTATAAATAATAATAGCTATCATAAATATAATACTTACAAGCATAATTAAATAGTTTAATAAGTTTAATTTACCTTATTGCTTTTTTCCCTTAAAAGGGTAATAATATTAATTAAAAGGGGTAATAAACTTAACTATATAATTTAGCCGGCTATAGCATAAGCTTATACTAGCCTATTAATATCATAAGTGTCACTTTTAGGGCGAAGCTGCTTATAGAAGCAAAAAACTTATTTAAATTAAGGGAAGGGGCATAAGGCCACCTTTTTATACTAGCAAAACAGTACGATCAAATGGTTCCTCCGACTTTCTCCGTTATGTGAGCGTTGGAGCCGCCACACAGTGGTTAATAAAGTAAGGCCCCCTAGCTGTATTAGCAGTCTAGCTACTAATTATAACTAGCTATTAAGTAGTATAGCAGGGATTAGTAAAAGTATACTAGCTATATTACTTTTTTTCTTAAAACTTAGGTATTTATTTCCCCTACCTCTTAGCTTTTTATTGGCTGTATACCCCCCTGTGAGGTCACGGGTGGTTAATCATACAAGGGTTGGATTGTAAGTACAATATAACCCCTGAAAGTTTAGCCATGTGTGACATCAGTGAGTGGGCCAGCTGTCAGGTTATTCGTTAACAGCTGTCAGAGTGGGCCGCGCATCTTTTCCGGAAAAACTGATAAAGCGATACAAGAAGAATAAAAGAAACATGGACCCTAGTAAAGAGTACTAATCCTTCCACATAGAATATGCGATATTTTTAGTACCTTTTACTCCACGTCTTGTATCCCTTATTTTTTTACAGGCACCTTATTGGGCCCTTAGCCCCTGCAACCTCCACTGTAAGTCACGGGTGGCTAAACTTACAGGGGTTGGATTGTATGTACATGTCAACTGGTCTTGGCTGAAATGTGGGGCCGCAAGGCGTTGGCGCCAGAATATTTGGCCTTGTCATCCGCGACATGACAGCACTACGGCACTAGAGGTCATGTAAGGCTGCAAAGTCCTTGGTTAGCTTGTCATCCGAGGCATCCCAGACAACAAGTACTTCGTACTCTGCACCAAAACTTTAAAGACCTGTTCTCGCTTCATCGCGTCCATGGTAATTTCGGCAACTCAAGCGTACCCCGGTCTTCCTACCCCTGCTATCGCTACCGGTACGGGCGGGGACGGGAATATTACTACTACTACTACTAGTAGTATGTATTCACCCCTGCTTCTTGCAAGGGTAAATTGCGGCGTCGGGATCTCCAAGTGCAGCGGCGCATCCAAAGTGACAGCCGCGCGATCAGGTTGCAGCTGTCCGCGATGTTACGTCAAATACTAAACAGAGAGTCCTCTCGAGTACCGTGCTCCCCGCGATGCTGGTCATTGGTCGGGTGTCTTGAATGAAGAGGGTTGGAAGATATGCGCAAGCACGCTGCAATGCAATCCGGAAAGGCCCCTTGATGCGGAGTACTCCGTAGAGATACATGTACTATTCAAGCATGATGCCCGAGTCAGCAAGGTCCTGCGGCTTCACGAATGTGAAACGCGGCATCAGGGTCGCTTCGGCGCACTCGTATTCAACTGCCGATTTTGGACTCTGAATGCGAGAATATACCGATACGCACATCACGTCATTCTGCGAGGCTGAGCTCCGCGCATTGAGAAAGAAAAGAGAGAGAGAGACAGAGAGGCCATCATGAATGCACATATAACGGGGTTTACAGCCAGAGGAAAGTGTATGAGCTAGCCCAAGCCATTTACGTTCCAGGTCTTGTGTCCTGCTGCTCAAGCTACTAGGAAACGTCGGTTCATATCAGGTAACCGGAGCTGTCACCAGTACCATGGTTTCCACCAAGTCATTCTTGGCCTTCATGGCCCTATCCGTCGGCCTTCATGGATATCATATACAGCGAGACCTTTCTGAGTCTACAGCCAGCCGTACTCTAGCTGAAACGAGGGACACGGCCGCTGAATTTGTTCATCCGGGCATATTCGTTGACAGTTCCCAGCTGCAGCGTATGGCATCAAAGGTCGCATCCAAAACCCAGCCTTGGACGGCTGCATATGACGCCATGATGAAACACCCATATGCTGCCATCGAAACCCCTACGCCATATGAGACTGTTGAGTGTGGTCCTTATTCGAAACCAGACATTGGGTGCGCCGACGAACGAAAAAACGCCCTGGCAGCCTACCTGAATGCCTTGGCTTGGGCTACAACCAAGGACCAGTCCAAGGCCACTCGCGCCATTTCCATCATGAATGCCTGGGCCAAAAAGATCAAGAGCCACACCAATAAGAACGCCCCGCTCCAAGCTGCGTGGGCTGCTACCGTTTGGGCCCGCGCGGGTGAGATTATTCGATACACGGACGCAGCATGGAGCAGCGAGGACATCACTTCCTTCGAGGGCATGCTCAGGAATGTCTATCTCCCCATCGTGAAGAACGGATCCAAAAACCCCAACAACTGGGACCTGGGTAGCTACAAACTCTACATGTGCGGACGCAGCTTGCTCTTATGACTAACCAGTGCCAATCCAGTTCTCATGGAAGCTAGCATATCCATTGCAGTCTTCCTGAATGACAGGGCTACATACGATGCGTCTCTAGCCCGCTTCATCAACTCGACGAGCTACTACATCTACCTGAAAAGGTATGTCTGTGCAGAAAAATGTCCCCGTTCCGATATCAACAGTGTAATGCTTGCTTACATGTCGTCTTATTTCCACGCAGCGACGGCCCTGAACCGCGAGGACCATATAAGATGCCGAGAAAGACGCTGCTGGAGCATTGGTGGGAGGGCCAAAAGGAGTTTAACGAAGACGGAATGGCCATGGAGGTCTGCCGAGATCTCACCCATACCGCCTACGGCCTTGCTTCCATCAGCCACGTTGCCGAAACTGCACGGATCCAGGGAAGAGATTTATACTCAGAGGACACTGGCACCCGCTTGAGAGCCGGACTCGAATTCCAGACCAAATATGACAAGAAAGGAGGTGCCCAAGAGGTGCCATCGTGGCTCTGCAAGGGCAATCTCAAGTTGCACCTCGAAGATGTCACTGAGCCAGGGTACAGCATTTTGGGGGGCAAGTATGACATGCCATATACGAAAAAGTACACTGCGGCTGCGCGGCCTGCAGGTGCAAATACCTTGTTTGTAGGATGGGAGACACTGACACACGCCACCGGGGAGTTGTAAAGCCACCGTATATGTATGCTTTGTACAACAAGAGAGGCTGACAGATGACTACGTGTTAAATATTCATGGTCGAGAGCCACCGGGTTATCCCGCTGCATCGAAATAAGCTATTCCACCTACTGGCCTAGTTCCTTCCCGTAGTTTACACCTTCAGAAAAGCGCTACTAAAGCTGTAGCTTGAATTTTCCGCCGTCGCCGCGTCTGGTTACGGAGCGGACTTGTAGCCGTCCACATCGCAGGCATCCGTCTACCCGTATTGGGCTGGCTATCGCCGCATTGCAGTGTTTGCAACGCAATCGTGGATTACTGTGATCAGGGCTGCCTCGTTGCCTTTAACGGCTAACTAGCGAGCACGTGTCAATGCAGAGATAATGACGGCGGACATGTCAGACGCATACTATCCCGGCTTACTCCTCTGCAACGACCCAGCCCAACATTGGTGACAAGTACGGAGTAGTCTTTGCTTGTGCAATCAAAGACAAACGTGATTTGGCAGGCTAAAACAAACACAAAACTGGGTAGCAGCGTGAAAGTTTAGCCATGGTTGATTTGAAACTTGGGCGTAACATGATGAGAAAAGTCAATACTTCTAGCTGGTAGCAGCTGCCGGCAGAAACAAGTCCAGTCATGGCCCTGGAATCATCTCTTTCGCGGTGGTGTAAATTGATTGCGACTTGGATTTACAGCCATGCTCTTCCAAGCTCAAGTTTGAGTCCTTCCGTTGAAAGCCTAATGCTCGCATCATCAGTGAAGGCGTGCTTCCTGAAGCCAAAGTCGTGCGAACCCCGCCCGTCAACATGATGGAAAAGGCTGCAATCCAAGTACATTTTGTTTTACTCACCCCTGGAGCGTAACCTAATAAGCACCACCTGTCTCCTTGATACAGATAATAGACGCCCAGTTGTGGGGGTCGGCTTGGGATCTGCCGCGATAACTGTTTCCATGAGAGTACGGAAAATGTCCGGTGTGGTCGAGCCCTCCCTGCAACTTGCCATTTGTATTCGTTAAAGGCTTCTGGCTATTACCATCGAATAACCAAATTTGACAGGTCTATTATTGGCAGACAGCCCGTCTCTACGGCATGAGAGCGACATGTGCACAAGGCCCGGGAGGCTGGAGATGCATCCTGCTGCTGGATTTCACCTCCACAACGTGTTTGGCCACAGCAAGTCCTCCGTCCAAATAAGCTGCCGAGGTCGTTAATACGATATTTCTCGGTGACACAGATGAGCAAGTTGACAACAGTCTCGCGTACTTGTGCCCGGCTGTGAGTTCGTGCTCAACACCGCAGCTTTGAGGTTTCCGTCTTGTACTTGAACAAGTCGCATCCCCTATTTTCGCTGCTCGTTCTGGGTGATGATCTGTCTTGAAGCGGCGGCCCAGCCCTGGACTGGGTAACTACTGCGATATTGTCGAGAGTGGTTGTCTGTGCCAGCTATTGCTTGTCCGGGTAGGCAATGCTGTTTGGCTTGGTGGCAAATTTGATCTCACATTAGTGCGTCTATGTAAACTACAATTCTAGGCTGACTAAATGAGGATCCGACGCCACCGTCAATCAGCGGTTCCTCCAGGATAGTTATGGGGTGTGGAAAGCAAGAGGGATGCGAAGGATATAACTATGGAGGAGCGATCAAAGCAAGCTCCAATTAGGGCAGGTTTATGGCCCCTCAGAGAATACAAAAGATCGAAAGTCCCAATATTTTATTTTCTGTTTGGGAATGCTTTGTCCTGGCACCGCTACGCCAACATGAGTGTGTGTCAATATTCGCCTGTCTCACAAAGGACAGACATATTTTATTCTGCCTTCTGATTATCAACAATCTCAGCCCTAAGTACGCATCTCTCGCAAATCCCGCTGTAGTTATTTGGCCAAGAATGAAATGATTCAAGTGGCTTTGCTAAAAAAGTAGTCTTCTGCCTTGAGGTGGTGTCTCGGGTTTACAGCAACACCTACCAAGTCGCGTGAGCTGGATTGGAAAATGTAGGACCGAGGCATGCTCTTGAACTTCCCTAATTGACTGTCTTGGAGGCGGCATGTTGCTACCTTCACGACAGACCGCATTGAAGTTGCGAGGGCATGAATTTTCCACGAGTCGTCCAGAGCTATTACTTTTATGCGAGCTACACCAACATGTTGCAGCATGATGACCTGGACGCGATCGTTAGTCCCTTGTTTCACAGGTGCTTTGTGTGATGCGCCCATACAAAGGTGCGTCCAGTTGAACGGATACACGCTTGGTTGGTCATCCATTTATCTTCCGTCTGCTAGACTTGGACCTGCAGCAAGGTTGATCAATCTGCTTCTTGGGGCTAGACTTGGTAGTTGAAGCATGGCCGCAGTTGATATTTACGCCATTCAATTCATGAGGAGCTGCTGAAGAACCCCAGGCTATGGACGGCATTGATGGGCCGGGTCATTGTAATTTGCAGTAAGCACTACGGATATGATAGTCAAGTGAGAAGTGGGAAGCTTAGTCAAGAATACCAGGCTACATAGGTAGTAGGCAGGAATTGATGTAGGTATTCATAATGATGGCCGTCCGGTTTGGTCATTGAGTGTCCCCAAACTCGAGAAACGTGGATAAAAGCTTTGACAATGGGCTTTCCATAGCCGCCTCGGTGTCTGAACTGCACCCGCTCCCTATTTTTGTTGGCTATGGAGGCGGGCGAATTTCGATGTCTTTGGTTTTTCGGCTTCGTGTCCAAGCGGTGTCAGCAGCCTCGGAATTTCCGCGATGATAACTGCTAGTCAAAGCACAGGTGGCGCCGAACATCGACGACCAGACTAGCGCCTATTGCCGCATCGGTGTCAACTTCACCGTGGCCATGACGGACAGACCAATCCTAAGAGAAGGTGGCACGAGTTTGAGCCTCGCGGGTGGCCGCAATGTTCACCCCAGGCGGCAAAAGTATTGCGGGCTTCGTGTGGACTGGCGCATCCTCGGTCGTAGACTGTCATCCCGCGCAAGGTACATCTCGCAATCACATCATGGCATTCCCCAAGATCCGTTGGACTCAGGCGGTCTCGCCGGCTGAGATGAGACAGCTGGCGCTACTGCCTTGAATGTTGCCCCCACGTGGCGTTTGGTGAAGCTGTATTTCTCCGACTAGCAGTGGCTCCGTACCCAATGCCGGCATCATAGCGTGCAAATCATGGAGTCGGATCGGCAATCATGGCTCTGTTTCGCGTCGACTTGCTAGCACGTGAATTGGGGTCTGTCGCTAAACGGCAGGCAATTGAGATAGGAACGAGTCTGGTGCTTTGCGTCCAACATGGACCGTATTTCTCGGGGGCCACAGAAGCCTATTCCCCTGGCAATGGCCGACAAAGACGAAAACGAGGCTTCAGGACGCTGCTAGGTTTCGTTTAGTAATGAGGCGGAGCGGACGAGGAGAGCAGTCTGGTCGATGTCCTCTGTTGGCAAGTACTATGGAGTAACGCACCAGCAACAGATACCGCCGTCGCCGTCTAGGCTCAACTCAGCCAACAGGTGACAGCTTGAAGTAGTACTCCGTAAAGTACGTAGCTGGCGTCAACCAGCCACAGCAACCACCCCACTACATGTATTCTTGACTTTCGACTCTGGACGGAGTAGTCGGTACAATACGGGCATGGAAAGCACCAGCTTCAGACGACGGCCAGTAACTGATGTGGTTGATGCCGTAGCAGGGCTTCTTCAGCATTGGCCTTGGGTTGTCGATGACAAGATGGTGCCAGCACGGGAGCGGTGACCGAGGGCCGTCACACCAACAACTAGGACTGTGTGCGGAGTGACATGTGCGTAAGTAAGTACTCCAGTCAATACTACATATGCACACTAGGGTGACATTCTAGAGAACAGGCCCCCATTTTTACAAATCATGACGGAGAGCTACTGGTCAAGCTACAGGTCAACATGAGGCGTAGTGCGACTGGGCGCAACAGAGTTACCATGTCCAATGTCCAATGTTCTGGAGTCGTCGGCATTTGAGTTCCTCCTCCAAACCAGTCTGCATCTAATGGCCGAGGTTGGCTGACGCCAGAGAGCACCCCGGTGGCACGGATGAAAATGCCATGGCTGATTGATTGACTGATTTCATCGTTTGAAGCCAGCGACTCCCTGATCATCATTTTCGCTCGACCATAGCTCGCGATAACCTATATACGCGCTGTTGCGCGCATCAAGCCTACCTCTCCTCTCCACTCCTCTCCTCCCCTCCCTCCTCGCCCCCTTCCACGAGAGCGCCGTCTCTCCTCTTCACCGAGTCATCCTCTTTTGTTATGCCTTACCACGGCAGAAGGTCAGGAGCGTGCCACTCATGCCGAATCCGCAAAATCAAGGTACGTCACCCCGCGAGGCATCAGATGGACCTCTGCTCACCCATCTGCCAACCTGGTATCAGTGCGACGAGTCAAGGCCAGCCTGCAACCAGTGTACCAGATCACGAAGACAATGCCCGGGATACCATGACCGCTACGATAAGCGGCGCGACGAAAAGCCCGTTACGAAACCAATCACCAGCGCCGCAAAGTACCAAACACCAATGCCACCGGACCTTAAATCCGTGTGCAAACATCTCGACGACATATCTCTCGACCGAGCAGTTGTTTCGCAGCCTCACCTGTCTGCAGAGACCATAGCGCCTTGCTATTTCCACTTCAACTTTATTGTCACGCCACACCAGCGCATTATCCGCGGCTTCAACGAGTACATGGCCCTCATTGCCGCCAACCGATCGCAACTCCCGCAATTCGACCACGTCTTTAACGCCTGTGCCATGGCCTCACTTAGCCAACAAGCTGCGGACGGTCGCCACCTCAGGGCGAAAGCTCTAGAAAGTTACACAAGCGCCTTGGCAGCGACTTCGACTGCATTATGGGACCCGACACAGACCCTGCAGGACGAGACCCTGGCTTCTGTGCTTTTATTGGCCCTCTTTGAGAATATCACGGCTGCAAGCTCTAGTTTGGTCGCATGGTATTCGCACATAGAAGCTGCTGTGCGGATCGTCAAGGCGAGGGGAAGCAAACAACTTCGCACCAAGGTCGGGTCAGACATGTTTGTTGCCGTCCGAACCTTTATGGTAAGCTGGCCTCGACCATGACGGGGATCAATCTGCTCCGTCAAAATGCACATTGTACTAGACATGGACATTTGCTCATCAAGTTTCGTCTACAGATAATCCATTCACTCACCACTGGCAGCCCACTGACCTCAGGGATCGCATGGTGTACGGCTGATTCAACGTACGACGACTATGCTTCACAATGCGAACAGTTTTGTGTCCGCACCGTAGAGCTTAATGCACACGTTAGTGAGCTTCTGGCGAGCATTTCGCGGACACCGAAAGACATGGACAGGGTGAAGGACGTTATTCAGCAGTGCCATAGCCTTGACCAACATTTCGTGCGCTGGACCGACGCCGTTCCCGACGAGTTTCGATGGGAGACTGTTGACTGGCAAGTTTATGTGCCACACGACGACTATGCCAATGCCGATGTTTTCCCTGGACGCGTCGACGTTTATGCCGACTCTTGGATAGCGATTGTGTGGACCATGGCCCGGTGGTCAAGAATTGTGCTTTTGTCGGTCCTTGTCCGGGCTACCGCATGGCTCCATTTGCCCAAGGACTATCGGTCCACACAGGAATATGCTACTGCTGCGAGACTTTGTACTGAGACTATTACAGACGTAATTGCCTCGGTCCCATACCAGTTGGGTTACGTCTCCAATCCTCACAAGTCGTCGACCAAGACTAGACAGAGTGGCGCAAAGCGTGGTGACAGCACCGTGCAGAGAAGCATGACTGCCGTGTTGCTGGCCTGGGCCCTCAATGGCCTGCAGAGTCAAGATCATGTAACTGAGGCTCAACGGGTATGGATTAAAGGTCGCCTTAACGTAATTGGCACTCATCTTGGTATTGGCTATGGGACATTATTAGCCAAGGTACGCAATTTCGCCGCGTGTTCCCCCATCTTGCTGTCCCATGTGTTGGTTCGCTGTCTAACCCACGCCGCAGTTGAATATCCGGATACCTTCCATGCTAATCCGTCGAGACCGTCTACTATCAAAATTGCACAGCTTGACCCCTGCCAACACCACCACCCAAGACGAGCCACAAGCACAGCCCGCCGATGGCAGTTCTCCAAGTACAAACGAAGATCAAAGCGCCACGCAAAGACAGTTCCTCGAACGCCGAGTCACAGAGTTGCTGGCCAGCGCGATGGGAGATAAACCGGAAGTTGACGAATGGACTGTGAGAATCCTTTTGCAGCTGCCCAAAGACGTTGGATGCACCTGAAACCGAAGTCTTGGTCCGTGACGACTTTCATGGGCAACGAGAATTCAAACCGCACACATGCCATGCGCTGGTTGTTATTCAGAATCTGCGCTGCGAGACTCGGCAGATGCAATCAAGCTAACAGTCGAGATCCAGGACTCGGCAGTGAAATGTGGCTTTATGAAGAGGCCCAAGCCGGCGGCAAATGTGCAATCTCCGGTACCACAGAGTTGGCCGTATCATCCCTCTTTTGATAGAACCCGGGTGCCACCATGGTGTGAGAGTTCATGTATACCAACATATGACCAACACTGACGTGCACGCAATCCCAAGTTTGGCCGATCCCTAATCGACATACAACCAAATGAATTCGAAGCAGGGCAACCTGAACCCGCTTCGACAAGCACATAACCTACATTGGTGGGGGGCAAATTCGAGCAAGTCTGTAAATACATGACGACTTTGACTTGAACAATTTGGCAATATGGCAACTTCACACCCATCCCCCCCCGGGCGCTTTGAGTATTTCTGAGCCCATGCGCCCATTACCATATATCCTTCAATTACTTCCAGGCCCCCCTCTTATCCTGCACCCATTGCTTGCTTTCCTCAATGCGCCTTTAAAAGCCTTGGCAACCTTTGGCATTGAGGCCCGGCCGCATACACAAATGCTCGCCAGACCTTGCAAAAACTGGCAACCCGGTGTTGTCCTTCCGAGATCCGACTCTGTAAGATGCCTTGAGTTTGTGGTCTTCTCAGAGAAGATCGTGACTATCGGCTCAGGGACGCGATCATTTGGCACCTATCATCTCGATGAAGAATCTCTTCATTTTTTCAACACTCGAAGAACAGTTTCCTATGGTCGACCGACTGCACCATCGACTGCAGTCCCTCCCCCTTTAGAATGAAGACTCGGATTGAAGCGGTCCCAGCGGCCGCTGCAATCATTTTAAGGGGCATGGCACGGAGCCTAGAAGTTTGAAAAGCGGAAGAGAAGTGCAGATTTTGCTTGTTGCCACCAACATCTGTTCACATCAGCGGGGTGGGAAGTGTCAAGCTCATAACCGATGCCTCGCAACTAGCTGCTCGTCACCCCTGGTATAGTAATCGACTGATTACGATGAGTGGTGTAGAGTCGGTGGCGATGGTTATTGCTACATGATGAAGCGATACGGCGATTGGTGAGCAGTTCAAATGGCAACGGTGTCGCGTCGGAGGCATCGCTTCCATTAGATAGGGTAGTGGTAGCAAGCAGGTTAGGAAGTTCCAGGCAAGATCTGAAGTAGAGGTTGAGAGTCTCCTCCCGAAGTGAATGTGACTTTTTGAGAGAAAATGTGACGAAACACTCGTATCGTTTACCAGTGACGCTGGAAGCAGGTGTGCCTATGAAGTTGGAGCATGTTCTGCCAACTGCCTCGGTGTCTCTCATGATTCACGGGGCGCAAATTTCCAGGGAACGTGTGAAGGCGCTTCTATTTTTTGTCGGATTCGAGCTTGAGACGCTGCATCAGGATCGGGGCTGCAGCACACTTCGCAGTTCATGGATATTGGAAGCCGCTGCAGCTCTTTATCGCAAGACATGCCGCAACATGATGACCAGTTCGATATTGCACGTTCGTAGCGGTCGCGAGACCCGGTTCGAGGCCAACGCCCTTGTACAAAGATGAGAGACACAGGCCACTATCTTTAGTGGTAACAAGTGGCAAGAGCAGTGATCTTGTTGGGCGGGATATAAAACATCTTGCGAGATTGTGATTTGCCGTCAACAACCGCGGCGCCCGATGTATATGATGTGACATGCTGCCTGCTCTGCTGGATTTCAACGTGTCTTGAGAGAACTCGCCATACCCTGTCATTTCAATCATTTAGTTGTCAGAGCAAGTATCTTGTTCCAGCCCTCTCGGCAACAATTATCAGTGCCTTTGTTGCCAACTCTGATCACTGAAATGGCTTTCTGTCGGGTTCTCAAGCCATTCGTCATGATACGGACCCGGCCTGTTCTTTCGTATGGCAATGTCCTTTAACTGGCAAGCAGTCGAGAGTGCTCCGGCTAGTATAAGAGCAGCAATGACTGGCAATGATCCCGGGACAAGCTCCCCAAGCAGATAAATAGGTGATATTTTGGACGTCTCACGCTGGTAGGATACTCTAATGCTGTAAGAGCGATTTCAAAAGCATATGAGACGTGCCTCATACTAAATGCCGTGCTGACCCATTTCTACCTTATGTGAAGAACTACAACGGGATGAGCACGTCAACAGTCTTCACTTTCGATAACCGCCATGTCGCAGTAAAATGCTTGTCTGTTTTAGCTACACCTCTTACATGTAACATCATACTTATATCGGGAGTCATCGGAAACTCGATCTTTGCTCCTCCGCAAAGTGTCATCGTTTTGGTTGACACCGTCACCCGCAATAATTTGACTCCCCAGCTCCTCAGTTATCCCGATATTTCTAGCATTGGTTCTTATAAGCCTTTGCTCAATCGCCCTCGGTTCAGCACCTATCCCAGCTCAACCACAGTAACATGCAAGTAAATTGCGGTCAGCTCGTCACCGCAAATAGGCAAATCCAGAACAGCCGGCATGGCTATTAATCCGCCTTTCAGCGAAACGGCAAGTGCAAGTTTGCTTCAGCGAGAAAGCCTGAACAAGAAACGACCTGAAACAGCTGACATGTCACCGTTTGTGCGCTGTTTTCTTGAGATCCTATCCCCGTCCGCGATTTCCGCGCTACGCTGGATGGGATGCTGCCGAGGGAATGGAGGCAGAGTGGTTGGACAGCGAGGCACTCTACATAATGAACAAATGACAACCGAGCGAGATGACCTGGCAAACACAGACTGTCAATTGGGACTTTGGAGATATTGATGGATGGCAGCTGCTTGCCCACGGGACCGCAAGTCCTCTTAGCTCAAACTCAGCTCATCATAATAATAATAACACGTCGGCTAGGTCTTCCTCACTAGCAAGGTGGTCTATTTACCCCAATTCTACCCGTCGGGTTTAACGTAAACTTATAGCCGTAGGTCATTCCAAACTTTACGACCGGCGTCCGACAACGACGAGTCGGCCAAAACTGGCGAAAGGTGTACAGGAATTCGTCTATTCGCATCTAATTAAGGTGATTACTTTCTCTTTGTAGCCTTGCCAGTATCGGCGCCAGTGGCCTTGCCCTCGGGTTTGGCATCAGTTGCCCTCTTGGCTTCGATTGTCTCGCTCTCCTTCCCATTTTGGGAGGAAGGCTCACCCTCATCACCGCCCTGCCCAAACTCGTTGACACGAGTGAAATCAGTCTTGTAGGCCCAGCGTTGGTACAGGTAGATGAAGAAGATGATGTCATCGCGGAAAGTCGCCAGTCGATGGAGGAATGGCATTTTGATGGTAAATGCAAACAAATCATCAATGAATGTGTTGAGAAACTTGTACATCATAGCCTTGGCCGGCATATGAGCCACACTCTTCAAGCGATAGTTGATGTACAGGGATGGAACCATCATAAGGAAACCATAGGCATATACAGACCCAACCAGGGTAGTAATGATGAAGGAATACCAAGACTTGTGAGAATCGTACACGAGGGAGTAGACACCATAAGCAATCAGCAAAGGCACAGCCACCATGTACATGTACTTGAAAGCAACAGCGTCATACTCCTTGGTCTTCTCCTCGGTCTCGGTAAGCTTGTGCTTGTCCTCAAAGACCAGAGTGTAAGGGAAGAGCGAGCCGGGTGCCGAGGGTCGGAAACGCACGTCCACAACAGTCGTGACCTTCCAGAATTCGATGACAATGCCGACCACTTGGGATCCTAGAATCACCCAGCTGGTGTTTTGAGAGTTGTCAAGAAGGTAGAGAAAGATGATGGTCTGCATGAAAACGTTTGCCAAGATGGAGCGAACCGAAATACCAACATTGTCCTTCTTTTTGCGGTAGTGGGCGATATCAGAGCCAAAGGCAAGCATCTCGAGAATGACGTGTGCGACACTGACTACAGCTGTGATGCCCAACAGGATGGGGTTCGTGTCAATGAATATTTCCTTGACCATTTCAATCTCGGAGCCGTCGCCGCCGGTGGGCAGAGAGTGGCCAAACGCAGCCTGGCGAGCGTTTTCCTTGGAGCTTAATTCAATCGATGCAAGAGTGCTAAATTTCCAAAAAGCCATGGTGGTTAGATCTATGTGCAGAGGAAGCTCCTTGACCGTTTCATTGAGTACAGTCATGTGGTTGGCAAGCTGCCAAAAATTATTGATAAACAAGACCGGATCTGGCAAAAATTTAGTCTAGATAAAGTAACAGAGTGCAGCTTAACTTACAGTACCAGCCGTTTTGGCCACTACCGTCGCGAGCTCCTGTTGCTTCGAGACGAAGGAAGTGCTTGACAGCAGGATGGATAGAATTGAAGTCTTTGACACCCATGGCTGGAACAAAGGCGAAGCTAGCATTAGGGTGGTAGTGATTGGTAATGATAGGACCGGTAGGCTCTTCCTCCTCAGGCTCCTCATCTTCAGAATGACTATCAAGTAGGTTTCTCGTTTTGGCTACCTTCTTCTTGGGCAGATATTGAGTCAAAGGATAGGCAAAATGATATGCTTTGGCAGGGTCATAACCTGGTCGACGGGGATCCAAGTTACTACCGGTCAGGCCAACGTAAAAGTGGCCCCAAAGGGTTCCATTAAACTGAACAGCCCTCGGAACAGTAAACTTGGTATCGACGGTGCGCTTCTCTGAGCTGTTGCTCATCTGAAAATTCCTTTCTTGCAGCACGACATACTCGGCCGGGGTTTCCGAGATGGGTGTCGGGTTGAAGGACGGGGATAGAGTTACTACAATATCGACATGGCTGTCCTGAGGCCAGATTGGCGCGATCTTCCGAGGAATCGGTCGGTACTGCGCACCCTCGTCAAGCTGGCTGGGACGCAGTTCGAAGGCCGGAATGTCACCCAAGTTGGATGCAACTGTGATGGGTTTGCCGGTATTAGGATCGGTCACCTGGACGCCTCGCTGATCTTTGGCAAGGAAGTAGGAGAGGGCAAGATTAAGCCCAAGGTATGCAGCACCGCCCAAAAGGAGCTTGTTAAAGTTGAATCCCTAATGGGACGCGGTCCACGGTTAGCCATGTGCCTTTCTAAAGAAGCAATTGCATGCCCACGGAAACGCTTACATGTCGTTCTGGCTGTGGCTGTGGTTGGCCCTCGGGCTGCTGCCGGATGACCTGGTCAAGCCCAGACATGACAAGACCCAAGACAGGATAAGGGACAAGCAAAGTTCCAGAACAGGGTCGGTTTTCGACTCGCCACGGGTTGACGACGTTGCAGCGCAGTTGGTTGCCTCGACGGATGTAAAATTCGCTAGAGGTTGTCGAGTACGATTTGGCTCGCAGGCCAGTCAACTGTCTGTGAAACTTGGAGCACCGCACCGCCACGCTAATCCCCCTTTGGCGCAGTGCGCAGCTTGAAGGCGCCACATGTCGATTAGTACCAGTACTAGTTCCATACTCCGTACTCCGTAGTTGAGGCCACGAAGGAGCCTGTCTTGCCCCACTAGGCCGCGCTGCGGAACCGAGCCTTGAGAACAAGTCAATGTTGACCTTCTCTCGGGCCATGCCGATTAATGCTCAACACAATAGCCACAATATCGCGAGATACGTACCAGCTTTATTTCAGATATTACCTAGGTACTGACAGGATGGTTTTTTCCTGTGGCTTATATTGACGGCATACTTTCCATGCTTCAAAACCTCAATCTATTAGGCATGTATCTTCATGTCTCAGTCGCCAGGACGGCAACTACTAGTACGTAGTACTAGGTCTCATCTACATGTTGCCAACCCTAAGTCGAAGGTATTCATTCTATGGACAACTCCTCAACAATGCCCAATAACACGTTGCGCATGCAGTTCCTGCAATGGAGTCAAAAGAAAGTATAGAGTATGTCCATGTTATCATTTGTCATGCATGGATAGTTGTGTGCGAGATTGTTGCCCAATAGACCTCGTTGCAAGCCGAGATGGGCATTACACCGCCAAAAGTGGAGAATTTCCTCGTAGTGCATGTTGTTCGAACTGCCAAGTACCGGACATGTAATCCGGCGGGGCGTTCGGCATCTGCCATGATAGGGACATGGACGGTTGTGAACTTGCAAAGTTGTAATTCGTCACACTGACAACTGGACACTTTTGACCCTAAGTGCCCGAGTGATCTTCTCCACCTGGACTAAAGCCTCCCAGCCAGCAAAGACAATGTGGGCGTCCCACAGGATCTGGCGTGGCCAAGTCATTGGACCCGTTGACGTATCGTTATTTCAACGCCAGACCTTGCCGTAGACCCAGCCCTCGGCCTATGACTCTTACTTCAACCGCTTGTTGCCCACTCCCTCGAACCCGAGGGGTAGTATTCGCTTTCCTTTCTGTTGAATTGCTCACATTCATTGCCATTTCGGAGCTGCTTCCGTCCGACTCACCAAGCCTCGACTCCACTCCTCCAGAGATCGGCTTCATTCCTTTCCCAGCAACGTACTATTAGCCGTCTCCGCCCCGACTTGAAACTCTGAATCACCATCTCAGCTCCTAACAGCACGCAACCAAGTCACAATGTCGTCTAACGCGCCCATCGCGGGCCAGAATCGCACCGCCACGACAAACGGCATCAGCGGCAGCACGCCTCGTACCAAGATTTGTGTCTTTTGCGGCTCCAGCAGCGGAACCAGCCCAGCACACTTGGAAGCCGCCCAGCAACTAGGCAGAGTCATGGCCGAGAACAACATTGACTTGGGTGCGTAGTCTTGCAGATTCAATTCTGCTCTTCAAAAGATCTTGCTGGCTAACATGTTGACCCAGTATATGGCGGTGGCACTGTCGGTCTCATGGGCGAAGTTGCCAAAACAGTCTGCGCCATCAACGGACCCGACTCGGTTCACGGCATCATCCCCGAGGCCCTGGTCAGATATGAGCGAGATGGCACCTACCAGACAGTCAACGTCAATAACCAGGTTGTCCCCACCGAATCCGTGTATGGCCGCACCACGGTGGTCAAGGACATGCACACCCGCAAGAAGCTCATGGCCGAGCAAGTCTTCAACGGCGGGCCCGGTAGCGGCTTTATTGGCCTGAGCGGGGGCTACGGTACCATGGAAGAGGTTTTCGAGGTCATCACCTGGAACCAGCTGGGCATCCACACAAAGGGCATTTGCCTACTCAACATTGAGGGATACTGGGACGGCATTGTACAGTGGCTGGGCAAGGCATCAGAGCAGGGCTTCGTCAAGCCTGGTAATGAGAATATCGTCGTTGCGGCTACCGATGCCGAGAGTGCCGTCAAAGCACTGAGCGACTACAAGGTTTCCGGGGCTACTTTCAAGCTTCAGTGGGGAAAACAATAGAATCCATATACATAGCTGATACATATATAGATCATGTAGAATGAGTTATGATGGGATGACATTCTCTTTACTGGCGTTTCATAGGACTAAGGATGTGGACGCGGAGGGAGGTATATATATATATATATATGATCAAGGCATGCCCCAATACCACTATTTTAACCATTGTTCAGAAAGAAATAATACATAATGCAAAGTTCGCGGGAGAGCACTTTTTTGTCTGTATCTCTTTGTAATTCATGTCGAGACCGTGGTCTGCCGCTCCGAGGCAGCGTTTAGTTGTAATTGTACATGATCTAGCGCCGTGTTCTCCCCTTCCGATTGTCAACATTGCCCCTCATTTGAATCATCTAGCTGTCAACATCCATGCCTTCCTCGCCTTCACCGCTTCCTTGGCTCTCACCAACACTATCAATCCACTGCTTAACCTCGAACTCTTCATAAAGCTTGAACGTCTCAATGTCCTTCAATCCCTCGCCTTGTACACCAACCAGGCCGACGGAGGTATTCTCCACAGTCAGCTCCTTGTCCTGGACCAAGCTCTCCCGAAGTGCCTTGAGACCATGCCTGACCAACTCTTCCCTTGAGCAGTCCGCAAAGGACTCCACGTTGCGTTCCAGATATGTTCTTGCCATTTGGCTTCGGGCACCAATCGCAAACGCAGCCATTTCCTCCGTCATGCCTGATGGCTGGAACTCAAACAAGTGAGGACCTCGCTCGTCCACGCCAGCAACCAACAGGCCGACACCATATGGTCGCTTACCATATACTTGGGTGTTAATCTGGGCCTTTTCGCCAATCATGTCGACGAGGGAGCGGAGCGGGATGGCGCGGCCGTAGGTGAGACGATGGCCAAGACATTGCTGCTTCATGAAGTTGGAGAGGACGCGAGCATCCGATGTCAGGCCGGCAATGGCGATGCCGGCATGCTCGTCGATGGAGAAGAGTTTCTTTTGGTAAGAGGACAGTTCCTCGGCGTTTCTCTGCGAGCTGGTTAGACGGTATTTGTTTGCGAAACAACGTTGGGACGTAGACCTGCCTTGACAGCGCAGAGTACAGCGTGGGTTTTGCTGACGATACCGACGACGACGGATCCTTGTTTCACAGCCTCGGCGGCATATTCAATCTGAAATATTCGGCCCTGGGGCGAGCTAATGAGGACTATATGTTAGTTGAGGACAACTTTGACCTGCTTACTAGGTGATGCTAGCTTGGGAGACGTCGCAGAGGCCGGGGCGGGGGGGTGCGCACAATGTGACAGAATCATTGTCGTAGTTGTTTCTGAACATGATGGTCTAGTTTGACAAGGCGATTCGTTGCTGCAGCTGAATTGGTGACTAGGTTGTGGTCGTGAAGAAGCAACTGATCGTGGTCGGCCAAGCAGCGACTACTTTGGGGTGCTCGATGGTGCTCGGCGGTATGTAGGTAGGTGTTGATGCGGCCAGGCAACCCAAGCTTCGTCGTCGCTAGCTGTCATGGCGCGGTGAGTGGATGCCGTGGATATTCCGTCTCACCGCCTGCCGTTTTGGCTGTCGTCGTCATGGTCGCCCTCCAAGTAATTCTCACAGCGACAGGGATGAGCTCAATTTGCTTCATGGTTGCTCAATCTTAGAGGAAGTGCATTTTCATGAATTCATCAGTTTCTCGCATGGCCCCCGGGCAGGGCAACGACGCAGTAGTCAAACACCATTTACCCTGGCTCGTAAGCGAATTTTGTCCTTGGTTCTCTGTATGCACTTGGATCTTGGGTACCGACACTTACCAACCCGCTCTAAGCTGGTAAACTCAGGTACCTTGTCGGTGCCAATTCTCAAGGACCCTTCTTCACAGAGAGCCCGTCGTCCCTCTCACTCGTCCCACTGCGGCTACGTTTGCGCGTTTTTTTTATATTATTGTAAGAAAAAATATTGAAGCTTCTATCCATTCAAGAAAACCCAGAAAACACAAATCCCCCGCTCAACTTTCTTCCTTCACACTTGACGGTTGTGACTGCAAGCATCCACCATTCCCTCAAGAGACATACATATACACGCAGATGACTCACATTGTTCGGGATCCGCTGGTAACATCATCAATGATACCAAGGCTGACATTGCCCCCCATCTCGAGGTCTCTGGCGACTGTATCTCGCTCGAGGAAGCTAAGAAGCTAGTCAAATACCTGGAGACCTTTGCCAAGGCGTAGAGTTAGCGGGTTGCGACTGGAAGCAGCGCCGTACGGTGTGGTAATTGGCCACGACCAAGGATCAATGGCAAGCTTTGTTCAACATGCTGCGTACTCGGTGGTATTAAAATTAAAACAATCAAATAACCATTGACGCTTATCAAGATGGCGGCAGCGACATGTATGTTTTTGCCGTAAAACATGAAAAGTTGTCAGGATGTCTTGAAATCGAATCAAGCATGATGAAGCTCGGCTCCGCTGACAGGGGGGTTGTCAAGCGGTATTCCGCCCGCTGTGTAGCGAATCCCCCAGCCTGTCAACCACCAGCCAGACATCAATTGATCAGATGGTCGGACGCTGTCTTTTCATTAGGTCCGGTTGTCAACCTCCACCTGCTATCATCTCCCCGACATATTCAGCTCGTCGCACAACTTTGTCGATGCTCCGGCGCTCATCTTGTACCAACATAATATTCGCCGGGCCTCGCATACCGCGCTGTGCTTCACCATGCTACAAGTTCCTTGATGTGGCGCGGCGTCAGCCCCTTGCAAAACACTTCACGTCAAACACCATTCGCCGAGGACACGTTCACAACAACGTCCCAGCCTTCGGGGATACCATCTACGCCTTGTCCACGGCACATGGCAGGGCAGGGATTGCAGTAATTCGCATATCTGGACCATCATGTCTACAGGTGAGCGTCTCGATGTAGCATATCGAACTTGGTTAACAACAAAGCTCAGATATACCAAGGCTTATGCCCGGGCAAACCACCACCCAAACCTAGGCGTGCGACTGTTCGTACCCTACTTGACCCGGCATCCAACACTGAAACCAACATATTAGATGTGGAAGCCCTGCTACTCCATCTCCCCTCGCCCAAAACAGTCACCGGCGAGGAAGTCCTTGAGCTCCACGTCCATGGCGGCCCAGCGACAGTGAAAGCCGTCTTGTCTGCTATACCGAAATGCCAGGCCAGCACGCGCATCCGCTACGCCGAACCAGGCGAATTCACCAAACGCGCATTCTTCAATGGCCGCCTTGATCTGGCGCAAATTGAATCCCTGGGCGACACTCTGGACGCAGAGACGGAACAGCAGCGTCGCGCAGCAGTAAGAGGTAACTCTGGCGCGCTTGGACGAAGCTACGAAGACTGGCGGCACCAGTTACTCCAAGCCCGCGGGGAGATTGAGGCTCTCATAGACTTTTCAGAGGACCAGCATTTTGACGAGTCGCAGTCTGAGCTGCTGGAAAACGTGGCAAGACAGGTAGCCAAGATTTTGCGCTCCATCGACCTGCACGAGTTGGGCAGCCAACGAAGCGAGTTGTTGCGGAACGGAATTCGCATCGCGCTGGTAGGGCCCCCGAATGCTGGAAAAAGCTCCCTGATGAACATCATTGTCGGCCGGGAAGCGTCCATTGTTTCCGGCGAGGCCGGCACTACACGGGATATTGTAGAGGCCAGTCTCGATATACGGGGGTTTCTATGCTCCTTTGCTGATACTGCTGGTTTTCGGTCCAAGACGGAGACGAGCGACGAGGTGATTGGCGCCGTGGAAGAAGAGGGCATTCGACGAGCAAGGGCACGGGCACAGGAGTCGGACGTGGTTCTCGTCCTGGCATCCGTAGAGCCAGGGCCGTCCGGGCCGTTTATCCACTTCGACAAGGAGACGATGGCCCTTGCGACCGAGGCACAGTCGTCTCTTGTCGTTGTCAACAAGCAAGACACGGTCGATGGAGATGTACTGTCCCATTTGCTCCGGCAGTTTCGCCAACTGATTCGCGAGGAATATCCGGGTCTACCACAAGAACCAATCTGCATATCCTGCAAAGAAGACGGCTCTGCATCGAGGGACAGTGGCGTCCAAAGCGTCGTCGACGCACTGGTCGCCTCCTTTTCCCAAATGACAGACATGCCGCCCGACATGCGAGACCTGCTGGGTGTTACTGAGCGACAGCGCCAATTACTTGCGAAATGTAGAGGCCATTTAGAGGATTTCATGGGCGAAGCGCAACCGCAAAAGGGGTTAGATTCAGACATTGTCCTTGCAGCCGAGTATCTGAGATATGCTGCGGACTGTCTGGCCAGAATCACGGGCAAAGGTGAGGCCGGGGATGTGGAGGAGGTATTGGGCGTGGTGTTTGAAAAGTATGCTTCCCAGTCTTTTTTTTTCACTTGGGCGAGACGCAAGGCTAACATAACAAATGCAGGTTCTGCGTGGGTAAGTAGTCAGCACATGGCATGCACAATGTATAATATTGACTGTACGATGTCGAGAAGAGATGTATTGTGTCCAGCACAGGCCCCTAATCTATTCTATATCTGGGTACCCCCTGCGAAGGGAATCATGTACCCAACGTCCCGTTGATGCGTTCTAAACCTTTTTTTCCAAATGTGAGAAACTGTTCATGCGCCGTTCTATGTGTCCGCGGTAGCAGTGTCGATGCTACGCAGACAAATGCAATGTTCTATGCGTCCCCCCTTCCCAAGAAAAGTTGCCAACATGTGTCGATGTATTCATTGTTTGTGACGATGGTGGCCACCGTGCCAGTGGTAGGTAGGCGTGGCCTTTATCGGCGGTCCTCGTCGTCGCTGGGAACGGTGCCGGGAGCGCCGCTGACAATGTTGTATCCTGAGCGGCCGTAGTTGACGGGCTCAAAGGTAGTCGAGGCAGCCATTTTCAGGGAATGAGAGATGCGTGAGAGTTTTGTGGTTTTGAGATTGGAGATGTGTATATGTTTGACGCGTAGTTGAAGCGTGCGTATATATGCACTTGTGTTATAATATAAGCAATATGGGTGCGATGATGCTTAACGCAGTGACTGTGATATTGTAGAAGAGTATGTGAGCGATGATGCTTAAAGCCAGTGACTGTGATATTGTAGAAGAATATGTGAGCGAGCCGCAATGCTTTCTAGATGCTGTCTTGCCAAAACGAAAATTCTCATCTCAAGGCCGCCGCCGTCCATCCCTCTTATATATCCAAAACGACCCCCGACGTGCTCACCACAAAGCCCATGGCCACGAGGCAATCCGGCCCCCAAGAAAGGGCCTCCTGCCTTCTCACGGAATCGACCACGACTCACACGTCGTCACCGGCGGTATGGTAGGGCTGAGGCTGCCTGACATGGAGCCTTCTCAGCGGCCCCCAAAGAGGCACCGGTCGTGACTTGGCCTTGGAAACAACGTGGCTCCCAGGGCGCTTCTCATCTCACGGGTGAGTCGACTGGCTCCAGTCTGACCAATGCCCCTGTGCTACCACGGCCCAATCCGCGTCCGTGAATGCAAACCGGGCCAACGGTGCCTGCGTATTCAGCCGTGACACAAGGCTGTTTCCAGACATGTTCTCCGACGGCCGATGCGTCGACGGCGGCCATTGCCAGGCACTGGGGGCCATGTGCTGCGCAGAACATTGAAAGGAACGTTCGAACGTTCAGGGCCGCGGTGACTCCCAACATTGACCGCCCGCACAGCCACATCCGCAAGCGACACAAACGCCGCTGCGCTTCGTTCCGTTTCGTTAATGTTCGTTTCGTTTCGTTGGCACGGCCGTCAGTTGGCCTTGTTCAACTGCAATCGTAATATTCTTACATGTCCCGCCCGGCTTCGTATCGTGACGACATCTGATGCCGGGCCTGCTCGGCTCTGCTCTGGTCTGCTCTGGTCTCCATGTAAGCCCGCGTGCGCGCCTGCGCCGCCGTGTCCCAACAAGAACTTGACGGACCAACAAGAGGGCGTCTGGCAACAAAAATAGCAGCTGCAGCGCCGAGCGTGCCGACACTGTCCGGTTCTCGAACCATTATTTCGAAGCACCAATCCTCTCGCCTGTCCGGCAACCTCGTTCATGGCCGCCGCCGCCGCCGCCGCCTGACATCGCAGAACAAGGCAAGCCGCACTCCAGTCCGTAGAACCAGACATACTACCGTCTGGTAACAGAATCCTTCGGGGTGCCTCGAACGGGCTGGCCGACCCAGCAACTGGCTTCGTCCCGTCGTGGAAAAAGGCACACGAGAAGAAGAAAATTGGCCCCCCCCTTTTCGTCCCCCAATCCATCAATGTGTGTCAGACGGAGTTGCACCAAAACGTGGCCTTTGCCAGGCACCGCTCCGCTGCTCTCGTTTATCATGGCCACCGACGCTTCGGCGTTTGTGCCTGCTGCCTGGTACTACATGTAATTTTTTTTTTTTTTTTTTGGCCCGTTGGCAGAAATCAGCCAGATGATGCAGCCGGCTTTCCGCCTGCGCCGCAAAAGACTCATTGCTCTCGTTGACACTGCTGGCATAACTGACGTCTGGGAACACTGATTGGCCGCATTTCTGCCTCTACACACAAGATTTTCAAAGGAGAACAAGCGGCTTCTTTGACTCGGCAGTCAAAGCTTGTCGAGGCTGGGTGCACAACGTGTCAAAATGGTAAGCTGATTTGTCAACATGGTCAACCACAAAACGTCATTACGACTCATCATCTTCACCCATCATCTATTCTGGCCCGTTAGCTCCGATGCTTCACCGTCTATATGATGCGTTTTTTTTTTGTTCCTGACGCTCCCGCGTCGCCGTCCTCTACAGCTCATCTCGGCCGTGCTCGCTTAAATCATCCATGGCCATAATCTTCACCACGAGACTCGTCCACCCCGTGAAATGCTGAGTCCTTTGTCCGGCACCCGTTTCGGGGTTGTACTGCTCCCACGCGAACCCCGTCTCCTTCCAGCTCTTGTAGACCGTGTCCACGAGGTTCTTTCGGAGTCTGTTGTACATGTCCCGTGCCTTGCTTCGGTACGGACCCTCCTGTTTTGCGACGCTCTAACATGACAGTCGGTTAGCCCGTCGTGGGTTCGATGCCTAGGAAGGGATGACCCCTGTCGTTTAAAATGTGGCATATTAAGCTTACCTGCAGCTGTTTCACTACCATGTAGTTCATGGGCATCCAGATCGGACTGCGCCAGTAATTCTCGCCTGTTCCGTAAAATTCGTCCTGCTTGCTGAGGCTGCGGATGCCGTGTGGACTCCAGAGTTGCTCCTCATCGGCCACCAGGTCCAGAATCTTGCCGAGCTTCGGGTCATTTGGCTTGAGCAGTCCTACCATGAAAGGAAACAGTGACACGTAACCCTTATGGCAGACAAGTTGGTGCTCCTCAAAATCATCGATTGTGGCGTCGCAAAAGCATCCGTCCTTTTCTGACCAGTGCAAGTCGTTGAGGTTGTGTTCAATAGCATCCAGGGTCTTGGCCAGCTCCGCCACATCTTCCTTCATATCTAGGGCCTCGGCAATATTCTTCAGCGACTTCGTCATCAAGCCAACCCACGACATGAGGTCGACATGCAGCTCACCAGGGTGTGGCGGCTGTGGCCGAGGATAGTCGTCGAGACCACTTGTCAAGATGTGTGACTCGGATCTTCCTCGCCACCTGTAGCCCTCTTTTGATGAATACGCCTCCCGGTCGTAGCCCTTGAGGTCGCCGCGCTGCGTTTTGCGGAACCAGTCGTACTGGCGCTTCAGCAAAGGATACATCTTTCGGAGATAGTCCTCGCCAAGCTCCATATTGTTCAAATGTGCCGTGTGCAGAGGGTTTTTTCTTTCCTGCGCCAACTTCTCTTTGCCCGACGGCTGCGTTCCGTTGGTCTTGCGGAGGCGCTCCATGAAATCCTCAATCACGAGGAAGAGCGTAGGTGGATTGGCGTAGTGCGGATATTGAACTTGAAACTCTTCAGGAACCTTGGTGCGAGCCTCGGGCCCAAGAATCTGCTCTCGAGGAATCCAGCCATCCTCATCCATCGTGTTATACCAGCTCTTAATCACCTCGAGTGTCAAGTCCATATCCCAATCGGCAATAGGAGCAAGATGAAAACCTTCATCCCAAAGAAAGCCTCGAGGGAAGAAGGGCCGAGATGGAACACTTGTGAACAGCTCATACGGCCCTTCGAGTGCCTGGGCTTGGCGTTCTCTAGCCTGGCGAGTTTCCTCCCAGAAGCCCTCACTCTCCTCTTCATACTCTGGCGCATACGATCGATCAATCACCTGCTTTCCGTGAAAGTATCCCACACCACCAAGAAGGTTGGAGAACATGCTCTTGCCAAACTGCTGATACTGTTCGCCGTCGAATGGTGTCTTGAGCTCAAAGATGGTCGAAAATCGATCCGCAAAGGCGCTAGATGTCGCTGCAATAGTGTTTGTGACATCCTCCTTGGTCAATTCCTTGCCAGCAGACGCAGATGAGAAAATGACGTCAAATTCAAACGAGCCTTCGTACGTTCTTTGGAGAATATGCGAGTTGCCTTTTCCAGGCTGATGTGCCATACGATAAACCTGCCACGCTGGCGGTGGATTCTCCATGCCATACTCTTCCTGTACAGCCATGGCTGCAGGTTGTAGCTGCTGGAACAGCAAAGGCACAGCCTGCCAAATAGCATCCTCTGAAACCTCGGCGCTGTGCACCAAGGTAACATCTCCGGGGCGAGAGGCGGAAATCTCATGGTCCCCGGCAGGATATTTCCCATTTCCTTCGGTAACAACAATCTTGTAGTCACCCAAAGCCTCCGAGTTTCCGATGAAGGTGGTATCGCCTTTATATCCGAGCTCGTCACCTTCACCTTGGGCCGCGAGCTCGCCTTTCCCTTCTTGTGCGATGTAGTAATATACGACTGTCTTGTGGTCCGCCGGCGCATCCTCATGTAGTTGCCCCTTGATCCTGACAGCCCAGCTGCCACCATTGCTTCCACCAGGGATTTTACTAAACGATGTGGTAATGTCAATCTTGTTGCCCTTGTCGTGAATGGTTTGTATACCACCGCTCCGTGCGTCATACTCGTCCCATCCGTAGCCGTGAATATCTTCGCCTTGTTCGCAAGTATATCTCAGGCCTAAATCTTGTTAGAACGCGACCATCATCGGTATCGGACATGATTCCTCACCATCCTTGACATCGTTGTACTCTTCGATTCTCCCCCACATCAATCCCGTCCACAAACTCTGTGGCAGTCTAGGCCGGACGCCAAAGTACAGATTGGGCTTGTACGGACCCCAAAACAAACTCTCGTTGTTTTGGCGCCCAATCTCGCCGGTCAGGACCGAAAGATCACCCGTGGCAGATGTTCCCGTGGCAAGAATTGCCGCCACAGCCGCCAGCGATTGGATCAATCTGGCCATGTTGTCTCAATCTCGCGGTCCGTCAACAAACCATGGGGTGAGTAGCGAGATGGGTGTTAACTGCCTTCCTGGCCCAAGTGCCTTGCGATCAGATGGCCAAGGTCAAGTTCACACACAGCAGTCTGAGGCCACGTTCGCCATTGAGTGAATGGGAGTGTTGGACCTTGCGCAAGGCTGCTGTCGCACGGCGGGTTTCATTGGTGGGTTGAGCTCCATGGCACAAGGAGCTTGGGGCGTGTGGGGAAACTGACCCCAGGGGATCCAGGGACAGCAATTCGCCATCCCACGCCCCCCTCCGCCACTTGACCACATCAAGAGCAAGCATCTTTTTTCGACATCACAGTCCTTTCCGCCTGGCATCACTCCACCTGCCAGTCAATTCATACAACCCCTCCCTAGCCCAAGGTTTCCCATCACAACATGAGCGACTCTCGCCGCCCCCGCCGGCCAGACAGCCGGCAAATGTGGGACGAATCAGACCGCCCTCGAAGACCACGGGACCGAGACCGCTTCGATCGCGAAAGAGACTCGGACCGCCCGCACCCACGTTCTAGATCTCGGGAGAGAAGGGGTGGCTACGACGACCGTTCCAGATCCCCGGATAGGCGCTATAGGGATCGTGGCGGCCGTGGGAGAGGCCGCGGCGGCCAAGACAGGTCCCCCAGAGATTCTCGCCGCTACGATGACCGGGAGAGAGACCGACCAAATGCTCGTCGCAGATCAGCGTCACCCACCAGCACTAGCCCCCCGCCTTCTTCAACTCTACCAACTCGCTCTCGCACTGATAAAGCAAACCGAGCTCCTGCTTCTAGCCATCGTCGCAGCCCCCCACCACGCGACCCGTCCCGAGACGATACCCCCATGTCCAACGAAGACGATGCAGAGCCCGGAGAGGCAGATGCCGACGACGACGACATGGCTAACATGCAAGCCATGATGGGATTTGGTGGCTTTGGCACGACAAAAGGCAAGAAGGTAGTTGGCAATAGTGCCGGAGCTGTAAGGAAAGAGAAGAAGATGGAGTATAGGCAATATATGAACCGGCAGGGAGGCTTCAATAGGCCTTTAAGCCCGGGTAGGTGATGTTGTGATGGATGCGGCCCATATGGTAACAATATGAAATTGTATCATAAATATGTATGGCGTTTGGGGCTAGAATGGGAAATCGGTTTATGAATAAAAGATTATGACCCTACATCTCGCGTCGCCTCTGTGCGCTGCCATTGTGGAACTAGCGAAAGGCGGACATTCTACACAGTGATACTTGCTAAAGTACTTTGTCGAATAGCAAAATATGCCAATATAAACATTACGTACGGACGCTATATGCAGCTCTCCCATCTACGGACCCTCTACTCGTTCTCCGCTTCTAACTTTGCTCCCTCCATAGGCCCTTCATCTGGCTCTGGCTCCTTCTCCGCCTCTTCTTCGACCGCTTCTGGTACGCCAGCCGCAGTGCCATCTGCTGCAGCTGCTTCCTCTGCAGTTCCGCTCATTTGGCTAGCGCCTGCTTTCTCTCTCCTCCGTCTTCTTGATCGACGCTCATCCTCAGCTGTTTGTCTTCTCGCTTGCCGTAGGCTCTCTCTCTTGGCGGCATCATCGTCCCCGTCGCCACGCATACCTTGTAGCAAGGCGGCGGCTCGGTCAGCAACATCTTCATCTCCTTCTCTAGGTGAACTCAGCCCAGGGCTAACAATCGGGTTGCCCTCTTCGTCAATCGCCTTTTCAATATTTTGTAGACCGGTCTCGGCGTCGGGTACTTCAGCCAGGTCAGGAATCTTTTGGCCCGAAGCCACTCGCACTTGGTGTCTGTCCTTGAGACGTGCGCGACGACGTCGATCTCTCTGGTCCCGGGCTTGCGGCGCCGCTGCTCGAAGCTTCTCAAGCAGCGAGTCCATCGCGCCGGTACTAGTTGGTGAGGCGCTTCCTTCGCCCAGAGCTGCTGCAGCTCCTCCCTTTTGCGCAGTGTGCTTACGCTTCATGGACGCTTCGTTTCGTCTCCTCATATCTTCCAGCTTAGTATTCTTCTCCTTTGATTTCTTCCACTCCAACAAAAAATTGGCTAGTTTGGCGAAGAACTCTCGTTTGGCGTTTTCGTCGGTAGGATCCTCTCCATAAAACACCATAATGTCCTTATAAGTTTTAATCATTTCATCAAGATAGAGCTCCATTTGGTCGGCCTTGCGTCGTGCTTCCTTCATGCATCGCTGCACGATTTGGCTGACGCGATCCTCAGGATGGAATTGTTTGGGGTCGCTGAGGTTCCCGGAGTCCAGGGACATTTGCACATTGCGAATGGTCTCAATGTATTTCTTAGCATCCGCCTGCAGCTGTTCCACATTGATCTTTTGTGCCGCCACAACACCGCTGATGTCGTTGGCGAATCCCTCCCATTCGGGGTACTGACTTCGAACTATACGCTCCACCAGATCTGCCAGCGAGGATTCATTCTTGTCATCCTTGACCATGCCTAACCGTGCTAGTGAGCTTAGCTTGAAACCACGCGCTTGTTTGTTAGCGTCATTCATATAGTTGCCAATGTCGAGAATAAGGCCAAGGACATTCATAAGCGATACAGAGTCCCGCAGGCTCTCTGAAACTGTCACAACCTGGTTTATTCTCTCATTGAGCTCCTCGTAGTCTGATTCAAAGTTTTTACTTAGCCACAGGGCCCTCATGCGGCTCTTCCAGTAGTGGTGCAACTCAAACGCGGTATGCAAGTAAATTTGATCCTGTCTTGTGAGCTCCGAGGGGTCTTGCTCGCGGTGTTGGCTGGTGGCATCAGGGCCAGTCAGATCTCGGCTGTACGGCGCCATTTGTTTCGCTACATTGTCGGAAATATTGCATAGGTCATCCTTTTGAAGGAACTCCATGACAACCTGATTATCCAGCACTTCAGTGTCACAATGAATAATCGTCCGAACAATCTTCTCCACAGAATGTTGTGAAAACTTGGCAAAGGCGATTTCTAGATTCGATGCGTTAGCAGCTGGGAAATACTTATGGTTCCCATGATGTAGCACTTACCGTATGCCTTCCGCAGGTCAGCAGAAATGATTTGCTTTTTGTCACTACTCTTGGCCATGCCACCGCCCAATTTCTTAATTTCTTTGGCCATAAAAAGCTTCTCAACCTCGTCCAAGATACCCTTTCGGCTAAGCTCATTATACTTCTCTTCTCGCTCCTCAGCTGACGGAGCATGCGCAGCCCAGTGACTGGTCTCGGGGGTGTCGAGCTTTTCCCAATGCAAAGCCTTGAGCTTCTTCTTGGGCCGTGCCACGGGGAGACCAATACTCGGAGCAGTATAAGTTGATTTCTGAGGTAGGTAATTGCCAGAAGGAATAGCTCCAGGAGGAGGAGGCGGCGGCGGCGGCGGTATGGAGCCTGCCGAGGCTGATCCCGGGATAGATCCGGGCGGCGGCGGTGGAGGCGGTGGAGGCGGAGGCGGAGGAGGCGGAGGAGGAGGAGGAGGACCGCCGGGAATTAGACTCGGCATAGGTGGTGGAGGTGGTGGCGGAGGAGGCGGTGGTGCTCCAGGAATCTGGCCTGGTATGGGCGGAGGGGGAGGGGGAGCAGGACCTGCTGCAGCAGATTCTGTCTTAAGAGCCTCATCATCTGCTGAGGTTCTTGGTGTTGATGATTCCAAGCTGGGATGCGATGGTGTAGCGTCGACATCGGCATCCTCCGAGTCGCTGCCCTCATATTTCTTGACCTTGGAGCCTATTTCGTTTACCAGCCCAGCTTGTTGCTTAGGGTCGATGGTTGGCCGCTTCATCTCAACAATACGAGGACGTTCGTAAATGACACCTTCTTCACCTTCTGTTTCTTCACTTTCTTCAATGACACTATCTTCAGCATCTCTGTCAGAGCGAAGTGGTTTCCGAGGAATTCTGGTCTGGCGACCCACGCTGCCCAGAACACTGTTGGTAAGGTCACGAGGCGGTGTCCCGCTCCCAGCTGGTGATTCCAGATTGTCATCGTCCATTTCTTCACGTAAGGCTCGCAACCGGTCAGATGGGCCGCCGGCCTCGCCCCAAACACGGCCTTCCAATTTGTACTGTGTCTTTTGTCGCTCCAATTGCCTCTGGAGACGCTCCATTAGTCTGTCGCGGTCCAAAATGCCCTGCATCTGCTCCGCGGTTTCCGCGTTATTGGTGCTGCCATTGTCATTGTCGCTGTGACCGGGCTTTCCTTTGAGGGCATTAGACGCCGCGATGTCTTGTGCGTCTCTCAACATCAGATACAATTCTCGGGTCTCTAGCTCGTTTCTCTGAGCTTCTTTAGCACGGACAGTTTGAACATTATTCAGCTCAGCTTTCAGGCCCTCCGCTTGCCTTCTTTGGGCTTCGATAAATCGCGCTTGCTCGTCAAGTTGCTTCTGCATTTTCTTCACAAGTCCATCGGCTCCGAGTTCAAGCCTGGCACGCATTTCATCACGCTCCGCCATGGCGGCCTCCGCTATCTGTCGTGACTCGAGAGACTCATCCTGCGCCTGCCGTGCCTCTGAATCGGTATGCAGCTTATCTAGCAGACTCTGAACCGTAAAGTTGAGACTTTGCTTAAGATCCATGTTGGGCAAACGCCGGTCCATGGCCACGTAGCTCAGCATTGAGTCAACAAGTTGAAACATACGCAACCGCTCTTCCCCGTCTTGAGCGCGGATGAGCATGAGATGTTGCAGCGCTGAAACAAAATAATCCTGTGCTTTGCTTCCATGGATTCGTTGCTGAATGGCGTCGGCGATCTGAACAGGATCAGTGAGATCCTTAACGTCACCTTCGACGCTGTCCTTGATACTGCTATTTTCCCTCTCAAGCATATCTTCGTAATCAATGGCTTCATTGGTACGAAACCGCTCAATTTGCTTGTCGAGGAGCTCATATTGGAACCCTTCCATTTTTGTGAGAATTCGTTTGATGCCGCATGCTGTAAACTGGGCTCGAATATGTATTCGCAGCTGAAGGTCATGCTCTGGCGCATCTACCAGCATATTGATGAGCATGAGGGTGGTGACGGCATATTCCATGAGCAGATTCTCCATGCCAATACCACCAGTTCGTACCTCCTCGCTAGCACCAACCAGGCTGCCCATTTTGCCACGGCCATCAACTGTTACCTCTACCAAGCGCATCCAAGCGTCGAATCGGCCATTCTCACCAGATTGAGTCTTCAGCTCATCCAGAGCTTGAATAACCTTGATATGGCCTTCGCCATCGCGACCCCAAGTACATAGGAATGTTAATATTTCGCTCACGAGCTTCCTAGTAGTAATTCGTGCTGATATGAGACAGGTAGCAAGGGCTAAAAGGACTTTTTGCTGCATCAAAGCATCGTCGGCGCCGAACTTGTTGTTCATAAGCGCTTTTAAGCACTTAATGATGTCGTAACCCTTATCCAGGTTCTTCTCTGCTCGTGCATTATCCGGCGGGGGACCGGTCACTGTCTTGCGGTTGATTTTTAGTAGCAGTGTGACCAATGCAACCTGTCCCTGGCACTCGACAAATCGCTTTACCCAGCCTATCTGCTGGGTTCTCAAGTTGACCTCGAGACTGCCGAGGCCCTTGGCGTCCAGCTTGTCTTCCATTACCTTCCGCACATACCATTCCGGTGTGCCTTCTTCGTCAGAGTAGGTCGTTATATCCGGTGCCGCATACTGATTGGACCGAGCTGTTTGCCTTCTCTTTTGTTCCCCTTGCCACTCAGTCAAACGATCTTGATAAAGAAGTGTCCATTTCTTCTGCGGCGGGTAAGCCATCATTTGTCGTCGAGCTTGCTCAGGCAAGTTGTGCCATCCTCGTTTCTGCATAAGCTGAAGGAACATTTGTTCAATAACATTATCATCGTCCGGTTTCGGAAAGTAAAAGCCCTCGTGTGCTGTCAGAAAGGGGCCGGGAAACTTGGTGACTCGATTGGATTCTCGATACGACGGCTGAGAGCCATAGGAACTCTGCGACGAGGCACTTGGTAATGCTAGCTGCGATGAGCGTGTTGCCCCCCCAATATCTCGATGGGTAGCATTACCTGAGTATAAGCTTAGGTTCTCACCAGAGCTACGGCCATCATTGGGGTCTAGGTACGATTCGTATCGAGAGGTATGGGAGCCATTGACTGTGCTAGCAACACTTCCTCGAGTAGGACCCCATTGTTGAAACTGGGCTTGTCGACCAGTAGAAGCCATGGTCATGTTAGATTCTCTCGGCCTGGCGCTCGATGGGTCGAACGAGGGGTATTGATGAAAATCCATGCCACTTTTGTTGAGTTGGTGAGGCAAGGGATCTCTGCGTGCTGGCGCTTGTTCGGAACCGGGGAGATAATCGACGGGTATCGGGGATCTCGAACCGGAAGGTATATTATCGTAGGGGATAGATGTTATCACTCCCGCCATCATGTTCACTCCGGGGTCGGGAGATGTGGGCGTATCAATAGACACGGAGGATGAGTCTCTTTTGTGCCTTGATGACCGGAAGCTGATAGTGCTGGCGGCGTCAAGGTGGTCGCCATCTGTCGGTCTTTTGTCCTTGTTCTTACTTCTGGAAAAAAGAGATCGCCCCCCGGACGATTGTCTGGACTTGTCTGCTGATGACATCGTTGCGATCCGCGGCGATAGTGACAGCACAGCGGAATGCCTATGTGAAACTCGTAAAAACGGTCAAGTGCTGGCCCAAGGCCGCTCGCATGATGAAAGATGCAGCCGGGGCCTTTGTGTCGCAGGTAGCAAGGGTCTACCGTGGCAAAGAGACGGGGGAGGAAGCTTTGTGGGTGGGCTTTCTTTCTCTCTTTGGCTAAAAAGGTTAAAGAGATGCCCGTGCCGGCAAAGGAAAGACCGCGTTGGTCGTCCCTCCGGATTCCTTATTTGCTCGGCGCAAGCCCGCAAGCTGCCGCCTTATCTTGGTGCACTTTCTTGCGCTGCCGGCTGGTGTTGCGCCGCGCAACTGCCAATCGAGCTGAATGCTCGCAGTCTCTCTTGTTATTAATATCTCTCGAAACAATCCAAAAACAGTCGGGACGTGGTGCGATTCACAGGCCGCGACTGCGCAGGTTCGACAATGGCCAGTACGGCGGCTAAGCACAGACTGCCACCACTGCGGGAATAGGGGTCGGACGTTTCGTATCGATATGAAATACTAGTAGCGAATGGTTGCCGTCGAACCGTCAAACGGCGATGCTATAGGCGTAGGTGGCTCGCGTGAGCTAACGTTGTGCTCGTTCTGAGGCTGCGGAAGTGGTTGCAGCAGTGTTTGGAAACAAATGGCTGTGTTTGGGACATTGGTCTTGACAGCAAGAAACCAGCCGCTTCAGACAGCAATAGCATGCGGAGAAGTTCCGTGACAGGCCCCTGAAGAATGTCGAAACGGGATACAAACAAGGGGCACGGCCAGGGTGGGGACACGGTTTGGGACTTGGCCTTGCCGGCAGCTCGATTGAGATGACGCTTCAGGAGACCGCGTTGGGGCCAGAGCCAGGGACGCCTAGGAACAACGAGCAGCAGGCTAATAACCAGGCAAATGTAGACAGAAGACAGAGCGGTTGTGAATCTGGTTCGCAGCTGACATCATTTGATGTTGGTGAAGTCGGGAAGCAAGCATCTCGTGAAGAGATGATAGCGTTGAGCTAGGAACAGTCTGGCGCTTGCTAGTTGGATTGGCCAAGTTGCGTCAGTCACTCTTGCCCTACCAAGAACTAACCAGCTGACCGGACACCTTCGTAAACTGCATATGGCCGTGAAGGAGGCTAAACTTCATTCTCATTTATCACTGGCATGATGGTCTCAACTGACGAGACCTCTGTACATACGGAGTATGGCTTAAATTGTCTCTTCTCGCAGGGAGAAACCGGGGGCATATGGGGTTATGCATCGAACGGAGACGTGACCAGAGTCACGACATCGACTTGATTGGACTTCTATCAACTGTCCAATCCCAATCTTGGGGTTCAAAATGGAGAAACCGAATACCTCCACATGTTTGCACCTATTAATTCCAAGGATCCCGTCAGAAGGAAGCCTTACATACATACATGTTTAAGTCTGAAACCCCACCTCACAGAATCTTGCGGAAGCACGCGCTGTCTGCCCCTGAGGATCAATCGGATGCGAGACGGTCATACATACTTCCCGTAGTTACTCTGCCACTACCTCATGACGAAATGTGTACGTGCACAAGATCCTGCGTGCCTGTCAGAGCATTCCATCAGCCGTACCGTGATCGTGACGAATTTACGTGTCTCAAACCACGGTCGCGAGATTGGCAATGACTTAATTGAACCAAGGCGTCACTAGTCGCGAAGTAGTGCGGAGGAAACACGGTAATTGTTAAAAGACCGGACCAGCCTCAATCCTGGGGTCTAGTAGTAGTAGCGCCAGAACCTGACAATCATAGTTGCTAGTATTTAGTGTTTGCTGCAAGTCGCAAATGCTTTTTTTTTCTTTTAGCAAAAGGATATCCTTTGAAAAAGAAATACTAGATCGTGGGCATCAAAGAAAGTTATCGTTTGTCATTAGTCGAACAAAAAAAGTCATAATAGGGGTCGGAGTATTCTTTCGATATATTCGTCCGTGTCGCATGCCAGGCTCCAGTCTCCGATGCATGCGGCACCCGAGCCCTTGGCACCTGTGGCGCTACCCGCCAAGCACTCCAAACTCCGTAGTCTCGCGAACACAGTCCAATATCATCCCAAGCCTGCATCCATGTCCTCGCCGCATCGATAGCCGTCCGCACGGCGTCCTCGTCACTCTCTCCCGACATAACCTTCCCACCCGCCCAAAAATGGCTGCGTCGTCGTCGTCAATGTTATCGCTTGTGAAAGTATGCTCCCCTAGTCATCTCCTCTCGGCTCGTTCAACTTTGATACGCACCTAGTTGTTGGAAACCTGCGTAACTGCCTGGAGCACCTCCGTCTCTTGACCCGAATCAGCTGATAAGATTTATTATACAGGCCCTCTTCGTCCCAGCCGTCATATCCCTCATTATATTCCTCTTCCTCACGTTCGTCATCGCCCCCATCTGGCGCCGCTATCGCAATCGCTACAGTCAATACCTCCCCGTGGAATCCATATCCAACCATACATCCGGCCTGCGACATCGCATCGTAAATCGCTTCTCAAGATTCACCTTACCTTCGACATGGAGTAGGAATAGAGGATCTGTCGACAATCCGAGCGCAGACGACTTTTTGGAAGATGGAGAGGAACTGGGCGACGTGGATGAGCAAACATTGAATGCCATCCAGAGATTGCATTCACACTTGGGGTCGGGCCTTGACAGCAACAGGCGGCTGAGTAGAGAGTAGGTGGCCTCGATGAACCCCTTGTATTATTGGATTCTCACAATTCCTAGTCTTGAGGAGGGGTTCATGGACGACAGCGACGAAGAACAAGCTCGTGGATGACACCCCCAAATCTTACACTGTATTTCTAGCAGCGCTGCACTTCATACAGCCCTCAAGGGAGCAACATAAAGTATCACGAATTATGATCATAGCATGCATAGAACATGTATCACTGAAAAAGTTCGCATCCTGAAGACGATGTCGCTGTCATATTCGGTGCTAATACCCTGGGCTAATACACATATACATAACCTGTTCCGCTTAAGCTCTCGTGGAGCAAGGTTCACCCTTATCGCCACCCTTTCCTAGTACTTAGAGTTGCCAGGCCCATGGACCCGAATCCTTCCTTTGCTCAAACCGTTTCCACTGAGCTGTCCACCATTTCTTCTGCAGTTCGTCGAGTTTCCTTTCATGCCTCTCGACAACAGACCGCTGCATTGCGACCCTCTGATTTAATGCGAGAGACTTTTCCCCTCGGGCTTGTTTAGCTTCCAGCACCCTTAATTTTGTGCCCGTCACTTTAATAGACGCGTGAAGCTTAGCACCTTTGGAGCTCGAACAGAACCCATAGTCCCACGGCAAGACAGCTGCCTCGCGTTCTCCCGCTGTGTTGCCAAACTTTATCAATGGTTCTTCGGTGGCCGGTGAGGTTAAGTGCTCGCAACGGTGACGAAGCGAAATGCAGGGCATGGCAGGGCATCGTGAGCTATTGGGTGCTGTCATCCAGTTAAGGAGGCAGTTGTGGCCTACACCATGACCACAAGGAAGATACACCAACACCTCTTTCGTATGCCTCGCCTTCTTTCCAAAAAACTTGCCACAGATATAGCAGGAGAGGGGGCGCCTTTGGCTGTCCAAATTAGCGTCCGCTGTGGTCGCAATAGAGAATCTACAGTCAGGGCTATGTTCTGGGCCAGGTGTAGGCGTGATATCATCAGGTGCAACTTCTGAGGTCTCAACCAAGGGCTGCTGTAATTGCTCAGCATGGCTTGTGGTTGGTCGTACGGTGCTGGCCACCGTCGTAGCTTGGCTGTCACTGGAGCTCTGCCTGGGACGTCGAGCCCTCAAAGGGCGGAATATTGGAAGCTGGACCGGGCGGGCCATTGCGAGGGTTGGTGACTCTGGTTCTGGCAGCGAAGCCAGACGACCGGCAGCATTCGAACTAGTTACCTCATCATTCTCAATGGGTCGTCCGGTTAAAAGGGGTTCTTTGGGTTCCATGGATGCACGCCGTTGTAGAACCCGGCGCTCAAAATATTCCCTGCCATACTTCTCCCTTGCCCGGCGCATGATATCCTTGACGCGGGCCATTTTGAACCCGAGAAAGAGTAAGAATGGGTGGACTGGAATAAAGCGTTCATAGCGAGGCTGGGATCAAAAATCTTTTACGTATCAAATGATCTGGTCTGCGTAAAGGAAAGAAAAGAGAGGTATTCCCCTCCAAAAAAAAAAAAAGAGTGGCTATGGTTGATGGCAAGAATGTAGTGTATGCATGGTGCGAAAGAAGTTTCGATGTTTTGATTTTCGGGGCCTGTGGAATAAACAATATCATCTCTCTTCCATGTGTCGGGAAGGTGTACTCAGTTGATCTGTGGCATCAGATGCTAAATGTTGATCGAGGCTGCATTGTCATCCAGGAACTGTGTAAGTTGCTCAAGTCCTCCCTACCCTACCCACTGCACAAGTGTATGTACTTAATTAAGTACAGTACCTGAGGTAGGTACCTTACACCACACTTCTTATTAAAGCAAGGTCCAACCAAGCATTGAACCCCACCACTGCTCGCATCGCGCCTGCATCTAACACTGAACCTCATCTTCACTCCTCGCGACGCAAACCCCAAGATGCGGTTTCGCACAGAATTGAAGAACATACGCACGTTTGCGAGCATGTCCAACCGTACACATTCTAAGTCACTTCTCAAACCGCTAACAATTGCCAGAACTTACGGCTGCTCTCTCATCCTTGGAAAAGATAGCCTGGGTCCGCCTCAGTGATGAGACAGTCAGATTCACCGTCATCCCAGATATGGGATCACAAGTCTGGGCGTATGGATTCACCCTACGCCAAGCCATCTCACCTCGTCACTGACTCTCCCGTAGCTCACTAGCAATGGATCTCATCTTCCAGGGCCACCACATCCAATCCGCAGAGTCCCACAACACCATCAACCTCGAACTTCCTCTTCAGCCGCTCCAGCGCGCACTCAAATCCGCGCTCAACAGCATATCTGCGTCCCTACGGCTCACAAAGAAGGACGGCCTGCCAATTCTCTCCATGACCATCACGACAACCACGTCAAATGTGTCCTCAGCCGCAGCTAAATTGTCGTCCGAAGATCCCTTTGGCGATGACGTCTTTGAGCAGGAGCACCTCGAGACGTCACTACGCAGAGAGCACGAGAAGATCATCACACAGGACATACCCGTGCGTGTGCTGCACCCAGCAACCGTCGAGACAATCATGCAGCCAAGAGTGCGGGAACCAGATGTCCACATTCAACTGCCGCCGTTGCTGCAACTCAAAGCTATATCGGATCGCTTCACGAAGCTAGCTCTGACAGGGGCAAATTCTTCCAAGGCACCAAAATTGGAACTAAGCGCCAATATGCACGGGAGCCTGCGGCTGCGAATAGCCACTGAAACAACTGACATATGCAGCGTATGGTCCGATCTCGAAAATCCCGAACTAGACCCTCTGCAGCTGGAACGGCCTGTTGAAGAGCACCCTAGTACGAAGTTTCGCGAAGAGGGACCAGATCGATGGGCCACGGTGCGTGTAGATGGCAGGGACTGGAGTAGAGTACTAAGCGTGGGTCGACTGGAGGGTCGCGTCATTGCTTGCTTTGCAGATGACCATGCCTTGATCCTTTATGTTTATGTGCCGCATTATGATGATGCAACTGAGGACGAGTCTGTTGTTACCGTAAGTTCTCGAACAAACAAAGCGGCCGCTTCATCTGACTAGCTACAGTATTACGTACAATCATACAGCAGGTGACGAAGAACATGTGTGTATATATCAATTTGAGTTGGGTAAAAAATGAGAACGACTACACGGTCGTGCGTCATGACTTCTTTAGGCTGTAGCATGATATTTCTTGAAATGGTATTGTAATTGGCATGAATACTACAGATCTGTAGTATGGAAAAATAGAATATCTATAGTACACGAATGCTCAGTATTAATTCTATTAACGAAACGCCGTAATGTGTGTATGAACCCATCATATTGGTGCTCTACCAATTTTATTTGAGGTTCGAGCCATCCTTCTTTCCACACCGTATTACTCAACTACTTGGCCATAACATCGACATATCGGCCACTCTTTCGCGCCTTCTTCTGACCTGCTTTTCTTGGGCCAGGCGCACCGAGCAAGTCATCAATACTGCTTGCGTTACTCATACTGGTCGCCGGCCTACTGGGCGGACCTGTAGACGGTGGCGCCGACGTCGTGTTGTTGCTAGATACCGACCGTGAGAGGCCTGTGGGGGGTGCCCCCATAGCAGAAGCACCAGCCAGGTTTTCCATAGACTGAGCAGTCGTCAACAACCTGCCCGCAGTAGATCGGAACGGCATGGGAGGAACGCTGGATCGTCCAGCAGCTGGGGGCGGAGTGCCAGGCGCCGCAGGAAGGGGGGTGCCGCTTAGAGTGCGAGGAGCACCCCGTGGTGGTGGCGGGGCGGCCTTCTTGGTTTCGACGTTCTCAGCACCTGGCTTCTTGTTGATCCAACGCTTTAAATCTGGATCATAGACGAAGCTGCTCTGTTCACCAAGTTTGGCCTTGATGGCTTTGCCTGCCTGAGCTTCGCCAATGTTGACTTCGGGCTTTTTGCCACCCCCGAACCAGCCTCCAAAACCCCATCCCTTTTTGGCACTGGCTGCTGAAGCTGCTCGCTTGGCTTTATATCTATTAGCAAACTTGGTCCATGATAAAATATGGACACTTGACACTCACCATCCTCTTCTGCCGCTTTGCGGAACATTTCCTCATTCTCTCGGTCTTTTTCCGCTTTCGAACTCTCCTGCGGTTGCCTTTGTGCGGGAATATCCTCATCGTCATCTTCCATAAAGCCCTTCTTCTTGGGCTTGGGTGCGTCATCACCCTCAACATGGGCCTGGTATGGTGGGGGCTCATAACCATGTGGCTGGAACGAAGGTGGCTCATATCCGCTGTTGTCACCCGTCCCTTGAGCATCATTTGCAACTGGAACTGGAACTATTTGTGGAGGTTCGTAACCGTAAGATGGCGGCTGATACCCTTGATCGGCGTCATCAGCTCCGGGCTGGGGTTGAATATTCGGTGACTCTTGAAGGCTGTACGGCCGGTACCCGGCAGAGGTTGCAGCCCGGACGGCAGCGGCTGGCTGCTGTTGAGTGTGGGCTGCAGCTGACTCGACAGGCTGGTGACCAGAAGTTGCAGCGGCTTCAGGATAACTCACGGGCTGGTAGCCATCAGTTTGAGGTTGTGCAAGCGGTGCGCCTGAGTAATTTGCCTCGTACGGGTTGGGGGCGTATCTTTGGGCGCTGCCTGTCGAAGTTGGCAGTGGCACATGCTGCCCCTGTGCGGCTGGAACATATGGATTGGCGTGGGCGGTAGGGAATTGGGCCGTTGGTACCGGGGCGTATCGAGTCGCGGCGGCACCGGCTGCAGGCGGTGCAGAAGCGGATGGAAAGCTTGAAGAAGAAGCATAGACATCAAAATTGGAAGTCGATGGCGGCCTAGAATTGTTCGGTGAAGAAGCGATACGAGCAAAAGGTCCGTTATCACCATCTGACCCAGTTTGGCCATTGCCATCCTCATCCCCGGAGACAAACTTGTTAAATCGGTTCCACATGCTATCAGATACCTTTCCCATCGTAGGCTTAGAGATCCAGGACGAGGACGCTTCCTTGGGTGCCTGTTTCAATCTTGCCAAGAAATCTTCCACGGAACCTTCAAGAATGGGGTGATGGTAGGCAGACCTGCGTGTCTGGGAAACAATGGCCGAAGCAATCGCATCACAGTACTGCAGAGCCCTATCGCGGTAGCCGTACTCAGCGAGTGTTACGGCATGCTG